ACATGCCACACACGCCGCATCCGACGGCTCCAAATCCGTGAAATGGATCCATCAATGCTCATTGCCTTCCTCATCACCTCGGCAGATGAGTACGAAAGCTGGAAAGAAGGCGTCCGCAGCGTACAGGGGAAAAGCGTCGTGCACGTGCAAGACCAGGAACCCATGCCTCGGGGCCAGGAGAGAGAGGGCGCGGTTGACGAAGTGGAGAGCTGGGATGAAGACGGCTTGCAGTAGGAAATCGGGTCTGGTGCTTAGACTGGCGTTTGGAGGGCTTATGATGACATCATTCGGATGCTTGCATTTTTGGAGTTGGACTGCGGGATCTGAAATGTGTATATCTGTAGATCCTATATTTTATGAGCAATCAATATCGGTGTTGTTTGTAGTCAGGTTTGTCAAGTGAGGCCAGAAAATCCATGAAATCGGGCCGGGCTCGAAGTGAAATGTAGGTGATTCTGCTGTAATTATGTGAAATGGACTCCTAAATAGAAATGAGTTGAAACAATCAAAGCTGAAAATTCGAAGCAGGAAAATGGGAAAGCAAAAGTGCGTGAAGTTGGAAATAATTGATTCGTTCCCGTCTGCTGTGGTATAATGTACAGACCCAGATGGACCTCGTAGTCAAAGATGACTATATGATTCGATGACAGACAAACCGACCCATGATCACATTAGCAAAGGACCCGTGAACACCGCACCCCGTAACCACTTGTCATAGTGGCAAGAAAGACCCAAAGAAAACATCCAGCGAAGAAAAAGCACTCTATTTGGTGGATGAAGAGTACTTGGTGACGGCCTTGGTACCCTCAGATACGGCGTGCTTGGCAAGTTCACCGGGCAGGATCAAGCGGACTCTGCAATTGGTGTTAGTGGATGCGATGGAACGTAATTGTAAAAGGCGGTGAAAACGTACGATGTCTGGATCTCACGCGATGAGATGGTGGACTTCTTGTTGTAGGCAGCGAGCTTGCTGGCCTCAGTGGCAACGCGCTCGAAGATGTCGTTGACGAAGGAGTTGAGGATGCTCATGGCACGGTTGGAGATACCGGTGTCGGGGTGGACCTGCTTGAGGACTGCAAAGACGCGTCAGCAAATCTTGTCTTACAAAGGCGGAAGATGCGGATGCATTGAGACCACGCGATTCAATTGCGTGTCGCGCTTATGGCGCGCAAACGGGCCAAACTTACCCTTGTAGATGTAAGAGGAGTAGGTTTCCTTCCTGGTCTTGGTGCGCTTCTTCTTGTCGCCAGAGGGAGCGGCGGTCTTCTTGCCAGCCTCCTTCTTCTCAGCGGGAGCCTTGCCGGCTGGGGCCTTGCCGCCGGTGGTGGGAGTCTTCTGGGCTTTGGGAGGCATTTTTGGAGATTTGGGCGGTGGAGATTGGAAAAAGTGGAATCTGGATTGAAAGCAGGAGCTTCGAGTGAGATGGGGCAAGTAAAGTGTCGTGGGTGGGTGTCGAGATGGATGAAGGGAAAGGTCGTCGACGGCGGGGGGACGCGCTACTTATGGGGAGCGCGCTCGCATGTTGTGATCCAGCAGCGCCTGTGAGGCCCGTGCGGAGGGACGCTGGCCGCTTTGCCTGTTCGGTGGCTAGGCGAGGGCGGCGAGTGATCTTGCGTCGACATGCGGCAGGCGCTAGCCGGCGTTGCTGCCCTTTGGCGCGCTAGCGTGCGCAGGTTGATCTCGCGCACTCGCAACACGCCAGCGCCGTCCTTATAAGACGGCCCCGCCCCCCAACACCAGCAAGCAATCCATCGTCTTGATACTCCACGCCCACAACCCGCTCACCCACGCCGCTCCGTCCACACTCCCGTCTTTTTCGACTCCCACTTCCAAAAACAACCCCCAACCAAAACCTCATTCAAAATGACTGGCGGCAAGTCCGGAGGCAAGGCCAGCGGCTCCAAGTCCAGCGCCCAATCGTAAGTGCCCACTGATTGCATTCTTTGCAACCTTTTGCCTTCACCTGGGCTGCGCACCTCGTGCACTCTTGTGTTGCAACTTGTTTGCTTTTGACGCGTCTTTTGTCTCAATTGACGCGTCTTTTTTTCGCATCTTTTCAATATTACATCATTTGCTAACAGCAATTCCAGTCGTTCATCCAAGGCCGGTCTCGCTTTCCCCGTCGGTCGTGTCCACCGTCTCCTCCGCAAGGGCAACTACGCCCAGCGTGTCGGTGCTGGTGCTCCCGTCTACCTCGCTGCCGTCCTTGAGTACCTCGCTGCTGAGATTCTCGAGTTGGCCGGTAACGCTGCCCGCGACAACAAGAAGACCCGTATCATCCCCCGCCATCTCCAGCTCGCCATCAGGAACGATGAGGAGTTGAACAAGCTTCTCGGACACGTTACCATCGCACAGGGTGGTGTCCTCCCCAACATTCACCAAAGTACGTTTATCGCATTCAGTCTCATCTCAACAATCACTAACGCATTCTTCAGACCTTCTGCCCAAGAAGACTGCCAAGCCTGGCAAGGGTCCTTCGCAGGAGCTCTAAGCGCATTTTGCTTTTGAGTTTCTTCTTCACGGCGTGGTTACTTCATGGGTCTTTTTCGTCTGCAATGATAATGGGAGTCGGTCTGGGTTTTGGGTTCTCGGCTTTTCACGGGATTTATACCAGAGCTGTATATTAGCTGGTCGCTTTGATGACCACAGGCTCATGAGCTGAATCGAGCATATCACTTCACTGCACCATTCTTTGCCCGTGTTTTCCTTTTCTTGCTCATTGTCACAGGCTGCATTGAAACTCGACTTTGTTCGCATCTGCCTCGCGCAACGTGGCTAGGCCATTGCGGGTAGCCTGTCCGCTTTGGTGGTCAACTCCTGAATGTGGGGTTGCTGTTTTTGGCGAGAACAGGTAGTGGCGGCGCCACAGCAACTGTGCAGAAGGATTGGCGGCGCCCTGCATTATTGGCGGTCTTTGTCGTTGAATCACACATCTCTCACCGCCAAATGGATTGCAACCTCTGCATTTATGGTCTACGGCGCAAGCGTAGAATGAACTTGGTTTTTGGCGACATGGGATGTCAATCTGCGTCATTGGACTTATCTCGGAATTCAGGTAGATAAGATAGTGACGTATTGGAGCGTACTAGCAATATTCTTGAATTTGAACATAGGCGCATTTGCAAGGCCGAATTAACTTCATGAGTCAACATACCAAATTACACCCCTTGACTACATATGTGCACAGGCCGGAAAGTACATGCAATTATGGCTAAGATTTACAAATAGTATCGATCTTGCGTTGATAGTTGTGCGCGCTGTGGTTCGCTGGGAATGTTCTTAGACTACGCTAGCCTGTGACTACACATGACCCTTGCCAGATTTTTTGCTCTATTCAGACTTTTTTTGTCTGTATTCAATGGTGATTTCCTATTCTAGTAAATACCACAATAGGAAATTAGGAGTTAGGCCACTGGCGAATCACCCGCTGTCGTATATTACTCGGTTTCTTTTGTCATATTTGAGCTACCACGTCAATGCACATTATGTAGTTGTTGTGGGACTATGGTAATCATGTCTCATTGAATTCGTGTGGTATTATATGGTTTTCTTTAGGCGGAGTTTGGTAAATCGACCTGTTGTATGTTGACCTTGGTTGTGTGCGGGAAATGTTGCGGAGGCATTTGACACTTCCACAGTGTAACCACGTACGATGCACCATTACACAACATGTGCATATGAGTTTTTAATTTAGATGAGACAAGACTAATCACTTCTATTTACATTACACTCGATGGAAGATTCTTTTAAAATAATACTGTTCCACTTATCGTTTAATCTGAATTTCTGGACAATATTACAAACGGAGTTTTTGGAATTAATTGTCGAACGTCAAATCATTCAAAAAATCATCACACCACGACCACAGTCTGATGCAGCCTAACAATGAGTATATATGGAAACCAAAGCCTAGGAATTGTTTCCGCATGATTTTTAGGACAAAAAAATATCAGCCGTTGTTGTCACGTTTTTTGTGAAGCTGAGGCACGTGAAGGGCAGCCGAAGGGACTGCCCGGAGCTCCGTTGGCCCAAGCTGAGCCTACTAACCGGAAACCGGCCCCGTCACAGGCACGACTGCCAAGCCCGCGACATCAACCCGCCCTCAGCACCTCACACGCACCCGCGACGCAATAGCGAGAGCCATTGCGGCCACGAACCACATCTTGCATCGCTGCTATGAGTACCAAAACACATGTCCTGTAAGCGCTTCCGTAGCACCCTCCCGCATCACCTGTTATGCACGCGCAGAAACTAACCAAGCCGCAGACGCCTCTACAGGCGGTCCCTCAAGCTCGCCCTCGACTGGAGCGTCCATCGATACCTCTGGCGCGGACAGGCTCTGTATATCCGCGAGCTTTTCGAGGCTAAGAGAAACGTTACCGAGCCCCGTGTAATGAGGGTGCGTCTCGCGATTCCCTCTGCAGGCCATACACACAATCACCCATACAATTACCCAGTCACCCACCCATCTACAGACTCATATGTACCACAGCCCTGCCAATGACCATGCTGATGAGATGTATAGGACTTGATCAAGGAGACAGAAGAACTTCTCGAGAAGTGGAAGCACCCAGACCCTTACCGCCCACCCACGGCCCCCGGAGGTTCGTTCCTCCCTACCAACTTGAATGCTTTTTCTGTGTCGGCATCACAGAGATGGTGATACTAACTACCCATAGGTTCAAAATACGAGCGCAACCTGCCCTGCCCAATCACCGAACGTAAGTTTCTCCACCCCCTGTGTTCTAAACACAATCAAAATTAACCATGATTAGCTCCACCAAAGATGATTTTGTAGTGTTTGACATGAAAACTATGTCCGGGTCAACTTGTACATATTACAACGATAGTGCTACATAGCAGTAGTACGCAATATCACAGTAAAAGAAGGACAAGGCCCGTTTCGCTCATGTTGCGCTTCTATCTCCAGGCGCTACGCATTTCTTCTTTCCTCGTGTCATGATCATTGTGTCTAGATGGCACGCCAATTGACGCTTTCATTAGGTCTGATACTTTCTCACTCTCCTTACAGTGTTCAGATATCCCATACTGTCTATCACATGCTCTCTTTCAACCCAGAGCGGTACATCTCCAAGTGCCGCATTTTGTGCCCTTTGCTGCACCCATGCGTCCTCCATATATGCCCACTCTGGCATTTCGCAGCAGCCTCCAATCAGGACTGTCCTTTCAGGTGAAATACTATACAATAGCGACTCGTGTGTCTTTGGTACCAGGACCTGCACTACCTTCTTCTCTGGATCGAAGCCGCGAATCAATGCAGTGCAAACCAACCTCGTTGTTTGAGGATCCAACGGCTGTACCATACCGAGCGATGCGGATTCCGGGAAGAAGGGGATCCGAAGCCTCTTTGTTCGTGGAAGAGATGTATAAGGGGTTGGCACGATCGATGACGTCGACTGGACCATTTGGACAATAGAGCCATTCAGCGCATGGACTAATGAAGCAGGCTCGACGGGCTCCGAGTACATTGCGAAACCGACTAAATCTTGCGTCCGCTCATTAGTTTCTTCGTAACAAAACTCCCACGGTACGAGATGAGAGAGTGGTTCAGAACTCCAGCTCAACCCTTGTGTCTGGCCAGGGTTCGTACTGCTAGACTTGAGATGGAAGTAGGATTGCATCTGCATAGTGCATAATTCCGCTTCCTTCCTCATCAGCGGCAATTGTGGTTGTTGTGCAGCAATCTCATGCACTGTGCCATGGTACTGCGACGTGATAGTCTGCAGTACATGCAGTCTTGCTGCCGTCTCTGTATCGATGGCTTGTGTGTCACCAAGATGAACCGCATTATGTGGTTTCAGCCTTGCTAGGAGCTTATCGAGAAGGTCAGAGTGGGGCGAGCATAGGAAGCTAGGCGTGTCGACAATGACTGGCAGGGACGAGTCTTGGGCGTGAAGGTTACGGTATGCCACTAGAAGATCCTCCACACACGCCTCATAATAGTCGGAATAGTTGGCCAAGTTCGCAGGGATTGGATGTGCGCGTACTATTTCATCCGTGACTATATCTTTGGATTCGGGCACGATTGATGGATGGGCGAAGCTTGGTCCCAGGTTCAGTTGTCTGACGATGACGAGTGATATCTGACCTCCAGGCGTATACTCTTGCTTTCTCGGGTCAAGATCCATATAGCACACAGCTGGTACTGATAGAGCAGTCTTTCCTAGGCCTGTAAGGTAACGGTTGACGAGTCGCCTCGCAAATGTTGATTTCCCCGAACCCAATGAACCAGTCACTACCGTCATGGATGAGCTACCAGCACAATCCTCGATAGCACGAAGCCAATCTTCGGGTGCCATTTCTGGGCACAACGGCCTGGAAAGAGTGTCGGCACCTGATTCAGTCACCTGCACAAAAAAATCAGTTCAGATGCGATGGAGTTGCTTTGGGATGTGTTGGGTTCAGACTGTATCCCGTATGTTTGAGGACAAGGAGTAGCACTTACAACACTAAACGATCTACCGTCTTGGGCTTGAGAATCGGTGCACCATATATCATCAAAAAGTGGATTGATAACAGAAAGTGGCGCTGGTGCACTGCACGGCTGAAACAGGATATGATTTGTACCATCCAGTCCGCGAATCTTGAATATAGGATTGGTAGCTGGCACAAAGGCTCGATACACTTTGTTCTTCTGGCCGTCTCGACCAACTGTACCAATATTGGCGCCATTGATATGGATAGCGCCTCTCAGTACCGTGAATTCAAAGCAGCCAACAAGCGCAATAGTCGCGTGCTTACTTAAGTTGATGGTGAGCTCGGTATCGGTTTCTGAGATGATGTTTTGTGGGTCGTTGCGCCAGTTGCAAAGTTTGAGGTTGCGCTGTACAGGCACATCTTCCTCATCCGTATCTGGATCTTCCTGCTCTGGCACCCGAGCTTCTAGTAGCGGGCTTTCTGGTACAGAAATTTGCTCAAGCGTGATTTCTGGTGTTTTTACAACTTTGGCTGTCGCTTCCGTTCTTAGGCGAGCTGCTGCAATTGCGGTAAGCGGTTTTGCGCTCGTGGCATCACGCGCCCCAATTTCCTCTCCTCTCTTTCTTTTTCCGGACATTTGGAGTGTTAGTATGAATATTGGTGTAATGATCCCGGCTGCTGGCGTCGTAGGACCGAGATGAATGGGTTTTTGTCTGGGTTGCGGCGCACGCGGTCTGAAGTAGTTTAGCGTCAATGTGGCTGGAGGTCCGCGCGCAAAAAGTTCCAACTGAACTCACTAACTTTCAAGGCGCAAAGAATATAGCTCAACACACACCATGAAGGACGTAAAGAAAACAAAGGTACCGCTGCCTGGCGCGAAGCCGAATCGGAAACCTCAGAGCGCCCCACCGAAAGCACAGTTGAGCCAGGAAACAATCGATACCGACAGCGATTCTGCCAGCGAAAGCACAGCGCGACCGAAGAAAATCGAGAGGCCAAAAGCCACCATTGGCATTCATGTGAACGGTGTACCCAAGTCAAAGACCAAGCCTAGCAAGACAGACGCAAATGCTTCTAATTCTGCATCGAAATCTAAGCCCTCCCCGAAAAAACCGGCGTTGAAACAAATCGTGACGGAGCGCGATGTTGCAGACCTTTCCAGCTCCGAGGTCAGCGACGACGATGCGTCAGCCCGAGACATACAGACCAAGCTTCCAGGAAACGATGCGAAGAAGGATGCCTCGAGCGACAGCGAGAGTGGAAGCGAGAGCACAAGCGGCTCAGAGAGTTCTAGCGACGAATCGGATACTGATGATGCGCCGCAACCGACACGCAATCCAGCACCAGCGCAACCCCAAACACAAGCACCAACACAGTCGCATGCGGTAGAATTTCAACCAACCAGGGCATTTGTGCCCCCAAAAGGATTTAATCCTGTGCCACTGAACGACAAGACTATTTCGAGATCATCGACAGGCTTGTTTGAAAACTTGCAAGGGAAGCAAGTATGGCACATTACTGCTCCTGCCGGTGTTTCGTTGAAAGACCTCAAGGAGCTTGCAATGGAAAAAGTCAAGGGTGGAGAGGTGGTTTTGAGTCACAAGGGCAACGACTTTGGCTTCTCCCAAATGAACAAGAGTGAGGCTGGCACACGACAAGTTTTTATGCCTGGAAAGGATGGCATGAAGCCTGGTTTGTCTACCTATTACTGTTGATATGGCATCAACTGACTGTCGCAGTGCCTGTCCCGATAACGCAGAGTCTGCGTTTACGGCGTATTATGCAACTGCCAAAGCTCAGCTCGCTACAAGCCGACCAAAACACCGGCTCAGAAGCAGCAGCTTCAATAACGCGATCCACGATTCGAGCACCACGACCCCAAGTCAAGGGCCTGAAAATGCGCTTCCTTCCTACCGGCTTTACGGGCAATGATGCAGGAACTATCGGCGACTCAGATGATGAGCTTGAGCCAGCTCGGGAAACTGCAGTGCTCGGAATGCCAGAGTCTAGCAAATCTTCCAAGAAGCAGAAGAGGAAGCATGCCGATGTAAACGGCACGGAGACAAGTGAGGCACCCGTGAAGAAGAGCAAAAAACACCAAGATTCTGAAGAAGCCAAGCGGAAGGCGGAGAAGAAGGCTAAGAAGGAGAAGAAGCGGGCAAAAGAGGCGGCTTCTGTGGGTTCATGAAGGTAGCCTGGGGCGGATTATAATTGAAAAGTACATGTGAAGGGTGGGTTTCCTGGAGCCTTTGATAGCATGCAGCGAGCATGTGAACAGAAACGCGGACAGGAAGCGTCAGGTGAGGGGGGGCAGCCTGCATGGCTTGCAATGCACTCACGAAATTGCAAGGGGATGTTGAAGAGAGGCCTGTGGGGTGTTGATGTTGAGGTGGCGGCGATGATGGGAGAGGAATGCTCGTGCTGCGAGCGGGTACATTGTATAAGCCAGGGCAGCAAAATACATATCAAATACCTCCAAGGCCTGTAAAAAGTCACTTTGCCAGTGGCGTTGCTGTCGTCGAACACTGGGCTGGGCAGAGGATGCGGGCGTGGTTAGTGCATGTTAAATCCGGGCAGTTTGGCTGTTTTGGGCGGCAGGGCGGTACGCATGCGGGCCCCTGGTAGTTCTCGATGACGGATTGACACTAGCGGCCAGGGCTAAACAACGCGCGCTCTGTTGTCACAGGCGAGCCAGGCCATCACCGTAATTGTCGTGAACCTTCGCCTTGACCGCACCATGCGAATGAGCAGGACTCGCAGCTTTTGTATCCCACGCGACTGCCCTGACCGCTGTTGCTGCTGCTCCTGCGCGTGCATCTGCCGTCATGGCCCCCCCGTCCAACGACGCTTCCTCGTTCCATGCTGAGCCCTTGCAAACAAAGAGCAACTCCACACTCCCGACTCCCATGCCCACGCCTACCGACAACGAGCACATGGCACACCAGAAACCCCACGACGATCATGATGATACCTTTGACCTGCCCGACTCAGACCTGCCGCCGCTCCCCATCGGCGACGAGGACGACGACAGCATCATACCCCGTGCAGTCGGTGAAGAGGACGCGAACCAGGAGAGCGTCTTCGACGATGGCGAAATGAAGCGCCAATTAATGGACATTGAATCAAGTTTCATCCCAGAAGCACCCATCCACGCCGAAGCAACACAGTTACTGCCCGGTGCCGACGACACGTACCTATTCGGTGGCTCGCCGGGCAATTCGCAGCAGTCGTCTCGTCCAGCCCACGACGACTCGGCCATGCGCCGGGTCATGGACACGCTCGAGGAGATGACAAAGCCCAAGAAGAAGCCCAAGAAGCTTGAGGTGCGCAGTGGGCACACACCGACCCAGTCGCAGAACCGAAACTCCTTTCAGGCCGACTCCCCATCCTTTTCTGAAGCCCCTACCCCTGCCGGTGCTTACAAGACGCCCGCCGCTCGCCCGCCAGATTTCGACCCCGACGACTCCATGGACGCCGATACATCTACATCAGATGTTGCGCCTTCTTCGCCATCTGCACAAGCGGCCCAACGAAGCCAATCGCGCTCTACAGTAGAGCACACCGTACAGCAAGCGCGAGACGATGACGGCGAAGGCGACGATGACGATGACGATGACGAAGAAGAAGAGGGGGAGGAGGGGGAAGATGACCAAGACACAACAACTTCTCAATATGGGCAAGCCGCTCCAGGTGCCCAGCAGAAAGACGGCGACATGAGGCGCCCGACATCTAGCGCTTCCACCGTCAAGGCCCCTGATTTTTCCCAGACCGAAGATGGTTCCTCGCTCACCAACACGACTGACTCGAGTATGGACAGCACATCCATGCCCCCACCAAGTGCTCCTGCAACCATTCAAAAGGTAAGTAATCGACCAAACTACCTGCAGCACCGCAATGCGAGCCAGCGGTCATCCGTGTCCTCCCTCACCAATCGCTCCGATGCATCTGGAGACGGCGCAACCGAAGCAAGCCTAGGCGCAGACTTTGCCCTTCAAACTGGAGGTGCGGTACCGCGCTCAAGCGGACCGCAAAAAATGAGCATCGCCCTATCAAGACTACCAAGTTTGGGCAGCATCGCATCTTCCATGTCAGGATACAGTGACACTAACCCTTGGGACAAGGGCCGGAGTATCAGCGCCAATTCTTTATCCGCCTTTCTTCAGCCAGACAATAGTCTGGGTCGGTTAGAAGAAGAAGTCCCCAGTGCAACACCACCCGAGACACCACGTGCTCCTAGCGTTCAGGCTGCTGCGCCTACAGACACGGTCATTGCTAGACACGTCCAGGACATCCAGGTGCCGGATTCCATTGCGCGCGACTTCCGAGCTAAGCACTCGCGATCGCCTGACAGACGGCACATGGCTACTCCCTTCACACGCAGCAAGCATAACCTGACACTCAAGGAGCAAAACAGCAAGATTGATAAACTCAGCAAGGAAAACTTCGATCTCAAGCTTAAAATCCACTTTCTTGATCAGGCGCTCCAGAACCGATCTGATGAGGGAGTTAAGGAGATGATCTCAAAGAACGTTCAACTGCAAACAGACCTAGCTACGGAGAAGAAGGAAGGTCAGTCGATGCGAAAGAAGATCAGGGATCTGGAGCGCCGGCTCAAAGCTCAAGAAGAAGGATCCGCCAATGCCAAAGATGCAGCTGATGGCTCTGAGGATGGCAGAAGCGAACCGTCATCGAGACAGCAGGAGTTGGAGGAGGAGATAGAATTCCTTCGAGAGCGTTTGGAGTCAACTGAGATTACTGTAGATCAGTGGCAACAAGAGGCTCTTCAAAAAGAGGCTGACAATCGACGCATGGCCGACTACATCAAGGCAATGCGCGAAAAGGGTTCGAGTGGAGAAGCCGCCGGTTTCGATGAAGCTATCAACATGTGGAAGGAGGACTTCGAGGATGAGCGAGCCAGACGCGAGCAAGTTGAGACACGCTGTCAACAAGCCGAAGCCGAAGCCGATCAACTTCGTGAAGAAGCCCAGCGTTTAAGAGAGCAGGTGCAAGAATTGCAACAAAATTCCATGTCGACTCACCACATAAACAAAACTTTCAATAGTTCACGGCGGATCCATCAATCCTTCAACGGACGCACAAACGATGATTTCGAAGGCAATGACCCCACTGTACCAGCGTCAGCTGGCGGAACAAGTAGCACTCTTGTGGAACAACTGCAGAGCGACAACGACAAGCTACAGCGAGACTTGCATGCACAAGCTTCCATGCTCACATCAAGGAACCGAGAGAACCTCCGGCTGAGAGAAGAAAACGAGGGCCTGAAGCTTACCATCAGAAGGGGAGACGCTGGATCGACTGCCGGCGATAGCATTCTGGAGCGCTCAGTTTCTCGCAACCACATGCGGTCCGTGTCACGGGCAAGTGGTGGTACTCGCAATACGCAAACAAGCGACCCTGACCGAGATGACTACGAAGCTAAGAATGCAGCGCTGCGAGACGAGTTATCGCACTTGAAACTGTCGTACAAAGAGCTTGACGACCAGTTGAACGGTCACCTCGACATGCTTGAGACCTCGGAGAACAAAGTAAGGGAACTGGAAAAGGAGATAGAGGCTCAGACAGAAGATCTTCAGGCTTTGGCCAGCGAACGCGACGAGGCCTTGGAGCTGCTCCAAGACAAGGAACAGGAATGCGAAGAGCTGAGACAAGAAGCCTTGGACACTGTACAACGGCTGGAGATCGAACTCGAGCAGAAGCAAAACGAGCGTGATCGCCTCTTCAATGATTTGGAGAATATCACTGAAGACTTCCACGCTTTGCAGCAGGAAATGAAGAACGTTAGCGAAAGTCTTTTGGCGCTCGAGGACGATCGAGATGCAAGCCTGCGCAAGATCCAAAATCTGGAGTCTGAACTTAGCGACGCCAATGAAGAGTTGAACAGGCAGGACAAGGTCATCAGCGAGGAACGATCAAAGAATGAGCGACTAGACATTCAACTCGAGTCCTGCCAGGGTGAAATCGATTTCCTTCGAGAAGAGCAAGAAAGCGACAAGATCAAGATTGGCGAGCTCGAGTCAGCTCTCAACCATACACAAGTTTCACTGCAAGAGGCGAGAGAACGTTCACGAGACCTTGAGGAGCGCATGGTGGAAGAGAGACAGCAACGTGATGCCTTGGAAAATCAAGAGAAACAAGAGGTGGAAAAGATCATTACGGATCTTAATGCTCAGCTGACGAAGCTTAAAGAGGATAGCAGGAAGCTGCGCAAGAGCCTCTCTGGCGCAGAAGTCGATGCTACGACCTGGAAGCTACGACATGATGAGCTGGAGCAGACCCTTCGGGAATCCCTTGGTAACCTCAGCGGTACCAGGGCCAGTCTTTTCAAGGTACGAAAGAGTCATATTATTTGGTTGCGTTTCATCGACTTACAAATTGCATAGGATATTACAAAGCTTCAGCGAGATCTTCAGACTACCACACAAGAGCTCGATGTTGTCAAAACAGACCTCGCAGAGAAGGACCGACTCCTACGCAACCGTGATACCCTTTTGGAAAACACTGGAATGGAAAGCCGTCGCTTGTCTGAGCTTCTTGAGCGCGAGCGCCACGCACGTCGACAAGACCAAGCAGCCTTTGAGAATGCAAAGCGCAGTCACCAGTCAACCACCAGGGCGGTCCAGCAGCAAGAAGCGAAGATTATCGAACTTGAGAACCTTCGCAACCAAGACCGTCACAGACTCCACAATCTGGAGAAGCAGTACAAGGAACAGCTGCTTGAGCGCAACAATCTTCTCTATGCTCTATGGAACCGACTATCCACTCTTTGTGGCACCGAGTGGTCTCGCAACCACGCTGTTATCAACGGAGAGCTCACGTCGATGGAGCTCATTTCGAAGAATGTTACGGGCTTTAACAAGAACATCATCTTTGCGGTGAGGACCGTAGAGGGTATTATTGGCAGCTTCAAGCAAAGGATTCGAAACATTGAAAAAGACTTGCTTCGTGACTACCAAACTCTCGAGCACACTCTCGAAACTCGTGTCAAGAGGCTGGACCAGCTCGAAAAGCTCGTCATGGCTCAACGACAGTCGATTGGAAGACCTAGTACTGTTCGCGGTGGCGTTGTCGATCTCAACACGGCCGAACTGAACAAGCTCCGGACTGAGAATAAGACTTTACGATCTGAGGTTCAGACCCTTCGCGCCATCACCACTACGACGCAATCTGGAAATGACATTATCCTCAGCCGTTCTTCGTCAAGGGCCGGGTCACCCACCTCTAATAAGCGCGCTAGCATGGCACAAACGCTCCTGCGTGCGCAGTCCGCCTCAGTCGTGGAGCATCTCTCGTCATCGACACCTGGCCACCCCTACCCTGCTGCTGGACCTGTTCAACCAAGTGAGCAGAAGTGGATACATCGCCTCAAGGAACTAGAACGACGATTGAAAGCCGAGCGAGAGGCGCGATTGCTTGACCGCAGTGGTGCCAGGAAGCGGTTGGAGCAGAAAGTTGAAGAGAACGCCGACTTACGGGCTGCTCTTGAGAAGGAGCGAGACCGAAGGGATGAAGATATCGATCACCCACAAAGAGCCGCGTCAGCTATGGGGAATCGAGTTGGAGGTAGCGGACGTACCAGTGTGATTGGAAGCATGCGTCACGCTCATGGGAAAGATAGGGAAGAGGAAATGTATTAGTGCATTTTCTCTTTGTAGATCTTTTCTTTTCCTTTTTTTTCTTTGCATGTATATCCTTTTTTTTAAAACGCCTCCTTCTTCTTCTTCTTCAGACTTGTCAAGTACTCTTCGAGATTTGTCTCATTTGATGCTTTTTCTCTTCTCATCTTTTCATGACCTAATGTATAACGAAGACATAGCTTGACAAAAGAGGTGTCCGGGCATTACTTAATTGTTTTACTGTGGTAATTTCGGGTATACCATCCATCGAAAGAGGAAGGTGTCTTGATTATTTCTTTTTCAATGAATTGGGATATCTTGGTGTTTTATGGCACGTGATCTTGCGGTCTTACGTGAATACGTTTTGTGCGTGCAGGCGACGTTCGATGCATAGTGAATGGTATGCTAGGCAACAATAGTGCTTCTATTCTTCGCTTGCAAGGTATGATAGCTATATTTCACTGGTACCTAGGCACACGCTCCTACTACACTGTGCTTTGTCTGCGAGAACCGCTTTCGCAGAGCGGCTTCTGGCCGTATGAAAGCAGCAGGGTGATATCATGTCCATTTGCTTGGTCACGAGTGATAGGTAGAGCGACGAACTCACCGCCTATCGAGCCCACGTTTGATTCGCAGTGAAAGACAGCACGTGGCCTCGGTCCTCTCCTAGTATAAGTACTGCTTCCCCCAGTGATATTACTCCCCTTGAGCACATTAACTGTTGTGGAAATACGTGCAACAGCTAGTTGTACTCGCCCTAAGTGAAGCAATGGAATCGCATCGCAGTCCCAGTTGCAATCTCCAGGTTGCTCGCCAGCATTCAATAGAGTAAGCTTACCTGGTACCTATTGGCAGAGCAGTATACTAAATCATCTCCAAGCAATGGCTATCGTAATCTACACTCACTACCACTCATAATATCACCTCGTCCTCAGCAATCGGATGATTCTGATCTTTTCGCTGCTCTTCTATTCGATCGACAAAGCGCGTACAGGACGACACAACTCTCACAGTCTTGGACAAGGGAGCTCACTTCCACTGAGCAAAGGTTTTTGCAATCTAACGCTGATACGCCTCCGGCGCCCCCACTTCTGTATACGTCTTCAGGAGATGAGAAAACAACTCCTTGTAACACACCAGCATATATATTCCAAAGCAGAGCCATGCCACCTAAAAAGGCTGCCGCAAGCGAGAAGAAGAAACCAGTAGCAAAGACCACTCTAGATAAGACCAGAGGGAGAACGATAGCGCCTCAGAAATTAGTCAAAGCTGTAGGCGTAGCTGTGGTTAGAAAGGAGACAACAAAGACTACAGTAACAAAAGCCAGGTGCAAGCAGAAGCCTAACGAAAGCAGCAGAAAAGGTATATCGAAAACTACAAGCAAGGCGGCTATACCAGAGGATGAAGACATTACCATGATATCGTCCGGCGACGATACTGAGACGGAGGAGGAAACTAAAGAGGCCCAATCAGCCCGCCAACTCCGCGCAGAACTTGCCGCTGCAAAAGCGACGATCCAGCAGCTCAAAGCACAAGCCGAGAAAGCGCAACGCGACCTCCTCGCTGAGCAAGAAAAGACACGAGCCCTGCAGACCGAAAAGGATGAATTAATATCCCAAGTCGCCACCACAAAAGCCGAGCAAAAAGACCTAACCAAAGAAATGCTCGCCACAGAAGAAGAAAGACGAACCCTAAAGTCCCAAATCCAACACCTCACCACACAAAACACAAACCTAACGACCCGAACCAAGCATTTGGCCACGGAAAAAGAAGACGTAGCATCAACCAACCTCCAACTCCGCACCGAAAACATCCTCCTCCGCGACGAAACCCAACGCCTCAAAGCCTACTCCTCTGCCAGTACCGCCGCTCCGCCACCACCACCACTACAGTCTACATCCACATCTACGCTCCTACCTGCCTCCCCCGCACCCTCCAGCATCGCTTTCACAGACGAGGACATAAAGCTAGATAACGTTCGCAAAGTATATGTGCAGTTGAAGCGGAAGCAGGATAGTCTCAAGGGTATAGTGAGACAATTAATGTGGTGCACGAGGAACATGGTGTTGGATGAATTCGGGGAGTTTGGGGTGGTGGTGAGGAGACTGAGAGAGTGGATGGAGGAGGAGGATGAGCAACAAAAGCAGGCGACGAAGAAGCAGAAGCAGAAGCAGAGGGTGGGGACAGGGGGGTAAATGGAGACGACGGAATGGCGTGGGAATGCAATAAGTTTTACGAGTCAACTGTCCTTATGGTTGTGAAGAGAGAACCTATTTTTTTCATGGTGCGTGTCGAGTTTTCTCACGTGCTAAAAGCATGATAAAGAAAACGCCCTACAATCCAAACTTGCTCTTCATAGCCCCCATGACAAACCCTCTCTTTTGTTTTCCGACAAACTTGTTCACGTCATTAGCCCAGCCTGCACTATTCTGTGACAGATTGTCCATGCTATCGCCAACGATATTCAACTTCTCAGTCCGCTCGTTGAGCTGTCGCGAAGCCCATGCGCCCCAACCTTCTTCAGCTTGAGTACCGGCCTGTCCAGGATAGGATTGGTATTGTGCAGCAGGCGATATGGAAGATGAGGCGTTGTCACGGCGACGTTCCTGCTCGGCTTCTGCACGTTGTTGGGCAAGCTGACGGTTTGAGAGTGGACGGTCGGGGCCACCGACTGCGGGAGATGTTAGCAGAAAAGTAATCAATGATGATCATAGAGTAGATCTTACTGAGCAGGTCCATGTCGGCTGGTGTTACGTATTGGGTACCGGATATCCATTGTATGTTGCTGATAGTCGGTCGCGGCGGGATGACTAAGTCTGGGTTGAGCAAGACATCCTTTGCACGATCACTAGAAGGTGTTAGTATAGGCAACGATCCAACATGGATACCATCACTTACTATCGGAATCCGGCGCCGAATATGTTAATCAGACCTAACTCTGCTGGACCTTTCCATCCAAGGATATCTCCCGTGGCTGTGATGATCGCCTCTGAAAACCGTCGAACATCCAGAAATTCACTGACATTGACGGATGCGATTTCCTTCAGGGCTGGTATCGAGTAGGCTCTTGCACAACCATCGCCATAGAGACCAAGCAACGCATAACCATTCTCCTCGTACCTGACCACCATCGCGGCATCGCACAGAAACTGATCAAAAGTTTTGTGTGCGCCCTTGCTCGTAGCGGGACGGAACAATCTCACTTCAGAGCAGGTGACAGCCAAAAGCACGCCGTTGACCTTCAGCCCAGTCCTCAGACCACCGACAGTAGACTGCGAGGCATACGCTGGGCGGCCTGTGTCAGCATGTATGGGGCAGATACTCAGAACTCTGTCGTCTAGCGAGCACGCGCCTGCGAATTTTGCCGAGTATCGACCGTTTGCTTCTGGTAGTATCTTGAAGGTTGCGAGATGGCCAAGGTTGGTTCCAACGTGCACTAGGATGCTTGAGTAGTCTTCATCTTCGAGTGTCATAACGCTGAATTCAATGCAAGTCGGCCATTCCGCTTTCGGTGCTGCCTGAGTCGAGCTGCGCCGAAAACTAGAGCGTTTGTCGGATTTGATGAACTCTTGTACAGACGCTTGGAAGATGATTGCTGGCCCTCGGAGATCGATAATAGTAAAGTTTCCCCCTTCAAAACCGGCAGCAACAAAGCCTACATCAGAGTGCTTCAAAGCAGTGACGGGTCCATTGCCTCCATCGAGCAGTGTGAGAGGTAGTAGGCCCTCCTTGACAGCTCCCTCACTTCTCTCAGTAATATCTGTGAGCGCCTGAGGCTTGTTCTCGCCGGGTGGATACTCCTGACCTGCACGCTTGTTCGTGTTCCATCTGAATACTACCACTTCCCCGCTCTTCAGCCCAACTGAAAGCTCAGAAGCAACACCTGCGAATGAAGTTTTTGTGATGTGGACATCCTCTGGTCGTCCAACTGCTCGAGCAACGTCAACCTGAAGTAGTTCACTATTCTCAATCTCGTCAGCATGGCCGGCATCCCATAGTCGTATTGTGCCATCTGCATGAGCTGTCTGGACAATGTTTCGGTTCTCAAATCTCTTGAGTGGATGTACTGCTTCAGCACCACCGGTTAGGAATGGAGGGCCTTTTTGTCGCTTTTCAGTCATCCCGAGCCATCGAGTTCGCTCTACTGGTGCGAGATTGATATAGTTTATGTATGGATGGACAAGCGTCATGGAGAGGTGTAGTTGGTTGGTAGGCGTAATGGGCATACCGCTTGGAAAAGACAGAGTGATCAATTCGCCAGAAGCAAGCAAAGCAATTATTGCAATAGGGTCATGGCAGCCAGCGAAGTGCGGTGAAGATCTTGGGATGAGGAAAAGGTCGATCACTTCAGTGCCGGGTGGGCATGGCAATATCCTTTGCCTCTTGGGATTCTCAAAGTGAGCCGACAGGATCTGCCATGATGCAGTAGCATATACGGGCGTTCGACCCAACTCGAATAGAGTCAGACTCTTTGCCGAGATATTCGATGGCTGTCCACCTGCTACAAGGATGGCAGTATCATCGGGGTCCTGATTCGCGCACCATGCGATCTTGAAAATTGGCGATTTGAGCGCGAAGGACCCCTCCACTGCACCCGGGCTGAAACTGCCTGGGCCTGGCTTGTCCACGTTTGTATCTGTGAGCGTCCTTGCCTGTATAATGCGGCCATCCTTAGTATCCCAAATAACGATACTGCTATCTTCATGTCCAGTCAGAACAAAGGTTCCCGTTGGATGCCAGACGGCCTGCGTCAGTGGAGGTTCTCGCTCCTTAAAGACAGAGCCTGGATCTGAGTCTCCTCCTGGCGCCCCTTTGGGAAGACAGTAGTTGAAAAAGTGGGTGGCTTTGTTTTGCTTGAACGAATAAATGACTGCGCCGGAGTTATACCCAATCAGTAGAGAGCCAATGTCTCGAGGGTGCAGTGACAGCGTGATTACGGACGTCAATCGGGATCGCGGAAACTTTTCCCTCCACAGATTGGGTATTTTGAAGGGCGTGAGCGTCTCTCTGTCGAGATCATATGCATACACCTCACCATGCTGTGTGCCCAAGAGCGCATAGTCGATGGCAGGATCACTGTGGAGTGCCGTGATTTTCGCAGGAGGCGAGTGTGCGTTTAGCAGTTTCTTGGTGTCGAGGGAGAAGACGGAGAGGTCGTTTTTCGAGTCTACGCACAGAAGCTTCTCGGCACAGAACTGGAGGATCTTGACGGAGGCGCTACGGTTAGGAAGCGACAGCACAACCTCGACCCGCTTCTGGCCGAATACATAGATTTGACCGGGGCCATATTTGCTCTCGCTTGTTCCGACGGCGATGAGAGACTGAACAGGGTCGTATGCGAGCTGGGTGATTTTGGAGTTTATGCCATAGTTGCGGATCTTCACATGTGGTTAGCTTGCACGCGTTGGAGGAGGGGCCTGTGGCAGAGGCGGGGGTTGCGGCAACGTGGGCATACATGGTCAAGCACAAAAAGATCAGGGCTGAGGCCTTGGGAGAGATCGTTGCTGATTCCAGCTTGCTTTCCGCGCAAGAGATGAGCCATGGTGGCGTGTGTGTCTCATGGCGCTGTGCTGTGAGGCTGCGGTGGACAGTGTCGGGCTGCACCTGGCCTGCCATGCACTGTTTCGCCGGCAAGAACGCGTTGCGCGACGTCATCCGGCAACATTAAGCGGCCATGCAGGGTCCACCAGCCACACAGAGAGCGCGCAGCGCTGACGCCAAGCCACACTGCCCAGCCACACCTGGTCATGCATTTCCAGTCATTCCCAGCCAGTTCACCGACATCTCTTACCATTGACTCAGCAAGTAGCATGGTAACATCGCCCCAGATTGTTGTAAAAAATATATACACAAGTTTGATGGATGTTGTGTAGTACCGCCTGTATTTGATACCAATCTCACGATGAACCCCTCTGCGATGCTCAAAGACCGACATTCCGACACCATCCGACTGATCCACTTGCGAAGACACTATTTTACAACTTCTCTTTTTAAATGTTTGCTTCTTATAGCACTATGCCTCTCCGCTACTCTTTGATGCCACAGTAGGCACTGGCGTGGCGCCTTTGCAATGCCACTCCACACACTGCACGTTTCCCTCTAAGCTATCAGTGATGAACAGCGTCTTACCGTCTTTGCCCCCGAAACAACAGTTCGTCAAATTTATTCCCTCTGTACCCGATACGATTCTTGCCTTCGGTGTTCCGTCCGCATTGACAACGAAAATAGACCCCAAACTTGGATGGCACACAAACAAGCTCCCTTCCTCATCCATCGCCAACCCATCTGGTCCTACTGTACCGAAACTCTGGAAGAAGAGACCCACTTTGCTCGTTGTTCCATCTGCATGAAGTGGGAGCCGCCAAACCGCGTTTGAACGAGTCATGGCGACGAAGAGGAACTTTTCATCAGGCGACAGCACGAGACCATTGGGGCTGACGCCATTCTCAACGAGTGTGTCGAGTTTACCATCGGGAGATAGGCGATACACTTTACCAGTGGGGTCTGTTAGTCCGGTCTGGCCCTGATCAGTGAAGTACAGTTCGCCCTTGGAACTGAATACCAGATCATTTGGACCTTTGAAGCGCTCTAGGTTTCGACGCGAGAGCCGTGGCGATATTTTGCCTGTCGATGGATCAAATGTCAAGATGCCCTATAGCCAGGTTCAGCCGATATCTGGCTTTGCTGTATGCTCCTGCAAGATACCTGTTTGTAGTCTGCAACCGCGATTTTGCCTTCAGGGTCCACGGCCAGACCGTTTGGCTCACCGTCCCACTCGGCTGCGACTGTCACTTCTTTTGTGGGCGAGATACTGAGTATCCGTCCGTACGGGACGTCTACGATATAAAGGTGGCCTGAAGAAGTGTAAACCGGACCTTCAAGAAAGATGTTCTGAAAGGCCCGACTGAAACCGCCTCGCCATTCCGAATCGCGGTCCTTGCATCTGATCTCATCCGGGACACGACAGTATAGGGATGCGGCTATTGTGGGTGGCGGCGGATAGAAGTTCATGTTGTGTGGTTATGTCTTATGAATGTTTACGAGATATCCCACGATATCTATCCTCTCGTTGGAACATGGCATGCGCCGCGAAGTTTACCAATTGCGACGTGCTAGTCCTGTGTTCTTTCGGGGTCAGCCGATCCAATAACGGCCCATCCCGCTGAGGTCTGATGGATATACCAATCCCATCAGGAAAAGCCGTCGGAGTGGGGCCGAGCGTGCCTGCCGCCTATCGTGCTACGCACCCCCAGATTCTCCACACCTTTCTCCGCATTGACTGAACTTACAATCTCCGATTCATCTGACTGCTTTTACAATCCATTCGATGCCGGCCTGAACATCGCATGGTGCTCAGAGGAGAGGGCATGATGTCGGGGAAGGTAGCGATCTGGGGGATCCTTTAAACATCTTATCTGACAAAAGACGGGGGAAGCATTGTGCTTTCATCAGAGAACAACTAGCCGATTAAGGTAAATTGTACAGGAAACATCCGGCTCCAGATTCCCAGCCACCATTGCATGAAGCTAAGCAGTACTTGGACACCTATTTCACGCATCTTCATATCGATTGCACAATCCTCATTTGTGAAGATGTTCTTACAACCGCATTCTACCATTTCGAGGCCTGAGGACGCGTCGCCAACCCCAGACCGCTTCCATTCGATCACGATGTCTGGCAAGGCACCGTGCGAGCCGCAGCTCTAAGAAACCATTTAGACATTTGGACACCCGGTGATCTCATCACAACACTCAAATCACTGTCCCGGACATTCGGACCATCCAGCGAGTCATTAAGGTCCGTGTCCGCACGCAGCTGAAGCCATGAGATGGGTTTCCTCGGGCGCTTCGGTGGGTGAAAGACCCAACTTCGGGACCCGTGCCGAATGCGGGGTCTCCGCACATACATCCCCAGCATGGCAACGCTGTCGTGTCGAGGCTCTCCAGCTAGCGATTCATACATGATTTTCGGCTAGTAGAAGGGCAGTTGTGTCCTCGCAAGGGCTACTCAAACAGCTGCTATTTATGCTACGCGTCTCGCGCTCCCTCTTTCGTGTTGACCAGCGCTGCTGTAATCTATCGTCGATACTATGGCCAAGTCAAGTCTTCTTAAAGATACAGTCAAGGCTATCAAGGCGTGCCCGCCGGAGATATTCAATGTTTGGCTTTTCTTTTGTACGGCCGTGTGGAGTTTTTCTGGTGTGGCAAAGGGATTTGATGAAGGTATGCTTTGCGCTTGTCTCCCTGTAAATGAGATGCTCACCTTTGATTCAGGCAATATAGCATCAATTGTTGTGCAAAAAAAGTTCAAGACCGAGTTCGGAGTCATTCATGAAACCGACACCCAATATGCCAGTAAGAAGCATCTGTTGAAATTACTTTTGTATCATCCGAACTAACCTTTTGTGCTGCCAGACACCAAGGGATGGATCGTTTCCATCGCCACAGCGGGTGCCGTCTTTGGCTGTCTAGCTTGTATCAATCTCGTGCAGCTATGGGGACGAAAGTGGACCATGTTGGCCTTTACGGTCATCTACATTGCCGGAATCCTGGGCCAGACTTTTTCAAACGGTAGCTTATCGGCCTTGTACGCTACCCGTTTTATTACTGGTATCGGAATCGGTACCACGACCGTTTTGCCTTCAATCTACCTTACTGAGGTGAGTACCTAGCATGTACAGTTACAATTGCAAAATACTAATTCCAGACTTCCAGATTGCCCCTCGAAGCATTCGTGGCCTACTCACCCTCCAATACGCCTGCTGCCAACAACTCGGCGTCGTCTTCGGCTTCTTCTTTAATTACGGCATCACAAAATACCACTCCGGCACGCGCCTTCAATGGCAACTCCCTACGGGTTTGCAGCTCGTCCCCGCCGTAATCTGGGGCATCGGCATTCTCTTCACCCCCGAGTCCCCCCGCTTCCTCCTCTCCAAATCCAAACGCACAGAGGCTCTCCAAGTCCTCTGCCGCTTCCGCAACCTCCCCGCCGACCACCCCTACATCGTCGCCGAGTTCGCCGGCATCGAGCATCAACTCAACCTCGAAATCGAAGCCGTAAGCGGGGCCACAGTCTGGGATCTCTTCAAAGAAACCTTTTCAGTAACCGAGTACCGCCGCCGCTTCGTCCTCATGTTCCTGTGCCACATGTTCGGCCAGTGGTCCGGCGCAAACGCAATAACTCAGTATTCGCCCTCGATTTTCGGGTACTTGGGTATTGAGGGCGAGGAAGCGCGGTTCCTTGCCACAGGTCTCTACGGCATTGTCAAATTTGTCTCTGTACTCGTCTTTTCCATCTTCGTCATCGATTTTATTGGGCGCAGACGGTCGCTTATGCTCGGTATTACGCTACAAATCTTGACTCTGACGTTCGTGGGTGCGTACCTCGGTGTCACGAATGGAATGTCGGCCGCGGATATCGAGGCGAGTGCGAGCGCTACAGCGGCGAGTAAAGCCAGTATCGTGGCTATTTTTATCCATGCTGTGGCGTGGTCGATTGGTTGGTTCTCTATTCCGTATCTTGTTTCTGCGGAAGTCTTTCCTGTTCGTATTCGCTCGCTCAACGTCTCCATTCTCATGGCGTTTCACTGGGCGTTCTACTTTGGTTGCTCGCGCGCCATGCCGAGTCTGCTCGCTGCTACGGATCGATATGGTGCGTTCGTCTTCTTCGCGAGCATCTGCTGCATGTCTTTGATATATGTTTACTTTGCGCTGCCGGAGACGGCTGGACGCTCACTTGAGAGCCTGGATAAGCTGTTTCAGAGGCCATGGTATACGGTTCGGAGAGTTGCGTATCCCACTGGAGATGATTTGGCGGATGGAGGTGCGCGAAGTGAGGAGAAGCTGGGGGAGGTGCTGGATGAGGAGAAGAACGGGGAGGTACGGATTGAACAGCATACGGAGAAGAAGTGATAAGAGTATAAAACCAAGATAATAATAGGTCTAAGTAGGCGCTAGCTACGCTACACAACAGGATCCAGCCTAGTTGCGGGACGTGTACGGTCGTACCGTGATAATCCGATGTAACTAAACTCTCTTGGAATTAACATTCGTTAGGCTAATGCTATTCTAATGTACAAAAAATTGACAAGCAAGAACGCGGCCATATCTACAGCAGCATCTTCCTGGGGTCTTCAATGTACTCCTTGACCTTGACCAAGAAAGTAACGGCCTCTCGTCCGTCAAGAAGTCGGTGGTCGTAGGTGAGGGCGAGGTACATCATCGGCCTGATCTCGACCTTTCCGTTGATGGCGACGGGCTTCTCCTTGATGGCATGCAGACCGAGCACAGCCGTTTGTGGAAGGTTGATGATGGGGGTGCCCATCAGACTGCCAAAGACACCACCGTTGGAGATGGTAAAGGTACCACCGGCCATATCTTCAATGGTGAGCTTGTTATCGCGTGCCTTTTTGCCGAGGTCAGCAATGGCCTTCTCGATGCCAACCATGTCCATGCTCTCTGCGTTCCTGACGACGGGTGTGACAAGACCCTTCTCGGTAGCGACAGCAACCGAGATGTCGACGTAATCGCGGTACACAATGGTGTCGCCCCCATTGGGGCCCTCAATGGAAGCGTTGACAGCGGGGACATCTCGCGCAGCGAGGATACAGGCGCGGGAGAAGGCGGACATGAAGCCGAGCTTAACGCCCTTGTTCTTGAGAATCTCATCCTTGTAGAGCTTGCGGAACTCCATGATCGAGGACATGTCGACTTCATTAAAGGTGGTCAGAGAAGCGGCCGTGTTTTGCGACTGCTTGAGACGCTCGGCAATTCGGAGACGCATGCGGTTCATCTTGACCTGCATTGAACGGTTAGTGCACATGTAATATGAGACGGACTCTATAGACATACGCGACGCTCCTCACGGCTGCCGGGGGTTGCGGGTTTGGGCTCCTCCTTTGGCTTGGAGTCCTTCTTGGGCTCAGGCTTTGATTCCTGCTTGGGCTGCTCTTGTTGCTTAGGAGGCGCTGGCTTAGACTCCTCCTTTGGCGCCTCGGGCTGAGACTGCTCCTGTTGGCCTTCAGGTTGCGATGAAGTCTCCTGGTCCTGGGAAGCGGGTTCCTTGGGCTCCTGACTGGCTTCCTTCTTTCCACCTTCTGGCGCCGCGCCAGGCTCGAGCTTCACAATCTCCTGTCCGACAGTGACGGTGTCCTCCTCATTGACCAGGAACTCCTTGATGATACCGGCCTCAGGCGCATTTACAGCAACGTCAATTTTGTCCGTCTCAATGGTTGCGATTTCCTCGTCCTGCTCAACAAAGTCGCCAACCTCTGCACACGTCGTTAGCTTGCCCCCGCAGTCGAACAGCGAGAGTTGATCGCACGTTTTGACCATTGTTTGAGGGTTCCCTCGGTGATGGACTCGGCCATCTCAGGCACCTTGACGATGGTGTCGGCATAGGTTCTTATCTGCTCGAGAGCGCAAAGGCGCTGTGAGGAGAGCTGGCCTGGCCGCCTGTGTGGGGTGTCAGTTGATGGCATGTCAATGGGGTAGAGCAATTGGCAGTACCTTGAGGCCTGGCCGAGCAGACCGGATGAGCTGGCTTTGGTGAGAGCCGAGTAGGAGCGGGCAGTAGGAGCGCATCGGGGGCTTGCGCGCAAAGCTCGCACAGAGCGCATGGCAGCTGGCAGGCGGCGGAGACACTGTTGGCCAGACATGACGGGCAGATAAGCGAGGACCGAAAAAGAAACGAGAGGGGCGGGGAGAGATGGACGCCTGGGTGCGGGCAAGGAGCGATTTGCTATGCGATAGTATGTTTGGGCAAGAGGAGAGAAGACTTGAGGCAATTCAACAGCGATGATGCAGTTCTCAAACAGGCACAGCAGCCTCTTATGTAAGCACGGGTCCCGCATTCCGCCCTCCGCACTATGTCGCGTCCACATCACATAGTCAATACTGAGCACCCCAATCCAGTACAAGTAGCCAATGGACCGAGTTTTACGTATTCGCTATCTGCCCAATCATTTCAATCCCTGCTTTCCATACATCTACAAGGTACTAATTAGAAAAGAAATACGCGGTTTCCGCAGAAAAAAGAGCAACTACCTCCAATCGGACGCGCAAACGCTTGGTAACAAAAAAACACTACACATATGGGGCAAAATAATCGAATACCTCGTTGATCACTTCATTTGTCCAGAGACAGAACCCCTCCTTTGAAAAAAACGCCCCTTTGAATCATCTATGGTATCCAAATAAAACACAGACACACACCTTGTAAACCGTCCGATCGTTTTTTGCTTCCACACAGAATATGCCTACGTAGGCATGGAAGCACCATTAGGGGCACCATACACTGAGCCGTTGGGAGGCTGGGGCGTTCCGGAGCCTTGCCTGCTATTATTGAAGCTGTTCTGGGCTGCGAGCCGAGCTTGCGATTGAGCGGCCGCTTGTGCTTGTTGGCGCTCCAGCATGATTTGCTGTGGATTGTTGGGCATGCCATTGAAAGGGGTCGTGGCAGCGGGTGGCTGTGAAGTACCGTACTGTGAGGGTCCGTAGTATGTGCTACGCATCTGACCTCCCGACACCGGTGTGCTATAGCCTGGTCGTGCGCCGTAGTTAGAAGGCGTAGGCGTAGGCGCGCCCTTGATTGGTGAAGCGGTGCGTTGCTGTGGTGCTTGACCTCCATTGTAGAGGGGTGCACCGTTCTGCGGACGTGGATAAAAGTTGGCCTGGTTTTGTTGTGCTGCATACCGATTTTGGCCCTGTGGTTGAGGCGTCGAATTGTAGTATTGTGAGCCGGCAGCACCACCGTATCCACTGGGTTGCGCTGAGCGTTGCGGGAAATACTGTCCAGAAGGCGTGGTTCCGTAGCTTGTTCGTGTCGCCTGCTGACCATAAGAAGGTGTTGCAGCGTATGCTGGCCGGGAAGAAGGGGCATAAGAGGCACCGCCTGGCTGAAAAGGCTGCTGTACGCCCGAGGGTGAGCGTTGCAGATGTATAGAGGAGGACCGATGCATAGGGGGTTGTTGTGAGTACATAGGGCGGCCACCTGGTTGCTGTACGGACGGTGTAGGGCGGCCATACTGGTGACCAGCTGCGGGATAGTGCGCACCCGCGCCAGAACCCGTGCGCGCCAGTGTCGCGGGTGTGGAAGCAGTTATTCCAGATGTCTTTGAAAGTTTCAAGAGCTGGTCATCCTCCAAGACTCCTTTGTACTCTTTCGTATCGAAGAGAATCGTTCGACTGATGTTCAGTTCGTCCATTTGGTCCCCATTCAGTTTGGCAACGGCGTAGGGTGGAAGTTGTGAAATCAGTAGAGTCAGCTGCGACTTGAGAATCTGATAGACATCAAACTCTTCAGATGATGGCGTTGATGGACTGCCAGCCAAATTTGCCAGAGAGGCATTCTGAACAACGGGTGTGCGTGGGTTGGTTGTAAGTGAGAGGTTTCTTATCCTTTGGTAGGAAGCCAGTGTTTCGAGGAGCTCTGAGATATCTTTGAGAATCTGTTCCGTATCTTTTTCTTCTTCGCTCTTCTCTTCTGTGCCAGGCAAGATATCTCCATTAATAGGCGTAAAGTTTTCAACAGCTTCTTTGAACAATTCGTCCTCGTCAGCGGTTCCATTGGCAAGTGTCGCCTCTCCTTCTTCAGGATCGAGTAGCACTGGGTCGATTGGGAACATTTCATTGAAACGCTTTTCGCCGATCTTATGCCACCACACCATATTCTTTGTCTCCTCGGGAATGATGGCAGACGTATCGTCTCGGGTTGGCGCAAAGCTAGAGTATGCACTGCGGAAAAGAGCATCTTCCTTTGCTTGCTGGACCGCAACGAGAATGGCTTCGGACGGTGGTTGTTGAGCCTCTCCCATGCTCAGAGCACGCTGCCTGCTCTTTTGCTTTGCAGTTGGCGAAATCTGATCTTTGGGCATGTCTACGCCGCCATAACCTAGCCAGAAACCAGACGACAAGTTTTGATGTGCATACGATTGGGAGCCCTTGCACCGAGGCTTAGGGGCTTCCTGGTGCGCAAAGGTAATGGTGTTGTTACCTTTGCTTGTTGTTGGCCTTGCAGACTTGGGTGGACTAATTTGCGTCAGATGAGGAGGTGCCCGAAAGACATTTCCGATTGTCGCAGGTTGCTTCTTGCTATCTGGATCAGGAAGGGGGTACACTTCCGTAGTGCTAATGAGGTTTGGGAGATTTGCCTCGCGGAGAGGCAATATTACTTTGACGGCGGTGTCGAGGGTGGATATGGGGGTTGTGGGGGATATCTTTTGAGGCTGCTGCAGGCTCGAGAACAGCTGCTTAGGTGGCGCGCTTCCGTACAGTGTGAGGACCGTCCGACTCTGAGGACCCTCTGCCTCATGCTCTTCTTCCTTGATAGCCACCGGAGTGCCTTCTTCCTTTGACGCGTGTGGAGCTGCCTCTTGATTGGATGCTTTTGCCTGGAGGTGCTCTTTGCGTGCTTCTTCTCTGCCCACTAAGTTCTTGAGAATTGTCTGGAAAGCGAGGACCTTGCCTTGGAGCGCAGTGTCCTGGGGAGACGTTGTAGTGGCCGAGGCGTCGCTTGCGCCTGTAGAGGCCAGAATGTCCGTGGTCGCGTTTTCAACATCTCTTTCGAGAGCGTGCAGAGAATCGTAGGAACCGTCTTGGATAAGGGTAGTGATGGTTGCAGGGCCAGTCGGGGGAGTCAGTTTGGTGCGCTTGGAATCGGCTTCTCCAGAAGCAGAGCGGGTTATCGACGAGGTTATGGGATGCGACAAGATCGAGGGTTGCGTGTCGTAGCTACTGGGGAGTCAGCATATGGACAAAAAGGCGGCATTGCCAGTTGCACAGGGAACAGGTTTGGCAGCAGGCATACCTCTTGAGGACCTCGAGTATGTCATGCAATGCCGCCTGCAGAGAACGCGTGCTGTCTGCTGGGACGTCTGCTTGAACGGGCGCGGGAGCGACATTGGAAGGCTTGGGACGGGGGCTGGCGAGTTTGCGCTTTGCAGCCGAGGGCGATGTGGGCGCAGGCGGAAGGGTCGGCGGGGTGAGGGTGCCGTTGGCGGCGGCCATGGTGAGCGGTGGGTGGTGCTGGGGATGCGCTCGTGATGGCGTGGGATGGAACGCGCTCAGGGCGGCCGGAGGAGTCGTTAGTCGCTTGTCTTCAGCAGCATTCCCTCGCCGCGACGGTGCAGGGCGCGATGCAAACAACAGCTGCAAGAATAAAAACTCGGGCTTTGGCGCAGACAGGCACGAGATGGGGCTCTGTGACGCGCAAGGGGCCGAGATCTGGCGATGGATGATGTTGGAGAATTGGCTCTAGGTTGCCCGTGGTCCAGATGCGTACCACGGCGATGAATGAATTGCTTGCCATCAGCCAGTCAACCATTGCAGCGCGAGGCGCAGTGCCAAGCTTTTGCGCCACATCTGCCAAACTGCGCCACATCTATGATTTTGCTGCTGCCCTCCGCCCGCTATCCACTGCCCGCCATTCACCCCGTCTTTTTGCTGCAATTGACGTCTACGCGCCCTCGCCCTGGTCGCTTCCGTCAAATGAATGCCCTTCATCCTCTCCCTGGCAGCTCCACGTAGCCCGCATCGTCCTGGCCGTTGTGTGACGCGCCTGGCTGTCCGCCTGGTAGGCCTTTCTCACCAACAACGCCGGCTTGGATTGCTGCTGACCTGCTACTTAAGCTTCCTTCCTTCACTGCATCCACACAAGCCCCTTCCTTTTCTAGCCCCGACCACTGTCACGTGAGACATCGCTCTTCGTTGCCAGCATGCCATCGTTCCCTCCCCTCGCCAAACCGCGGCCTGTCTTTACCTCCCCGCAACGGCCCGCCTCTGTGTCGCCTCGAGGCACTTCAGACCCTATCAAAGCGCCATGTTTCCACGAGCAATTTAGCTCCACATGCCGAGCCAGACGACTTTCAATCACCACTAGACGCCGTTGAAGATTTCGACAATGACACCCCGTTTCGTGCCCAGTTGTCGCGCAATGCCCGAAAGGTGCTACGCGAGAGCAGACCTGCCACTGTTCTGGCATCCATCAATGGTCCAGCCAAAGATCTCTACAGGGATAACAACTCCAGCCAGAGCGCTTCGGCGTGCACTACGCAAGACTCTGTAACCCAGGAAAAATATCCACAAACCCTTGCGACAGCCGGCATACCCGTGCAACATCCTGAGCCTGTTTCGCTCTATTCTGTCCTTGCGCGCTACATCAAACACTGCACCTCCTCACCTCCATCAGAGTCTGATTTTCGCTTTATTGCTTCAGAGTTGCACTTGCTGCGATCCAAAGGTTACAGACCCGAAAGCGTAGAGCAGTGGGCAGCATGTCTTGTAGAGCCCAAATGCAATGTGGCGGCTGCAGTCTTCGAACAACAGTCTGAGGTACCTCCTCTCTTCCTGCTGTTGCTTTTCCTGCGCCGCAAACACATCAGAGTGCACAGTCTGGGGATCATTATGAGGCACCTGGACCGGATTGTCCAGTTAGACATTCTTGAATGGTCCCAGCTTAAGATCATTGCAGTCCGCCTGCTCCGCCATGTGCGCGAAGTCTGGCCTGAGTCTGTAACATGGGTCACGTCTTTCCTGATTTCTCAGTCCAGTTGCTTGCACAATAGGTCGCCCCGGATACTGTCTGATATGACTCGCTTCTTCAATTCTTACCTTGTGTTGCTATGTCTGCCCACAAGCTTCCGGCCCTTAGTCTGTGCCACTTACCAGGAAAAGGCTCAGTTTCAGATACTCAAGTACATGGCTAGCACATCACCATCTATGGTAGTGTCACGCCCCGGTTTCCGGGCAGTAGCTCGTAATCAGTTGGCCCACGCCAAGACCACTCAAGAACGAGAGTGGGCAGAACTCAAAGGCCCATCTTGGCCACCGTGGAAGGAGAACCGCACAGCAATGGACGAAGAAAAAGGCTACAATTTTGGTGCTTCGCGGGCCTCTCAGCTCTTACATCGCATGTACGAAGCTGGATACACTAATCGCACGTTTGAGGACATGGTACAGATCTATGCTGGTTGGGATACAGACAACAGCCCAACAATACAAACTCGGACTACACTACCGCATGTTTCTTCGAGATTCAACGACAATCACCAGATGCGCCCGCTGCTCTGGGCTGCACGTATACGGACCACACGCACGCGAAGAGAGGCCTGGGCGTGCTTCTTGTCTCACGAGCTTTCGGACGAAGGCGCTCATTCCGAAGTGTACCTTGCCATGTTCGAAAAATTACATTACTCTGCTGTAAAGAGAATACCCGCCCTACCGCTTTCGACTGATGCAGATCAAGCTCCCGAAGAGGATATTAATCATCTGCTACCCGGAGACATGAAAGAGGTCCTGCCAGATCCTTCATCTTCATTGTACTATGTTTATCTTAGTGAGCCTGTTCCTGAGTACAAAGAACTACTGGAACGAATGCGTACCACCAATATCAGGCCTTCGCATCGATTACTTGCCTTTCTCCTGGAAACATGTCCCGACTTCCACACATGTCTGAATTTACTGCATATGAGTAGACACGATTTTAATGGTGGTATACGTCGCATACTCTATGGTATGAACGACGACGATGCCTCGGTCCGTTCAGTTGATGGGTACCTCTTCACAGCCATCATCCGGTTCTTGTGTCGTTTTGGGCGTTTCGAGCGGCCGCCTCCACAGGAGCCCACGGTGCTGGATCCTCAAGAACATGCGCAGCAAATTCGGACCAACAGGAATTATCTCTTGGAGTATGCGCATAGCCTTCTTGTACGCTATCGGCCGAAATATCGGCCCGCCTGGACAATCTTTATCAACAAGCTGCTACATCAAAGAAAACTTCCACAGGCCGTCCAAGTCGAACGCTATAGGGTCGTCTGTGACTTGCTTGAGTACATTGAGCAAACCGATCTTGATGTTGATGATGACATATTTGGCTGTGCATGCATGGCGACCACGTATGCCGCACAGAGTATGGACCAGAGCATTGCGTCTATCAAAGACGCGCGCTTGTTGTCGACAGGGTCGGCCCGTCTCAGAGCGTTATTCAACAGCTTAGTTGGGGCCAATGTCAACATGCATTCCCATCCAGAACAGCCTATGGGTGCTATTCCACCACATGTTCCTGGGCCTACAGAGCTTCACCTTTATGTGCGAGCCTTGGGCGCTCTGGGTGACTATGAAGGTCTCTACTCGTTTACGACCTGGCTGACCAATTACCGTTCTGAAGTCAGTGTACGTGCGCAAGCACAGCGCGGTGGCATGGACACTTTGTTCAGAATGCTGGTAGCATTGAGACTGGCTGTTAGCGGTGGAGGGCCAGACATGGGATCTCAGCATGCATCTTATGCACCCGAAGACATTGCTCTGCTCGTCAGAAAGCAGATTGATAGTGTGGAAGAATGGGGCGGATGGCCGACGCAGGAGCATGTCAAGATGTACATTCAAAAACAGTTGAAGTCACAAACTCCGTCTGCAGGAGGGCGGTAGAGTACGAATCTAAATACGGATATTGTGGTTGTTATTGTCGTGATACCCCGTAGACCAGCCCTCTCGAGTCTGAATACAATGGTTGGTCGCATCAATACCTGAGTGCAGCTCTGGATATACTGCAACAGTGAGAGAATATAGGAATGGAGACGATACTAAATCAGCACCAGCCAGTACTTTCACGCTGGAACAGGCCCTAAGCTATCTTTTTCCAGGTCAGGATACGCCTGCTCCAAAGATGCCGTCACTTGCGCAAACCTTTCCAGCCACTGTAACTCCATCTCTGCACGAGGCACAACCAGCACCTTGCGAATATCCTCCTTCGCATCTTCGATATAAACCTGAATACGAATCGGCGTAACGTCAGCGCCTAGATTCTGTCGCTCCATCATACTTGACAACTCTTCAATCGCGTCCCCCTCACTCTTCCCTTCTACCTCTTTACCCTTTCTCACATCACCAGCCCACACCGGCCTACCCTCAATAACGCTCCTACACTCCTCCATCAACTCCCCCGCACCCTCCACCTTTCCTCCTTTCAGCAATCCCGTTCGCAGCACAAACCCATTAAACAACTGCACACAAGACTCGTACGGCACAAGCCCCGGCCACGCAAAGCGATGCAAAAACCTCTTGTGCCGCCGCCACTTGCCCGCCCTCGCCACATTTACAATCCGCCTCGCCTGCGACCGCATTGTACTGGGTATATGCGTCGCATTCAGCGTACTCGGCGGGCTCGACCGCGGGTCAAACGGCATCTTGAACCGCGTAGGATGCGCTTCGTACAGCAACGCCAGATGCTCGAGTTGCCGCGCTAGCGCTTCTGCATTTGCCTCGCGGGCGCGCTGGTAGGATGCCAGAAACGAGACGAGCGACGCGGGTGTCGGGAACGAAGCAGGGAGTTGCGGGAATGAAGGGTCATTTGGAACAATGGGTCCGAGTACCGAAGTCACCATGCGGGATAGGTGGTTAAGCCAATGTTTCGTCAGCGCCTCGGTCGTCTGCAAATTCCGCAACTCGACGACGCTGTAGTCAGATCCCCATTCTGAAGCTTTGTACTTCAGGAAGCGGAGACTCCACTCTTGTTCGTAGATTGTGGTGGCATCGACGTGTTTGCGCGAGGGCGGGAAGCCGTGTTTGGCTACTGTGTCGGTTATAGCCAGGAGTTCTTGCAGCGAGGTGATGGCGGCAGGGGAGGAGAAGTAGCGGTGCCAGGAGGAAAGACTGTGTTGGAGGGACCAGATTAAGCGGGGGCCTGCGCAAGAGGAGAGGCGGATGAGTTGGTGGAATTGGAGGTGGATAAGGATATCTTCGTGGAGTTCGCAGGGGAGGGATTCAAGGTTTTTTGATATGCGGTGGTATTTTGTAGTTGCTATCATCTTTCTTTATTTATTTTTCTGCCTCGCCCCGGGGGGTGGTTGTTGATAATATAGATCCGGGTTATGTATTATCTAAATTTTGCTTGTTTCGTTTATGTGACTTTGATCGTGAACATCCCAGCTTTGCTTGGGCGGTTTTTGTACGTAGCAAGTAGGTGGGGTACGTACACGAGGTTTTGAGTCATTTGCAAAAGGGCGTTGTTACTAGTAGGTAAAAGGGCACAAGTGGGTTAAAAAAGATGGCGTTGGAAAAAAGCCAGCGCATTGGGGCCTAACTTGCATTGTTGCCTTGAGCGTTATTTCAACGGAGCGACACCCCGGGATCTACGTGGGCTACTTGGTGGGTAGATCTACAACATGACGATAGAGCTGTCTCCGTTACACGCGCCACACTTTGCGGCTACGAAGTCTGCTGAGGAAATATACGAGCGGCTTCGCGCAGATGAGGAACTTATCGATGCACAGAAGGTTTGTAGTTGGGTGGCATGGTATCTGCCAGATTACGATACAGACCTCGGAAGAGCCATTGCTAGGTGCCTGGCTCCGATGCCCGGTGTGAATCACGACCTCAGACGACTGATTTACGAGAATTGCCTTAGCAAAATCCGACAGTATTTGAAAAGCGATGGACCCAACGCAGCACACAATGTATCAGTTAAAGAGATGGAAGAGGTTGGAAGAGATATTCTCCCAGAAGAATTAGCAACGGCATTAAAAGTCCTCGTACATCTACAAGACAAAAAAATTATCAGACGAGACACCACAGCCGAATCCATTACAACATGGTTACATGAGCAAGTTGCTACTCGCCATGAGATTCCTACTACAAACATCCCAGAACCACCACCCGTACCCCGCAAGCGTCTCTGCTACATCTGTCGGCTCGAAATCAAACGTCCGTTTCCTTCTCACCCATCAATGTGCATGCCATGTGGCGCCTTCAACCACGCCTCCTCTCAAATTTCACTGCCACCAAAAATGACTTTGGTATCCGATTTCACCGCCTTGGTCACTGGAGCACGTGTCAATCTAGGATATCACACTGCGTTGCGATTGCTGCGATGTGGAGGCCGAGTCATAGCTACGAGTCGGTACCCGCGAGATGCTATATCACGATACACAAAAGAGGCGGATTCTGGCCAGTGGATAGATAGACTCAAGGTGGTAGGTGCGGATTTCCGGAGCGCTAGAGATGCGTTTGAGTTGGTGCGTGAGGTCAAGGTATGTTTTTTTCTTCGGCTTCTCAAAAACGGCAATTCGAGGCATAAACTGACGTGTGATGTTCATCTTTGCAGGAGTGTTTGAAGCAGTGGGCAGATGGGGGAGAGCCCAGGTTGTATGCGTTGATTAACAATGCAGCTCAGACTCTCACGGATAGTATCAAGAAAGAAGAGCGTGCCATGGAGCGCGAGCAAGACTTGAAGAGACGTGAGACGGATCCGGGGTTGTTACTTGGGGAGAATTACACGGCGAGAGTGAGGGGTGGAGCACTGCCGTTGGCATTGGAGAACGGGAAAGCACATTCGACATGGATGGACGGCCCAGAAAACGATACCGATGCCATATGGATCCTAAAAGAAGTCGAGACGTCCAAAGGTACCACGACAGAGATCGAGACGTACACCAAGTCGTCGTGGGTACAAGGCATGTCCGAGATCCCTTACGAAGATGTTGGATCCGCGCTTTCCGTCAATACGTTTGTTCCCTTTATCCTCTGTCGAGAGCTCCTTCCACTGATGGGTATCACCGAGCTGTCACCAGCGGCGGCATCCGGAATGACTCACAAACCCCAAGGCTACGTTATCAATGTTTCCTCGCGCGAAGGCATCTTCGAAGACATCCTTACGTCGACGGCAAAACGGGGCAAGCACGTGCACACCAACATGTCCAAAGCGGCGTTAAACATGCTGACGGAGACCGAGGCGGAGCCTGCATGGCGGACAAGGAGAGTGGCCATGAATACGGTTGACCCGGGGTACATGAGCGCGGCACCAGAGTACGAAGATGCATTTGATGGGAGACGGCCGATTGGGTGGGAGGATGGTGCTGGGAGGGTGTTATGGCCGATTGCTGTAGCGGAAATAGAGGGGTTGGTTGTCCGGGGTAGGTTCTTGAAGCATTATGGTGCTGTCGAGGTGGATCCGGGGAGGGGGAGGGGATGAATAGTACTAGTACCGTCTTCTTTTTTGGTCCGCGGCAAAGCCACATCCGATGCTAGTGATACATATGTCCTCGATATACAGCAATGGTGTTTTGTCTATGGATATCCATGACGGAGGCATGTCCGTTTTTTGTCTCTGGAGCCGTCGGTCCGTTTATGTAAAGTAAAGGCGGGCTACAACGTCCCTGGTGCGGAGGGGTCAGCCTAGACAGTGCAAGAGGCGGGGCAGAGGTGCTAGGTTTGTCTTTGATACAAGGCTTGAGCGGAGTGCATGGTGGTGGAGCTATAGTCTCGCAGACTGTTTATGTAAGCGTCTATGATGGTGTAGCAGCATGTAATTGAGTAGTGTACTCTGAGATGGTGTTGATTATGCCAGAGAATAGAGTAAGCACAGCTAGTAAATGATGTGCACATCAGACCGTCGTTGCATTAGCTTACCAGTGATAGTCAGGTCACGTTTGGCTTTGTACTTTTCAACATGCACACGGCCGATGATGCCTCCTTTTGTGCTCTGAAGCATTGGTACCGATGCACACTGGTGCGTTACTTGTGTGAACTTAGCATACGGCAGCCGGCGGTGTCGAAGCATGCTATGGCACGGAGGCATAAATCAGCGAGGGTCAGGTGGGTGGGCCATGTAAGAAGTCTGGTCACGAGCAGGGCTGGTACGGAGGGCCCTGAATCCTTATTGATGGGCGCAATCTAAGGAGTGAAGACGCGTGATCAGACAGGAGATGAGCATCGGGCCCATAGACGCCTCTGCCGATGCCAGCCCCGCGACAGCAAGCGAGCGTCTTTCAGTCTCCAACAGGCCCCTCGGTCAGTCCCTTCTGGCGCTGGTCAACAGCCCAGTCGCAATCGTACGGCACATTTCTGTCTGCCTACCTATTCCATCGCATCGCATCACAAAGATTACAAGTGTTCACTTCCATCTGCTAGGCAGCCATATCGCGGGGCAGGACGATACGAGCATAGTACAGTAACCCTCTCGGCCAAATACCTACACACGACCAGCACGCTGCTATCAGTCCTCTCGACCGACCGACATTACCGCTACCCATTCACATTCGCACCTATACTCACATATTCACACACGCATACACAAACTATGGCGTCCTTTTTTGAGCAGCTGTGGGAGTCCATCTTCACTCCAGGGCCGACTCCCACGCTCCTTGTCGCAACAAATGCCTCCTTCGCCGCACTCCAGCTTCTCCTCTTTGCCATGCTCCTCGCAACCTACAGCATACACTTCATCATCCTGTCTCTCCTCTGTGGAGGTCTCTGGTGGTCAATCAACTGGTTTGCAGCAGAAATCAGAGCTGCGCAAGAGAAAGAGGAGGAGGCGAAGCGGATTCGTGAAGCTAGAAGAGGCGCAAAGGACAAGGGTGACGATGGTGATGGTGAAGCCATGGACTCGGGAGACGATACTGAAGTTGAAACCGAGGTTGAACAGAGACAGGTGCCTCAGCCCAAGCCCAAGCAACTGCGTGCTGAGGCACAGAGCACCGTCCTGGTTGACAAGCCACAAGGCAATGCTATAAGCAGCCCGTCACCGCCTCCTGTGACGGCTGGTGCGAGAACCACTACGGCTGCGACTACAGGGCTTGCAGTTCCAGCCGACGAGACGACCAAGCGAAGAAAGGGCATGGCCGAGTCTACGGGCGATTTGTCTACGGATAGCGAGTGGGACAAGCTGTCGGAGGATTCCGAGGATAGATGAAGACGTCTATATTTTGCTGGCCGCTGCTCGCCATGGTTCTGTATGCTTTTTTGGATGCTAGACGCGATTAGACTGTGCATCTGTACCCCGATGTCGCGACACGTGAACACGCGCTGCTGTCCCCCCTCCCCCTGTGCTATGCACGTCAAGACGTTGTGCATTTGTCTCTTTTCTAATCCAGAAGCAGGGAGTGACCTCTGCTGATCTCACCTCACCCAGCCGGCCATGCATCGGGCCTGGAGTTGCAATGACTGACTGGGCTGTGCTTCCTTGCCTGCTTGCCCGCTTGCTTGCTCGTCATGCCCCGCCAAAGCTTCCACCCTCACCCATCACAGTGCCCGAATGCCCAACTCGCTCATATTCCCATTCCCACATGTCGCTGACGACGACGCCTTGGTCCCGACCCGCACCCATAGTGGCCCTGCTATCCCATGTCTAAGCTGCTGCCTTGACCCTGACATCCGCGAATATACTTTGCACAAACCCCCGCCGCCGCACACGAGCAATCCCCCGCAATGGCCGCTATCAACACGCCCGTGAGCGTCGCAGAGGTGACCGAGCAGGCTGGAAACTACACCTACGATGCACACATTCCCCTGGCAAACTGGCTGCGCACTGCCAATACCATGCAGAAAGAGGTGTGTCGCTAGGCTCATGCAAGGTGCGCATGCTCACAGCTTCCCAGGCACAAGTCTACGAAGCAGAAGGCAACGATGCGCAGACATACCTCCTACTATACCGCCACGCCGACCTTGTCCTTCAGAAACTACAGGGCCACCCCGACCGTAACAAGCCCGAGAATCGCAAGGCGCTGAATGCTGCTACAGCCGCTGTCAGCCGGGACCTGAAGAAGCTCGAGGAAATTGCGCCCCGGATAAAGAAGAGACATGAAGATTACGAGGCAAGGCGCAAGAGGCAGCAAGAGATGCTCAAGTCGTTGGAAGGCAAGACTGCTAGCCCTGCTTCTCAAGAACTCGACGGGTCCAGGAGAAGGTCGTATGACTCGAGACGGACCATTGACGCGCGCGCTCAAGACAATCATTTGTTGGCTGCGAGACTGGCACAGCGAGAAGTAAGGAGGAGAGCGACGAACAGGATAAGCGTGGGACAGCATGATGTTTTGGAAGCAGACAACCTGGCACAGCGTTCTGGTGGTACATTGGATAGTTGGCAAAATGAGTGGACACAGCAGAGCAGCGACAGAGACGATATTTCTAACCAGATACAAGAAGTTGCTAGACTACAGCAGAATGGCCAGAGAGCATCGTACTCGTCGGTATGTTGGAACCCGATGATGCCTAATGCCTCCATATACTGATAAGCGCAGCATCCAGCATCTCAGTCGACATCCACATACCATTACCCAACTGTTCCTCACAAAACAGCACAAGAGATATGGAACGACTCCCAATCGGGAGGTGTTCCACCAACGAGACCCCCAAAGGAACAAATATACAGGTCTTCAGGTCTCCCCATGGTGCCTCCACCACTGCCTCCTAAGCCTGCGGCCTCTCCATACGATTCGCGATCAGAACGTCCACGCCCTCCACCTGTACCAGGCAAGATCTCGGAAAGTGCACCACCATTACCCAGCAAAGTACTCGATCAGCGTCCACTCACTCCATCTGGAGAATTGGACGAGTTCACCTTCAAACCCTCAGCCTACCTTGAAAACGGCGATCCTCTTCGTCCAGTCTTCCTGCCGTCCCAGCTCCGCAACCAGTTCCTCGCCCTCGCATCATCCAACACGCGTCTCAACCTCGAGACATGCGGCATGCTGTGCGGAATATTAAAATCCAACGCCCTCTTCATCACGCGCTTAATCATTCCCGAACAAACCAGCACCAGTGACACGTGCGAGACACTGAACGAGGAAGAACTCTTCGACTATTGCGACAAAGAAGAATTAATGGTCCTAGGCTGGATTCACACGCACCCAACTCAAACATGTTTCATGAGCAGTCGCGATTTACACACCCATGTCGGATACCAAGTCATGATGCCCGAAAGCATAGCTATTGTCTGCGCTCCCACGAAACAACCTAGGTTCGTGTCTTTTTCCAAAAAAAAAAACTCCGTCTCAGTCCTCTTTCTTCCATTTCAACATGCTAACGAAAGAATAGTTGGGGCTGCTTCCGTCTCACCGACCCCCCAGGTAAACAAGCAATACTGAGTTGTACCCGCCCTGGTATCTTTCATCCTCACGACGTGGATAATATTTATACCGAAGCGCTGAAACCGGGCCATGTGGTGGAGTTGATGGATGCACCGTTGGAGTTGGTGGACATGAGGCCCAAGAAGAAGTTTTAAGAGAGGGTTGGGCTTACTTTGGGTGTGGAATAGTGTGGCAAATGGATTGAGAGGCGCTTGTTTTTTTTTTGCTCTTCAAATGGTGAAAATGGGATATGTATTGCATAGCGAAGAGGGTTTGCATGAGAGATTACGTATGTTTGTAGAAGTGTGTGGGAGGATTGGTTGTGATAGAATTGATTTAGAGAGAAAGAGAGGTATAAATCAAATATATCAAGGATTCCCCCCCCTCCTTTCCCCTTCTACTTACTTTTGGAAACACGGGTTTACGTTAGTGATTTGTATAGGGATTTTTCCCTCTATCAAATACTATCCTCTCTCTCTCTCTCTCTCTCTCTGTGTGTGTGTGTGTGTGTATGTATGCCTCTCCCCTTTTCCCCCCGATCCTTCCAAACAAAAATGAAGAAGAAGAAGAAGAAGAAGAAGAAGAAGAAGAAGAAAAAAAGTGTACAAATAGTGGTCTCGTGTCATTCACGACAAACTTGCATACCACACAATCTTGCCAAAACATAATCTTACCGGACTTTACTTGTACGAATATACGCTCTTTTGTATCTGAATATCCATCTTATCCTCTCTCCCCCCCTTTCCCCCCTATCCTTATGTATAGGGTGCGGGTGTATATGGACATGGATTAGATGATGTGGAAGATGCCCTACTTGAGGGGTTTTTGTTCGTTCCTTCTTGTCCCTTTTTTTTCTTCGTGTGGTTCGAGGTTCTTTTGGTTGGTTGGTTGGTGGGGGTATGGATAAGGGTAGGGATAGTAGGGGGGTTTAAGGAGAGAGAGAGAGAGGGGGGGGGTGTTCATCCCGTGGGTTGATGGGTTTAATTGGGGGAGTGGGTAATCTTCATGTATGTATTGTGTGAATGGTTACTTTGGAAACTGGCGAGAGAGTAGGAGAGAAGCATGAGGGTAAGGTGAGAGGGTAGGTAGATGGGTGAAGTAAGGAATGTCTAGTTGTGACTGTCGTGTCACAATCTAGAAGGGATTGCTTTTTTTGTTTTGTTCTCTTCTTCCTTTCTGTACAAGGAACATGATGTTGTACGATCAGATACGTTGCATCGATATGTGCTTAAAGTGATATAAATCAACTATCAAAAATACATCAACGAGCAAGGGTACTATTCCTCGCGAAACCAGGACAAGACATTGGTAACCCACCCCTTGCATCATTCGTGCCACTCACCTTCTATCACGGCACTCCCACAAGTTCACGTGGGAATAAAAACAGGTACCAAGCGCTTGCGGTCTTCACGACTCATACACCCACCCCCACCCCCCCATTCCCCATTTTCCCTCGTTCCTTGTTATCATCGCCAAACACCTCGCGATCGTCGACGTCATCACCACAGCCCAAGAAGAATGTCACCCTTTCACTAGCCACCCGCAACAATACAGGATATATACTATGTATTCTAAAACTGCGCCTCTCCGGAATGGGCGGCTAACTGCCGGATCCGTGTGTGCCGGTAACCGAAAAGAGACTAAGATTGGATCTCGCAAGTTCCAAACATGGCCTCGGGCGACCCGATAGATTTCGGGAGATCGACAAATACGTGCTATTAGGTACTCACAAGTAATATCAGCGGTGGTTTCGTTTTCCGTGTACGTCCATGGGCCTTTGTATATGTTCGAGCAAGGCTTGTTATGTTTTTTTTTGGCCACTACAGAAGTAGGTTGTGAATAGATGTGCTGCTTTTTTGTGAAACAGGTTTTCGCGGCGTGGTGCTGGTTGTCGAGCTGAGGTGCGGCGCTTGGAAAAAGGGATTTGCAGCGTTGGTGGGACTAGGGGGGTTTGGGCTGGTTTTAGTGTAATTTTTTTTTCTTTCTTTGCTTTGCGTTCTTGATGTGGCTGGCGAACCGTTTTTGGTTTTTTCTGGTCTGGAAGAGTTTGCACTACAGGTGTGGGGATCGAAATTTCCAAGTTTTTTCTCTCTGCTTGACTTTGCTTTCTTTTCTGCTGGCTTTGTTCGTGCAGCAGTTTGGTGGTTTAGTTTCACCTTGGCGATCTCGGCATGATCCGAGAGTGTAAGGCCGAGGGGCATATGAAAATTAAGTGATGATCGGGATCGAAATCGGATGATAGCAATGTTGGTGGCCTTGGTAGAAGGGTTGGATACAATTGGATCGGGATGAGTATCCATCTACGTGCGCTACTGCTGAGATCAGGCCATCAGGGCTGTCGTGGTACAAACAACGGGTTGGAAATGACCACCAAGAGCTCAAGACTTGTCAAGTGCTCTCCCGCAATCAGAAAAGAGATTCAACAGGCTCGGTACTGAGCCGGCAGGATACAGCCTCAATGATGCGTACCGAATTGCCCTCCCTGTTGCCGTTCGTTAGTCGTATGGTTTTGCTTTTCTTCTACGTTGTTCTTGGCTAGCGACGGAGTCTAAGGGACCCATTAACACGAGTTGGCGTTACATCGTAAGTCCGTAAAAAAAAAAGAATCGGCCGCGACTGGGCTGACAAAGACTGAATAGCCCAAGGCTAGGTGCCGCTGTCTGGCTTCCGTTCGGTAGTATTAACCTGGAAGTGGACATTCCGAGTGTCAATACAATAGTCAGGCACGCGATTCGGTGATTGTGTGCACATGCAAGCGGTGTACTTGGACATGTGATGGCCTGACCAAGGGGTTTCCAAAAACAGCAAAGTAGGTAATGAAGTTTTTCTTGGGTGTATTTGGCGGCATGGAAGGTGTGTGAATGGGATGTGCTGGGCATGCTCATGCAAGAGCCGGTCGATAGGAGACTGGGATATACTGTATAAGATATTCCAATTTCTTGGTACCGAAGGGTGATGCGCAGCGGGGGAGAGGGAAGGGAGGGGGGGTTGTAGTACAACACTTTCCTGAGCAGCCTAGCCCTCTCTTCAACTTGACATGGCATTCAATGAGTTTGGTGCTTTTAGGAGCTGTGCCTGTGCTTCTTTCTGGTGTGAGGGTAATTCAACTGTGTGTTGGATGTTCTTTCCACAAACCCGCCAACTATTATTGATGGCCAGGTCCGTGCTTGGTAATGACGTCGTTCAAGAAACTGTTGATAGGGTAAAGCTCCACAGCAACTTATGTACCCGCGTACCAAGGACTTGTGCGCATTGCTACTAATGTAACACGTGCATTTGATACAGTAGACGTGAGCTAGGAACGGGTTTGAGAAGTGTTGCGCTACAGGGAACCAGGGCGGCGGGTGTCGCAACGGAGACAGCTCCAGAGTATGTCGAAAGGTCGACACCAGACACTTGACGTCAGTAGCCACGTATCTGGAAGCAAACGCACATTACTCGCGCGGTGATGTGTTTCCATATGTTTCGTGCACAGCCCGAGACGTGGTGAGGAGCATGTTTTCCCAAGGCCGCGTTAACAAGTCTGCCTAGACCACTGGTCTACGTGCCAATGTGGATTTATCAAGGTATGGGGTGCTGAAAACAAGGTTTACACAGTAGAACTTTCCTCTTGATCGGTGTCCATGTAAAGTATATTTCTGTAACATGAAACAATTTACACTGTTCTCAAGTACATATAGTATACTTGTCACTGCAGATGACTGGGTCCCATTCAACACAGACGCATGAAGTCTGAATTAGCTTTCCGGTAGGGTTAAGAATAGTGTGGGGGAGGGGGGGCGAAAGCAAGAACCTGGCCTTTCAGACTACAAACCTGGCGAATGTGAACTATGTTGAGTATGACGTCGTGCAGTGTATCAAATACTGAGGCTGTGTGGCGCCCAGACCTTCACTCCTGCACCCAGTTAATGCCAATTGACGATCGTGATCGCACAAGTTGATCGATGTCTCTAGTTTGAGCTAGCAGCTTGGATAGAGAAGGTCATTGGACAGAAGAGATACAATTAGGGACGCCAATGCTTGAAAGACGTGGAAGAATATTGAAATAATGGACCAATGGTGACGAACCGAGATAAACTATATTCGTAGAGCAAAGGGTCGAGGCAATTATTCGAGCACTAGGCATTCTGTAAAGAAAAGGTCGGAATTGGAGACTGTTTTTCTATTTTGCATTTAACGGCTGAATCGCTGGTTTTTTTTGATGACTCAATTTGAGCTGCGATCCAAATGAACATGAAGACTACGTACAACGCATTACGCTTTAGGCATGCCAACCGCGGTACACAATCTTAGTGCCGTACTTTTGACCCTTCTTGAGTACCATCATAGGCTTGTACTCGGGGACATTGATAGCGTTTACGTACCGGCTGGGCTCAACGCAGAAACCAGAACGGGCGCGGCGGGCGGGCACATCACCAACTGCGGGCACGTCGATGTACTTTCCGGTGTAGAACTGAAATGCTGGCTCAGTCGAGTGGACTTCGAGATGGATTTTGCTTTCCGGGTGGTAGAAGGAGGCAAGCTTCTGCAGAGCTAACGAGCGCGTGTCAATGGGTACACTGCTAGGGTCGGTGTTGACAACAAAGCAGTCGTCAATGTCGGGTTCTTTTTCGCCGAGAGTGAAAGTCTTTTGAGGGCTGACGCCAGGGTACTCTTCGATAGGTCCTGTGGGTATGCCTCCGTCATCAACGACTTGGTACTTGTTTGTGATGAGAGTGACTTCTGTGCCAGCGATAGAAGGTCCTTCTGTCAAGTTGAAGTAGCTGTGAACATTTTTCTTTCTTTCAGTACTGTAATCTAGGTGCAGTACTTGGTGAGCGCTTACCTGTGGTTGGTCATGTTGATAGCAGTTTCGTCGACCTCATCACCGACGAGTTCAGCTTCGTACTCGATATGCAAGACCTCTTGCTGAACACCGTCTACTTGTTCCTTTTCCTGGACGTACCACACACTTACTTGCACGGTGCCAGGGTAGCCCTCCTCACCGTCTTTGCTTAGGTACTTGAACAGGGTGGCCTCTTTGCCATTGCGATCCACCGTAGTAGGGCCTTCAAACTCACGCTTTCCCCAGCCCATGTGGCCTCCATGGAGGGAGTTAGGGCCATCATTGAGGGGGAGTTGGTACGATTTCCCGTTTAGGTCATTGATCTTCGCCTTGGACACGCGGTTGGCGATGCGGCCAATCGTCTCACCGAAAAAGGGGGCATTGTACTGTTTATACAAGTCGGCCGAGGGAAAGCCCTGGACGATATTTTTTCCATTGACATGGAACTTTTGGATGATGGCGCCCAGAGGCAAGAAGGTGAAGGCCTTTGAAGACATGGCGCAACGGGAAATGAGTGTGGCTGGGCTCTGTTGGGCAAAGGGTAGAGAGTGGCAGTGGCAGGGCAAGCGGGTGGTCTAGAATTGTGTGGTTAGCTGCAGATCTGGAGTGTGGTTGAAGGGCAGCACGGTCCCAGTAAACTTTGTCTCTCCTATTGTTGCGATGTGTGGTGTGGTGAGATGAGGGGTAAACTGTCCAGACGCGGGGCTGCTGCGGGATCACCGCCACCACCACTCACCTTAGCTGAGCGTCTGGGCGCGCGTATAACTTTGGGGTATCCTTGGGCGTGGGAGCAGGCGACCAGGCTGATTCAATAGTTTGCTTGAATCGTGTGTGTGTGTGTGTGATTGTGACAGAAGACGGGCGCATTGCGGACCGTAGCTGGGATACATATGTGTTGATTTATTAGCCTAATGAGGATGTGGAGCAGCCGTCGACGTTCCTTTCTGCCGCTGGTTACCACGCGAAGCAAGGCTGAAGTCTGCTGCTATGCGTAGACCGTTTACATGATGTGCCTGGCGCAAATACAGTATAACGGTTCGGACGATTTCTCCGCGTCAACGTCTGGACAGTGTCAGCGGATTATTAATAATGGGTACTAGATTCATAGTAGTATGTATGCATCTATGTATGTAGTAAGTATGTATGTACATGCACTTGCTCATTCTGTCCGCCACACATCATTAGTAATCGGCATTTCAAGCGCGCACACTCAATTTCCCAACATGCAACGTCATAATGGTAAAGAAGAACAAACAGCGAGTTTTAATATTTACAATATCATATACAGGTAAACCACAGTGTACTCGCACAGGCGCCCTTGTTGCGCCCATTGTCAGGAACAGTTGCCAATCCGCGTAGGCATGCAGCTGTGCCCGGCACAGCGGGTTGACGTCGTCGTGAAAACAGGTGAGACTTTGACCGGAGTGTACATTGAAGGAGTAAATGTCCCGGCAGATCATTATAAGCCGACATATTGGACGCCGATTGCTATGACCGAACCCAAACGCCGTAAAGAAACAGGAGGTATCCCAGAACGCTTGAACGCTAAACAAGGAGATGGAACGAAGCAGCGGAGTTGTATCCGGACCAATGACTATGCGCCAACGGGGTTCTGGATGAAGCTGCTGAAATCCAACTCATTGTGCGTATTCCAATCGGGCATCATTGGGTCGTTTGGGCTTATCGCAACACTCTCCACCATCATGCTTTGGTCGTAGGCGGGGAAGCTGTCGAATCCGTACATTGGCTTGAAGTCGACTGTGTCATCCATCATCATCGAGTCGTTCATCCAGGGTGCTCGTGACAGTGCAGAGGGGTCCATGACACCGCTGCCCATGAACGGTGGCGAGGCCATTACCGGCTCTTGCTTGATTGGCGAAACTACCTGCGACTGTCGTGGGAATGGGCTGTTCATGGGTGGGGTTGGCGGTGCGTTGTTGCGGGCAAAAGGGCTTTCGTAGGCAAAAGACCTGGTTGTGGGAGTGCCATTGTATGAGGAATTGGACGAAGCGTGGCCGTGGTCGGATTCTGAGCTGACTGAAGTTCGTCTCTGTGTGTATGGGGCGCCTCCCTCGATTAGTCTTTGCTGCATGCGATTGCAGTCTTCCTCGAACCCTTCGTAGTGAGTGCTGCTTTCGCTAGGGGCGTGTAGAAGATCCAGGCGTTCCAAAATGTCGTGGGTAAGGGGATGGCCACCTGCTGTTTCTTGCAGTGGTTGGCCTGGCCAGCTTTCGCCTCGCTGTAGGCGGCTGTAGAGTTCTCGCAGACCAGCAACTAGTTGGCCTTGTTGCTGCTCAAGCATCTCGACGTAACTTATTTGGGTCAGCCTAGGGAACTCAAATCAAGTACGCAAAGGCAATCAACATACCCCTTGGGATATACTTTGTCCTGAGACTTCTTTCGCTCTCCAAAGACGCAGATTGCGTTGTCGGCTTTGCAGCGACTGCAAGGGCTTGCTCCATCGCACTAGTCCTGTTAGGTGGATGATTGCGACGACTGTCTGGAGTTGAGCATACCTTTGATTTTTTTAGACGGCAGCGATCGCACGCCTTGCATACTCGCTTTCGGATATTGTCTTGGGCCTCCATTGAGTCTGATCTCTGAGGTGACATGTGGGACGAAGAAGGCAGGGCAGGGTGGGTAGTAGGGTGGGCTCTGCAGGTGGTGACCAAGACTTGTGTATGTGTGTGTGTGTGTGTATATATGTCTTATGTCGGACAGTACAATGATAGCTGGTAGGATGTTGGTGTGCAGTTTGCTAAAATAAAAAGAGGTCCAGGTGGGAGTGGAAACCAAGGCCCTAAATAAGAGCTTCAGGGCCGTGTGGGTAGCAAAGCATTATATCTATTCACGTCAGAGGATAGTTGGGTTCAGGCGGACGTTCGGCGATAACCTTGTGGTGCAAAAACCCGGTAATGAAACTGTAATTATGAAATGGGCCGGCCATGGGCAGCTAGAGGGGACCCCTGTCTCTTTACACATCATCAATGGGCGCACGCACGTTGAGGCACATTAGTCGACGTGCAAGGGTGCATGGCTGGGCTGGGTGCAGGGCACCAAGGGCGCGAGGACTGGGCTTCGCTGGCCGGAGGAGTGACAAAGCGAAAGCGCGGAGTCGGCCAACGAGCGGACCGTGAGCGCACAGTAGTCGACGACGACTGCACTGCGAGACAGCCCGCCCGCGTCGTTGCTCGTCCGCCAGGGAGAACAGGTGACGTTTCGCTTCGGCGAATACGCGGGCTTAACCAAACCAGACGACGTGCTCTCGAGATCGCAGCGCTCGGGTGCCGGCAACACGACTTCCACGACCAAAATCAGACGGACAAGAGCCGCCTATGGCACCCCCTCCCCCCCGCAAATTGGCGATGCTGGCCAGGGATTGTGTGACACATGGGCGAGGTCATGATCAAGAGTCGACGCTGCTTGTGCTTGTTCATGATGTGTCTGTCTGGGTGTGCGTCTTGTGGATGCGCCTGTCATCATCATGGCGGCATCGCTGATAACGTTTTTTTGTGGCCTTTGACGGGGGCCCCAATGTAAACGTACCAAAGCTTCGGCCGAGCTAGAGAGACAGGTCTGCTTTGAGCCTGACTGATTTGACAGCCAGATTGATCAGCCTCTGATGAAGGCGTGCTCCTGCTCGCTCCCTCGGACGGTGGCACAATCCCGATTCCGTCTCTTGCGTCCGAGTCATCAAGGGGGAGGCGGACCAAGACTTCATGTCCGTCTACCACACACACACAAGAGCAGAGCAGTCTACTACTTACTACACACGCGTGAAGAAAAAGACGCATACGCCTGGCCCGTCTGCGCCTGCTCGACACCGACATAGTTGCATACATACACACACACGCACTTACTTACGTGTGGATATACGCTATATAGCAGCGCCAGCCAGCCAGCCAGATGGTCGAGGGCGCTGCGATGTGACCGATGGCTTCAAACCGTCCGTTGTTGGCTGCCAATGTAAGCGCAGCCACAATCAGCGACCTGCATTGTCGCGACATATGCTGACACCCGCCTGTGTCTCTTCTGGCTGCCCTCTAGCCACAATCGTCTCGTCCGACTCGACCTGCTCTCCTTTGCCGTTTCTTGTATTTTGTCGAATACACACATACGCGTCGCAGCCAGCATGCGCCTCGTCCAATGTTTCATGAGACGTACGTACTTGGCAATAAGTAGTAAGTATAGTATAGTCCTACCTACTTGTGTCCTCAGAAAATGCCTCAGCCACAGCACCATTGAAGCCACGCCCTGACCCCCCCCCTCCCCCCATCCACGTACACCTCCACCTAGCCACAGCCAGGCGTCCAGGCTCTAATCATGTTTACTGGCCCATCTGTATACATACATACATACACACATACGTACATTCCCATACGCGCTATTATCGTTTGGCCAGTCAGCTCAGTTCCTACGCTACTCAGGGAGATTGGCAGGCTGGCGACACACGCCAGGCGTCGTCAGGCAGCGTGGCTGAGAACATGACTTTGAGCTGAGGCAACATTTAACGGGCCCCCATATACGATGGCTATACGATGGCTATACGACAGCTATACGACGATGCGCCCCCTGTCTTAATACACACTTAGCCGTCCCTGCCAAGGCGTCCTGAAGTGAACACCGCCCGTTTGGCTAGATAGTCTGCCTTGTTCTTCCTCTTCTTCCTTATGCTCCTCCTTCTTCTTCTGCTTCTACTTCTGCTTCTGCTTCTGCTTCTGCACTTTGTTTCAAACAAGCCTAGCGTGAGCGCATACAAAAATCATGTCAGCCACGGCCACCTTTTGTGCATGTGCATCATGCCACTCGTACGCATACATACATACTCACACTCAGCATCCGCATAATCACAATCATCGCCTCCACCTCATCATCGCCCTCTAACACCATCTACTTACTCGCTCCCTCGTCATGTTCCAGGTTGCAGCCGCTGCACCGCCTGCTGACATGCGACTAAACGCCAGTGCACGCCGACCAAGATTGCCAGGGCTTGTCTCCATTCCCGCCCTGGCATTCGGCCACTTGTCTCGTACTTACATGGTCCTGCTCGGCTCACAGACCGACGAATGCGGGGCTGCTAGCAGCGATCCTGTCAGACCCATCTCCCGTCCGTGTGCAATATGCTTTTTCAATGCAAGGGTCCTTGGATGCACATTGATATCAAAAAAAAACACACAGTCCCACCCGTCCTGGTGAACAGTCGCCGACATCATGTCGACTCATGTTGGAGACAGTAAGCGGCGATTGAATGCATGCTCCTCGACAGGTTGTTGCTTGTACCCCGACAAGACGACCAGCCAATCTACGTACACTGTCGGCCACTACAAACTTGAATAATGCCTTTCCAACCCGCCTGCTATGTCATTGTCCAAGGGTTGCGTGGTTGCCATGCTCCAATGTGCGACGTTTTGCTGGCAATCACCCCACGGTCTCCCTTGTTACATTGGACAAGGGACGGACGGTCTTGTCCCTCCGATCCATACTAACCCAAAATCCCCCCTGGTGCCATGGCGTACATACTTACTTACTGCTTCGATACCTGCCGTCCTAGCCATGTGCGCAAAAGTCTTGGCTCCTCGTGTCCAAGATTCTCTTGTGCCCCCTCTGATTGCCTCAGCAAGACTCTCCGCACGCAGTCTCAAGATCGACACCCGCTCTCGCTTACTACGGCCTAACCTTGCGGCTTTACTCAGCCCGGTCGCAACAGGGGTACCAAGCAGATCCTCCCATTAGGTGCCTACAGTCACTTATTACCAAGCCCTCTCCAACGGCCTTACTCATCCTGTGCACTTTGCACTGGTCCCGCCCTATATGATTACCTAGCAAACTTCGAGCTAAAGTCCTGCCAAGCTCCTTTGTCCATGGATACTATCAGCCTGCATATTAGACACGCATGTTTAACTTTGTTTCTCTCTTTCTTCTTCCTGCAGTCAGGCCGTTTGCGTTGGGTCCGGCATATTTTTTTGAACAATTCGTGGGCCTATTCTTACAGGTCATATAAGCCACGAGCTGCTTTGAACAGCCCTAGTAAAGCGGCACACTGAAGCGCGTACGGGCCTACCGAGCTCAACGACAAGCAGAAACGGATAGCCAGCCGATTCAAGTAAACACAATACATATAGCACATACGGCAATTGCCGAGCCATGTGCACATGGCTCAAGGCTTGGCTCCAAAGCAATCTCTCTTTCTCTTGATTCCAGGGTCAGATCGTTGCCTGTGTAGTAGTAGCACTACAACAACCTGTTGCTGTTGTCGCACTGTGCCAGCAGCCTCAGGCTCCGCCCCACAATGTACGACCCACCAAATATGGGTCTCAAAAAAAGGAAACATGGGGGAACCTTGGCAATGACTAGAGACGTTTGAGCTGTCTATTTGCCCAAGGCTAGTAGTGAGTGACAGGTTGCGCACTCGGCCGTTTCCGTCTCTCAAGGCAACGAACACCCACGGCCCGGTCCTCTTGATATTCTAAGCCCCAAGGCTACGTGTAAAAACATGGCACCATCGAGAAAGCCTGTCGGTGCCAAGCCTTGTCACCCTAGGTCTCCGCTGCGGACAACATTTGGCGGCGTTTGCCCTTTTTTGTGTTGCTCGGGACCGGACACTCAGCCTTCCGGCCAAGAACTGTCGCTCAATCGACCCATCCACTAAAGCATGTAGTACTCTCCAACGCAGTCTGATTCAGTCTTGGCTCTCTCATTCTGAGTCGAGATCTAGACTCTCTCTGGCCCGTTTCCATCACCATGGATTCCTTGGCTGCCACATATGCACATACTTACGGGAGGCGTATAGACACGAAATGATGTCAACTAGAGTAACTATTCGCACACGGCACATAATAGAGCTGGCTAGCTCTAGCCTGTTTGATTTTCCTAGGCTCGGGAGATTGAAACCTTGCGTATTCTTAATACCCATGTCATGAGACCACATAAACCTTCGCAAGGAACCTACACTCCATTGAGGCGTCGACGGGAACTGCAATGAGTCAAGCCCATGGAGCAGTTTCCACAGGGACCCACCCCAATTTGTAAGGCTGAAAAAGCTTCGACAGTTAGTTATGCATTGGGCCCGCACCCACCCACGTCAGACCGCGTCTTAGTGCACAGTCGCCACACTATTCGCAGCGTCTAATCAAAATCCTCAGCAGAAGATCAGTCACGGATCGTAATCTCAAGGTGGTGCCATCATGAGTCTGACACATGAATTCAGTGCGAAAACAACTTTCTTTTCAACTGCCGATGACAAAGCTCAAGCACCAACATGACGGATCCGTTGGCCCGGATGCTGCTTGCTCAGTAAGTAAACTTCGGATAGTGATCAAGGCACCCGTAAAAAAACACTCTTCCCCTCCGGGGTATCTGCTTCTGTCGACACGCGGTATTTGCAATACGCGTTGCTCTTGTATACTACCAAACGCATATTCTAGGCCATGGTCATGGTGCACCTAGTATCCGTGACTCGACCGTGAAGGACTTGATGCTGATCATGATCCTCCCGTGGTGCAGCACATCCACCTGCGGATGGCGAACCCCAGCTCCGAGCGCCAACATACCGGTTCCATTGCGTACACACGAACAGGACCCCTGCCTGCTGTTGAAGAAATGGTCTAGACTTCTAGAATGCACCTTTTCATCATGATCCGCTTTGATAATCGTGCAACATCGGCCACGGCATCGCAGTGCGTTGGGTTAACTACGTAGCACACCGCCGCTCGTACCTGTCATCATCTGCCATTTATCGCAACACCGGTCGTAATACTCAAACAAACAACTCAATACCAAACGTGCCTTGTTTCCAACCCTCCTTGCAAGCACCAACCAGGGGTCACGAATAATCAGGAATCTACTCAGCACCAAAAACTGGATTTATCCCCGGGGTCGTCTTCCAACTACGGTGTTTTCGGGTTTCTGTACCACACAAAAGTCCGGCGACTCCTCTTCACTCGGGGTCCGATACTTGGACACTCGTCCGAGATGGGGCGGGCACGGACCAAATATCTTCAATGGTACGTATCCCGCTTTACCGTGTACGCTCTGATGCCCTTTTTTTTCGCTCGTAAGCACAACGATCGCTTTTTTTTTCTTCTGCCTGATTTTAAAGGCTACCTCAGTAGGTCTCGTCAAAACGTAGTTTTTTTTCATGTTGGGTTCGTTCAAAGCATCGCGTGCTGTTATTTCTACAAAGGCATGATCGCCCCTTTGTTCAGCGCTGTTACTCCTAGTTCCCACACATGGCCTTTGGCCTCCCAGGGAAGGTCGCCCGACTTTGGCAGATAACACACGATCGAATCGACCGCTAATACGTATGCCTGAGATTCTACGCGACGGCTTGATATCAACGATCCTAGGCGCGAAATGCTGCGCAAACTGACCGGCTTGACTGTGCGCTAGGCACTACTTGAGGGTTTTTTTTGGTAAACCCTGCGAAAGCTGCAATAAGCTTTGGCATGCCTCGAGTCGCTTCCCTAAATGCACCCTGCCAGCCATGGCAGATCCGCATCCCAATACAGCAAGTCGATGTCACGGGCACGATCTCTTAACACATGGTCCCCCATGCTTCGATGCTTCTACTTATTGCCTGGAGCACTGGTTGAGAAGATGCGACGTGCCTCCGTTTTAGTGGGAGGAAGAGCTCTCTGAAGCGGATAGTGCGATGCGAAATGTAGCCTTAGTGCAACACTCGAGGCCGGCTAGACCGACGATTATATTGAAATGGCCACAATACGAAAACTATAAGGCCGCGTTGCTCGCTCGCTCCAGTATGGTGGTACAGCCTCGGAGTTAAGCTGACTGCAGGATAGAACAGACAGCGTGCACGCTCGGTCACGACTTTACACCGCAAATATGCGCTAGGCAGTTCCGAACCTGCAGCACTGCCTCAACATGACAACCCAAGTCCCAAACCCAGTTGCTCCTAACACATCATTTTCTAGTGATGCGTTGACCCAAGGCGCAAGGCGCAGGGCGCAAGGCGAAGATTTGCAGACGATGCGTTCTGCCCATACCCCACCCCTCCGCGGCCCTAGTACAGTCAGCAACGTCAGCGTGCGCTCAATACTCGTCCAAAATGGCCTCGATCGCGAGGCCCGTTTTGTAACTTTGGGGCATGATTGCAAGGCTGTACATACTCTATCGGGTAGGACCCATGTTCATCGTCTTTAGAACACCCAGCGGCGATCATCGACTCGAAGCTCACACCGGATCACTTAGCCGCGGCAAATCACCAATCCGCAACCTTTGAAACAAACGCCCGTGGCAACGACACTGGTCTGACAATACAACGACGCCGTCTATCAGGAATCTCTCGCTCAGATGCAGGTTGATGATGTCGGCTGCATTGCACCAGGAAAATTAACACTGGCAGCTACTGCACTGCCGTGCTGCTGAATTTGAGACTCACTGACGTTTCTAGTGTGCTCTAGGTCCACGTGCTCGGACCCCGATATTCGGGCCGTCAACGTGTTTACAGTAGTAGGAAAAATGGTATTACGTCGAATGTGGACCTTTGTTTTGTGATGAGCTGCTTTCACCATGCTTTACATCACAAGTAGTCTTTCTTACACTCACATGTGCTGGGTGCAGCACAGTGCTTTTGCATTTTGCGGGAATAATCTGGCTTACTAAGGCATCTCGCTCAATATCTCTTTTCTCTCTTATTGCCGACATTCGGGCCCGATTGCACCACTCGGACATACGACAACTATAACAAACCCTTTTTTTTTCTTGAGTCAAAGCCTCGCTTACACCATTCATACTTTTCTGCCCCAGTCACGCGAGACGGAATTATCCGAATCACCCCATACCACGACCCATCTGCTGACATGCTATCGGTAACTCTGACTTTCTTTCGCGAGCTTGTACTTACTACTACAATGATGCCAAAGTTCTGACAGTATCGCGTTCCCGAATGCCATATCCTCGGGTAGAATTGGGCCGAATCACGCCTTCTTTGATGAAATGACTAGTAAACAACAGAGCGAAAAGTAGTTGCCGATCCATATGCATGCGTGTTTTGTGTATATACTTGCCTCGGACAGTGACATGTCATGTGACTTGTGTAAACGTATCTATATAGTGTATACAGCTTGGCAAACCCCTACGTACAGTGCATGTCATAGGGACGCGTAACATACACGACTTGGCTCGTGGGATATCAGGCATATTTCGAACTTGGGAAGCAAAGAATGCAAGGAAAAGGGGAGAGGCCCGAAAAGACGATGTCGTGGACACGCTCGAGGCGTTTTGCGTCTTTGGCATACGCAGTAGGATCGTCGATACAAGCCCTAATTTGCAGCGTCGCAGCTAGACTAGACAACACAGACATGCTCATCACTTTACAATCTACATGGATCGAAATCGGTTAATCGGGGGTAAATCAGCCTTGTTCCGTGCCTAGCACAATATCCAGAACCTTGTGATTTGCATAGTCGGCAGCTTGAAGCCGGATAAGCAGCACAGAGATCGAATCTGCAAGAAAACTCCATATACGTAGTGTGGGACGATTGGATCCCTGGAAATACGAACAACCATGTCTGAATCAAAAGGGAAGCACACAGGGGTCTTTGTGAGCATCCCCAATACCCAAACTTACCAAATTACCAGTACCTCCTTTTCATCCAGACTCTTATAATCAATCAGTTCTCCTTTTTCCCTAAAAATAACACACGAAAACGTCTTTGTCAGCCCTGCAACGCACCGCACCGCAACGCACGTACATAGAACCGTGACGATCAAGACCGAAAAGAATCTATTCCCAAATGGTTAAAAGCCCATGGAAGGGAATAATACGATATGTACGTATGCGTAAGCTTACACTGCCATTTCCACGCCTCATTTCCCCAGCCTCTTCCCCCCCGGACGCTCCACGGCTTCCACCCCAGACCCCAGTCTCGGATCGCAACGCACGCACAAGCACTCAGGGAGAAGCTAAGAGAGAAGGCCCTGACTGCGCCTCTTGAACCCCCGGTTTAGCGATTAGCGAGGAGGGGAAAGTGTGGTTGGGGTGCGAAAGGGTTGACTGGGAGGTGATGAATTGCTGTATTTCGAAGTGTTTGGATCATGTTTGAAGGAAATATGAGGGAGAAGAGGTGAAGATTGTAATTGCAGAGAAGACAGTTGTACATGCCATACGAAAAAGCATCCAGCATCTCAATTTCCACCCTACTACTATATTGCGCCAAGGACTTGGATAAAGTACGCACGAAAGAAGGACTGCGGAGAGGAACCACAAGGCTGAACTCTCGTCATCCCCTCAGACCCCTTCTCCATCTCGTAATACCGTTCACCATTTGCGGGGGAAAAACGAAATAGTAAGCAATACGTAGACCAACCTCGGACTAACATAACCCAACCTGCCCAATTTCCCACCCTGTGCACTAAAGCACATCCACCACCACTACTGCCACCCGATCTTACGGGACCTACCTGCAAGCTAGTACATACTAACTACACTACTAGACCATCTCCCCACAAAGCCCTATACACATGATCTCGCATCTCCCACCGCTCCTTTACTCTCTCGGATGCCCTTGCCGCAAGAACGCGATCCCTACCCTTGACCTCGGCACCTTACACACCTCGTAGTCAGCGTATTCGTAACACACGTTAACTGCGTATGTAGACATCACACCACAATAATATGTGCGCACCACAACGCACGCCGCAGGACAACATTTCCACACATACATGTGCACACTGCGTAATGCAAAACACACCGTTTTCCCTTTATGCTCCCACTTTTGCGCCCTTTTTTTTCATCCTCTGTCTCTCTCACACACACGCAAAACGGACTTGCCTATGCAAGTTTAGACGATTGAAAAACGGCCGAAAAAAATGTCGTTTCCCAACAAAGCATGCAACATGGTATACTAACCTCACCTTACGCATCTTCTTCACACATGTCAGAGGCAGAGAGAAAGGACTAGTTGGAGTCGGGTTTAACCCTTGCAAATGTCGTGTCCGTCGTGCTAACCCCCACTTCTCCTTTCCTCTTCCTCCTCCCTTTCCAACGAGGAGTGAGAAAAGAGAGAGAGAAAAAAATACCGATCCACACCAGTCGTATACACCGTATATGCATATCCCACATGCCACCACCAACGTTCGGTATGGGGGGAAAAAATACACTACTACCACCGCCCTATCCACCTCCCCACATACACACACACATACACACGTAAAGCCGCACAAGCGCCTCTTCCCTTCCCCTCCCTTTCCTCCCCCCACTTTCTTCAAAACCGAGGCGCCCTTTCACAGCCATAATCCCAACCCCTTCCCTTCCCCCTCGAGTCATGCAAACGCGCACAATGCGTATTCCCTTCTTTTTTTCCACCTTTGTCAGCAAAATACAGAACCCAGTAGTTATTATCCGCCCTGAGTTCGAGACGAGGCGCAAAGACACCTCTCGTTTTTATTTTTTCGCTCGAACAAGTTAAAACGCACAAACCCACCCCGGCCTCCCCACGGTGTGCGAGCGTTACACGGACTAATTGCGGTCTAATACCGGAATTCATTCCGCTCGGCTGTAATAACTATATGTTTTAACTTGTTAGTTTTCTAGTCATGCGCGGGGGACCGGGGGGGAGAGAGAGAGGGGTGGCTGGTAGGTTATGTGGTATCGGTAACATAACGCCGGCTGGTGAGAGCGCCCAGCAAAAGTAGTCATGGGCTATATTTTTTTTTCTTTCATGACTGGTATGTGGAGTTTTCTTTTTTCTTTTTTGAAAATTTTCCTTTCGGGCTTGGAGCTGTTTTGGGAGAGGGTTTATGGTTTGAAGGGATAAATTACGGACAAGGGGTGTGTGCGTGTGCTGATGGGGGGTAATTGGTAATATAAGTTTTTTTGGAAGGTCATGGTTTCAATATGGAGATGTTTTATGCTGGACGGGGGCTTGTAAGGTGAGAGGTCACAAAGCAGAGAATAGAGAGAGTGTGTGCCGGATGGATGGATGTAATGGTTTGCCAGAAAACTTGATCTGAATGCGCATTTAGAATTTGGGGTAAAGGAAAATGTACTACATCTTTGTCTTCATTGGTCTCGGTAACTCGTTTACTCGTCGATGGGTGGGTGAGTGGGTGAGCGACCGTCCGTTCATCCGTGTCCGTCCGTCCTTATCGACGCCCTGGAAGTCAGGTAAGTAAGCTACCCAAGTTTGGGGACGCACGAAAAATAAAGGGCAAGACTTGAACAAGGGGGGGTAAAGTAAGCAAGCCAAAAGGTGAACAAATCACAAGCATCGGGAAGTCACCCTAGATTGTTGATCGACAGAACCCCTGAAGCGAGTCCGATATGCTCTCGATCTACCAGACGACAACCGCCAACGAACGAGTCCCCGATGCATCAGCGGAGACCAGGGGGAGGGAGAAGCACAAACTGGTAATAATACCGACGCGAAAGTTTCCAAGGTGCATTGGGTCGCAACGGACTGTCTATTATTACGCCGTACTTGCTTGCTCGCTGTAACAAAAAGGGCGCAGCCAAAGGAGGGGAACGCAGGGAATACGTGTTTGTGACGCGTCTTACCTTTGTCATGTATGGTTAAAGTTTAGAATATATAACCCCAAGACAAGCACCAGCATGGATGGGTTGTGATCAACGGGAAAAGAAAACAAGGACAAGGGGAGGGGAAGAGAGGAAAGAACGAACTAGTAAAAGTCTAGAGTTACCAAATACACACACAACTAGCGCCGCCTGGTCTTTGTTTGCTTCGGTTCTTTCTCGTGCCCGTCGCTCTACTGACTACCTAAACACACCCAAACCCAACCCAAGGGGTATCTATCCGCAAGGCTATGCATCTTCAAAGCAAAAAAACCAAAAAAAACAGGGACTGCGAAAACAACAACAAAGAAAGTATTAAAGTCTAATCAGGCCCGCTCCAGTAAACGAACATGAAGCCAGCGATGCAAACACAAGCAAAAACCGCGTATGAGACAGCATGGCCTGAAGAAGAAGGTATCGTATCGTAAGAGGAAGGTGAAGCGGACAACCGTAATAGGGACGACAATTGACTTTGAAGATTGAGAGAAGGGAAATCCCTCTGTGCTTCGATATCTGCTCCCCCATCTTGTTGCCCCTCAACTTGGTCCTCTGCCCCTATTTGCTCAAGCACAGGGCTTTGAGTAGTGGTACTGGAGGTAGAGGAGCAGGAGCAGCAATGAGAAGCGGCGCAACCCCGCCGTTGAAGGTGCTATATGTGTGCACCGTAGGAGGGGGCAGTGACCACGACACCATCTTCTTTGTATTGTTCTCACGCCCGGCGCGTGGTCCCTTCAGAAGCTGCAAAATCGACTAAGTCTTGCCCTTTTCATACTCCATGTCTGCGTCCTGGAGCTCGGCTTCAAGTTGGGCGCGAGCATCCGGCGAGTCGGATGCACCACTGCTACTCAAAGGCGAGGATGCGGATGGTGGGGTATGTTCTTCTTCGCCGTAGTGCACCGACTTTACGCGCTTCAGTGCGGGCTCGCCATCAGGCGTGTTTTCGGTACTGACAAGGCCTAATTGACTTGCCTGAGCAGGGTTCTGGGCAATCCACCTCTCTCGCCATTGTTCGCGAAGAACGTCGTAGATGAACTGAAATTGCACCTTGGACTGTACCATGCCGGCGCGCTGGTCCCTGAGCATCTCGACTATCTTGACAACGGGGTCCTCGGTCTCGGGTACGTTGTCTAGTGAACCTTCTTGGAGCTCCTGCGTCAGCCAGTCGAGGGCGATAAAAGTTCCGCTGCGACCAATGCCTGCACTACAATGCACAATGCGCGGGTTGGTAGCATTATCAGAGTTCTTTAGGCGGGAAATCTCGACTAGTTTCAGCATAGCGGAGCGGTCGTCTCCTTCTGGCACGGAAAAGTCGGGCCAGCCGGCAAAGAGCAGGTGCCAGACCTTCTTTGACTCGGATTCATCATCAGTCGTCATGTCGATCTCCCGGACCTGAGTGCGCGCCTCCTCGTCAATGGTATACGAGGCCAGGTGAAGATTGTGGATGAGACCGTCTTGGAATTCGTCATCCTCGTTGACACGCAGGTCAGGGTTTTCGAGCGACTGGGGGTAGTAGGGGTAGCACTTTTCCCGGTAGGCCTCAAACGTCTGGGTAAGCATGACGATGACGGCGGGCGAATCATTCTCTTTCCAGACCATGCGCCAGATGTGCGACCATGTCTCGGCCTTGGGTCCCTGTGTTGCGATGTACTTGAGGGGTGTTTGGGACTTGGTCGTCACAAGGTCTATGGGTGAGGCGTTGATGTAGTCAAAGTGGCCCTCGGGGACGGCAAGATGGACTCTGTTGGACTGGTATGGGTCGACATTGGCGTAGCGGTTGCGGAAAGCGTACTCCTCGCCGCCGCAGCGTGCCCACCTGGGCGGCTCCTCAGAATCGGGCGGGTGTGAGGTATCGCGAAGACGGTCGTTCTGTGCCGTTTCGAGGCGATTCCACTTGGTATTGACGTCTCTGGTGGAGCCAAGGAAAGCGGGATATGGGATGCCCGCATTTTCGGCTGGTGTAGGCGTGCCGGGCGCAGAGAGAGGGTTGGCGAGGCTGTGAGTGCTGGCGGCGGGGGTACTGGCAGCGGGCGTGTTGAGCGACGAAGTGGTGAGGGAGCGGAGACTGTCCTTGCTGCGCGAGCGCTTGGACGAGGCCGTGGGTGAGATGGGATCGTCGGGGCTGGCCATGGCTGGGTCAGTCCTGATGAGGACGCCCTTGAGCTTTGCCTTGCGCCGGAGGGCGCGAAGTTTATGCAGTTTGAAAAGATCCGCGTCCGTGTATGCGGGCGGTTTGGAGGCGGCTAGTGGGGGGGAGAGCAGAGTACTATGTATTTGTGTACACCAAGTGGCGGAATACCGGGCGGGTGCAGGCTGTGGCGCGTCAAAGGCTGGAATGATGGGTCTGAGGGCGATTTGCCGCGTCTCGAAATTAGCGATAGGGGGGATGCGAGGTTGCAAGTGGAGGCAGCGGGCAAAATGAGGCTTCGCCACGATGCATTTGCTGCTCTGCTCCGTCTTACTCCCCGTCTGCGCGTCTGCGCGTCTCTTGTCTGTATCTTCTCTTGTCTTTCTGGTCCTTGATGGCAGTCGCAGTCACACTCTCAGTCGAAGTGCCGCGTCAGCAAGCTTACCAGGGATCAGGTCAGAGCAAGAGGCAGCCCGTCTCCCAAGAACCTGCTTCAGTGACCTTCGGGACAATGGAGGGGCTACAGGCGGCCTCGCAATTGGGGGGGGGAAGCAGATGGCGGATCACAGGCCGGCCGTAGCGTTGTCGCGTGGCCTTCTAGAAGGGCGGGCAGGCAGATGGGCAAATAGGAAGCGGTTGTGTATTAATGGCAAATGTCCCACCGTCGAGGGGGAAATGGACAATATTAATGCGAAGGCGCAAGGCCAAGGCAGACGGACTGTGAGATGGAATGACAACGCAGCAACAAGAAAAAACAAGCTCCCGCCCGAGGCCCCTCCTTTGCCCCCTGCAAACACGCCAGGCGCAGTCGCTGGTCGCTGGTCGCTGGTCGCGTTGGATGTAGTAAGTACGCACATGGCTGCCCGCCACTGTTCCTCACCAACATTCCAAGTTGCCCCCCACTCACCACCGCCACCACTCCTTTCATCTCAACCCCATCATCTGCGCATCCCTATCATTCCATCGCACCGCCAGCCATCAAACTGTAAATCCACTACTGACTCGCCCATGGGCCCCTGGTTTGCTCTCTTCGAGGTACGTGCAGAGTTGCAAAGGAGCCCAAGATATCAAACTAACACCTTGGTACAGGCCTGGGCGGTCGCACGTGTGCGTTCATATCCCCTTTAACCCAAAACTGTCCGGATGACTGACTTGTCACAGCTGATTCGGTCGCCCGCCTTCAACCGAGCCGTGCAAAAGGCATATCGCAAGATCAACAGGCTGCCAGACTTTGAGCAAAAGAATGGTGGCGGGAGTATGCTGACCTCGTCGCTACAAGAAAACCACCCGCTGAATTTGTTTCAGGAACAGGCCCCTCGTCCTTTGACCATTTCAAAGACGAAGTAAAGAATCAGTTCCGTGAGCTCACTTGGCAGAAACGCCCTCCCAAGTGAATGCCGTTCCGAATTCCGGTCGCTTTCCGCCACCCCCTCTAGTTTGTCAAGCATGTGACAGCTGTCAGGCTAAGCCACGCTGCTAACCGACCGGCAATCTGTCAGACAATCTGCAGCCAACCAACCAAATGTTGGTAGTATATTCAGAGACATCAATGCCTCTTATGCCACGCAGTCTAGCAAAACACTTCGAAGAGCATGGTCGCAAATGTTGCCATCAACAATCTTGCACTCCGGAAAAGACATGGTGTTGATTCCTAGACTTTTTGTTCCACAAAACTGCTTCGCTTCTTCTCTTACCCATATAGGGAAACAAGAACACCACGCTATTCTTGGGTCAATGAAGACACATGTCGATTGTACTAGAGTTGAGTTATTGAAATCTGGCACTTGAGTATGAAAATGCATAGTCCACGCTGATACCGTCGATGGTGTGACGTCCAAATACGCTTCTCTAGCCTTGGCCTGTTCAATGTATCAACTATGCCAGATATTGATTGCAGCTGATGTCTAAGTCCCATTGCTACATATGCAACGCACACTGTGACTAGCGCAAACATCTGAGTAGAACAGTACTGAGCATGTCTTCATTAATACATACGTACACACCTATCTGAGTAGTGACGTGATTACGTGATTGTGGAGTCGTGACATAAGTACCTGTATCTGAAAGCATCATTACGTCATGGACGTCTTGATATATTTTTTGCTATACTACCACTGCGCCCTCAAGTTTCGCAATATACGCAAACTCACCATCTGAAAGACACAATGCCTTCCGCAATAGTCACCGGCGCCACTGGTATGTCTTGGTCAGAGTGTGGCCAACATGTATTAACATATCACAGGCATCCTCGGTCGCGAGATCGTCTTTGAACTCAGCAAGCACCGCTCACAATGGCCCAACATACACGCACTTTCGCGGAGCAAGAAAGAAGACTACCCCGAGACCGTCATTCACAACCACATTGACCTGCAATCCGACCCAGACACCATGGCCAACGATCTCAAGAATGTGCGCGGAGAGTACATATTCTTCGCTGCTTACCTTGCCCAGGACAAAGAAGAAGATGCCTGGGAAGTCAATGGCCGAATGCTCTCTAACTTCCTCTGTGCCCTAGAGAAAACGGGCGCCATATCGCAAGTCAAGCGAATTATCCTCGTCTGCGGCGCAAAACAATACGGCGTCCATCTCGGCGTGCCCCAGCAGCCCATGCAAGAAGACGCGCCCTGGCTCACCTCATCCAAATGGCCGCCAAACTTCTACTACAACCAGCAAAACATCCTGCACGACTTTTGCGCCAAGCATGACAAAGAATGGGTAGTAACGTACCCCAACGATGTCATCGGCTTCGCGTCAGGCAACTTTATGAATCTCTCTGCAGCCCTGGCCCTCTACGTGCTCGTTTCCAAGGAAATGTCTGGCAACAATGGCATCGAGTTCCCCGGCTCCCCCGCCTTCTACACCAAATTTAACTGCTTCACCAGCGCAAAACTCCACGCTGAGTTCTGCGCGTGGGCAGCGCTGGAGCCCCGCACCGCCAATCAAGCCTTCAACATCACAAATGGCGATGTCGAGAGTTACCAGAATCTCTGGCCAAGAGTTGCACAGTACTTTGGTACCACTGTCAAACCAGACCAGTTCAAGAGCGTGTATGGCGGCAGCGGCGCAACGAGTATAAGCGGTAGAATCAAAGACATGGTTGTGGGCACGGAGAGCCAGTCGTCGACGAGAGAGATGGCGCCTCAACCACCGATTTCTGCAGTCGCGGATGAGAGGGGGTTGCAGGGCACGCCGGTGCTGGAGCCCAGTCACGTGGAGAACCACATTGATCTTGTAAAGTGGTCTAAGCGCGACGATGTCAAGCAAGCGTGGAATGCACTTGCAGACCGCGAGGGCTTGGACAAGGACGCTTTTGACAAGGCAACGTGGGCTTTCCTGGGCTTTGTCCTCGGCAGGAACTTTGATCTCGTCATCAGTATGAGCAAGGCGCGTGAATACGGCTGGACGGGATACAGAGATACATGGGGTAGTTTGAAGGAGGTGTTTGAGCAGATGAAGGCTGCGGGCGCTTTACCAAAGGGTAGTGTCTAGATTGACTTACAAGTAGCCGTATCCATGCATGCATGTTTATGTAGGACAATATATCTTCTCCTACACCCTATTATCCTGCATTATAGTCCTTGACTCGTATACAGACTACTACCACTACTACTTCCAAGCAAATCCCATCACAGATTAAATTCATATCGTGCATGTTGCATATTTAGTATGTTGTTGCGGCTGTAAATACTCCATGTGTACATATGTCCACAAGAACTTGACACGCATACGTACTCGCCACACATTCATGCAACAACAACAGCCGTCAAGTCTAGAAGACCGCACCGCCAATAATAAACACTCTTTCCTCCTCTCTTCGTACCCACTGAATGATCTTATTCGCGCTCTGCGCCAGGGCGGCCCTGGACGTATTCGCAGGCGCAACAGCGTATAGCTCAAACAGCGGTGTGCTCCATGCGAGCGCCATACACGTCGTGTTAGTTTCGTGGTGCACTTTTAGCGTCGAGGGTTTACCATGGACATTGCTGTGGAGTTTGTTGTAGAGATTGATTAGCCTGTAAAAACCATTAGCACACAGACACAGACACACACCTCCCTCCCGCTCTGATCAGCAAAAAAACATTCAAACTGCAGTGAAGTTTGATGCTAAAGAAGGAAAAGGGAGATTTGCATGGGACAGGGTAGAACCAGCCCCGCGATCTCAACAACCACATGCACTTTGATTGCCAAGAAAAACGCAAGGCTGACAATCGAAAGATTGCTGAGCAATAAAAAAAATGAGGCGGTGATCAATGTGGCTTTTTGGAATAGGAAATGCAGCTGCTTAACGTACCGTCGTTTCTCCAAATCTGCAGCAAAGTATGGAGCATAGCTCGGCATGGTAAATTGGACGTTGCCCCTCGACTTGTACAGAAAATGTCTTAGCGGGCTGCCGGGGACAATGTCAGTGCATGTGGGTCGGCCTTGGTGGACCGCGCTGCGTATCGCATCGATAGCCCCGATGCGCTGCAAGTTCTGCGGAACCACCCGTTAGCGCATATGCTTCTTCTATCTCCTTCCGTTTACCATGTCGATATAGATTAAAAAGGGAGGCAAGAATATGCAGGCAGATGAGGGTGGCCATGCGTGATTACCAATGACTTGGTAACTTTTCTGGGCAGGGCCGATCAAAGGCAAAGGGAGGTGAGCAATGTTGTGGTCGGATTCGAAATGCAATCACCTCCCCGGAGGGCTCAGGTCGGCGTCTTGACGAGAAGGCGGTGTCGGGGAACGCAGTCTCCGAAGCCGAAAAGCGCACTATCCAAAGACCCGTCATGCCGTCCTCTTTTTTGGTGTCCATGCAGCCGTTTTGCCTCACATGGGATGGTGATCCATGGACAATCCATGATGACAGGATACGGCGTTTTCCCCGCTCCACATCATTCGACCAGATTGTTTGCAATCCATGGAAAACGGGCGGGCACTTGACCAGCAATCCACGCGTCTCGACAAGACCCCTCCCTGGTCCGGAGCCCTTGCCCATCTGGAATCAGAAAATAAGGGGATTTTGCAAAATACTCTCATACGAAAAAAACCGGACAAAGGCATAGGGCTGGAAAGTTTATCAACACGTACCTCGATTAAATCATCCCTCATGCGTCGGAGCTCGAAGAAGCTCTCCTTGTCCGCGCTAATCAAAAGGACCGCGACTTCATCGTCCGCGCCGTCGCTCGTGCGAGGCCGCTCCTGCATATGCTCTGTCGGGTCGTCTAGATTCAGGAAGCTGACATACATGTACAGATAGCCCGTGTTGTTGAAACCAGGCAAGCAGAGCGGGATCCAATTTTCACCCCCGCCAGCCTTGACGCTGCCGGCTTCAAACAGCATGTTGAAGATAAGATGAAGATCACCTGGGTGCAGACTATGCTTTTTGGGTCGTACGACCGACACAAGCTTACCAGATGCTACAATCAGACCATAGAGCAAATTCTCCGAGCGCGTTTTGAGCAATGTGTTGTTGATGGCAGTACGGTGAGACTTGCGCAGTTTTAGACACTCAAGGGCCGACAGTAATGTCGAAGGAGATCCTCGAGTGAACCCATCTGCTAGAGCAGACAAAAGGGTTTCTGTTCCTTGCAAGGGCCGGCGTAGGTCGTAGTTTGCACGTGCAGCAAACATGCGCTCCATGCTGGGCAGCGTAAGAGTCGAGAGAATCTGCATGTAGAGTGCCTCGAGTTGGGAGCGAAGCTGAGCATCGCTCTCTGCCAACCGTGTAATAGCGACCAGATTTAGCGGGCCCTTGGTCATGACGACGAAGCGTACATCACCGGCAGTGAAGCCTCGGAGGGTGTCGTGAGTGGACTGGTAGAAGGATATAATGGTCTGTACAACACCAATGTAGTTTGTAATCAACTGATCGTCGCCGTGGCGACTGTATATAGGCTTGCCAGCGCTGGAGAGAATAAGGAAATGCTTGAGTTTTGCGCGCCACTGGAGCATAATCGCTTCTGTTGACTCTGTCAGAAAATGTCACCTCTTGACCCACAGCGTGAAGCTCACCTTCATTTGAACCGTCGGCGTTCAAGCCATCAATGTCGTCAAATTCGCGACGGAAAGCAGCTTCAAAGTCTGGATCTGGTGGGAACATGCTTTGCGACTCTGCGTCAGCAAATCTCTGCCCCAGAGACCGCAGGAGCGACTTTTCCTGCTCCGACTTTTCTGTTGGGCCCATGACTTCGCCCAGTATACTCTCCTGGTATCCTCCCGCATCTATTGTTGGCGCATAGCTGCGTATGCTTGCGCCGTCGTCGGCATCGTTGATATTGCGAGTGGCCATGCTGATGCTGCCAAAGTTGCGCGGCCTGGGCGCTGTAGACGTCGGCGAGGCATCTTTGGGGTCGGCAGCAAAGGCCTGCGTGTTGGCGATGGACAGCTGGGTGGTGGCCTTGGACAGGAGCTGCGGTCTTGGAGGCGCCATCGAGTGCGACGTCGAGGGTCGCGACAGCAGCCCCATGGCCGGTCGCGGTGGCAGTGGGGGCGGGGGTGCATCTTGTGATGCCAAAGATGCAGTCGAATTCTTGCGTGAAAAGCCTTGTATTATGGTCAGAGTCGGGTTGGCAAAGTCGTGCGACTCTACTGAATCCCCCCTGGCGGATGCGGCCGATGCATTGCTGCTCTTCTGCGTGGGCGTAGTAGGCGAGCCGGGTCCCTCAGAGGTTGGCGTCTGGGGCTCAGCGCTGCCAGTCTCGTCCATCAAGATGGTGGTGGGCGTGCATCTAGACAGCAGTACAGAACCGTGTTACCTTTCCACACATGACGCGATGATTCGGGGTTGCATGTCGCCGCGGTGCATCGTGACGCTTATCTAGGTAGGTACGCTGTGCATGGACCTGCTGCCAATGACGTTCGCTGCCCTTAGCTCATCCACACATCAACACCACACCATTGCCTCGCCGCCTGTCTCCGTCTCTAGCGCTCCACGGCCTTGGCCTGTTAGTCTTCCAAAAAGAGCGGTATGCACCATGCTCTATCATCAAGCCCGTGCTGGGCGAGTTGACGACATAGCAAGGCAGTGAGCCAGCACAGGGCAGTCTGTACTCAACCTCACCGGGTGGGGCCGACCGTTCTTCATATACAAAGAGACAGCATTTACCATGTTTCCATGTGCGGAAAGACCAATGCTGCCAGACGACGTTACGACAATCAACTATGCCTTGGACTGGCCACATCTACACAACCCCAGCAATACCACATTTGCAGGACTGACACAGATTGACATTTGCCATTGCCAAAGAACAGACCTCTCTCCGCAAAAAGACACGGAACCAGGCCATATATACACCCGATTCAAGTGCGTAGAACCGGAGGTTCGCTTCAAGACGACGAAAGAAGACCTATGGGTGTTGGAAGCCCCCCATGGACCCATCAACATGCTACGGCCGGCTACAGAGCAAGAAAAAGCCCAGCGCAGCCAAATTCACCCTGATGCAGATCCGTCCGTGTACCAAGACCGGAGGTTTCTTCTCTTAACGGGGCCCTGCCCCCGCGGACGATACCAGGCGTACGCCACACGAAAGTGGCTGGAAACATTGACTCCCGATGCCCGAAAACACATTTCATGTCTATGTCTGCTCATCCAGCCTTACGAGGAAGACTCTTCTGTCGAAGCTACCCGAAGAGCATACATAGACCTTACCGATTATCTCATACGATATGCCCCGGGATTTGAAAAACTCTACCTTTTTGTTTGTCCAAATGGAATGCAATTATGCAGCGCAGCAAGCGAGTTCGGCATGCTCCTTCACGGCAGAGACGTCAAGATCATAGTAGTCGTCGATGATTGCTGCAGCAGGGAGACGAGACAGTACGACGATCCTGGTGTGTTCTCGGAAACTATGATGGCCATGGCACGCCGGCCCCCTCCACTCCAGATGGTCAGTGAACCGCCACAGAAATGTAAGACTGAGGAGCGTGGACCCGATGTTGCAGAGGCAAGTGGGCGGAATGAAGAGAAGGAAGAAGATAAGGAGGAGAAGGAGAAACAAGGAGAAGAAGACAGCATCAACGGCGATTGGACTGATGCGACCATGAGCCCTACATCGCCCCAAAACGAGTTGGACAAGGATTGGCAGATGATATGATTCGCATTATTCAAGCGTTATGTACACACGCAAAAATTATGTCAGTTTCATGCACTTATTCAAGCACCCGATCCAGCATGAGAAGCATAGAGAAAACAACTCAATAAACCAGTCTGAGTATGTGGATATCAAACGAGCGTGTTAGAAAATATACACACATGAAAAGGGGAGACATTACAACTGTCGTCGTAAGAAAGAAAAACTCCTGTCCGAATCCAGTTGAAGAGAAAATTCCCTCAGAAAGACCATCAACACCCCATCCGTCCAAGAAGACCGAAAGATAAAAACAAACCCAAACACTAACACCTACCCATCGTTAAACATCATGTCTGTCCCAGCTTCCCTCGCACTCTCCATCAAATCCTCTACCATCCACCCCTCACCCTCCTCACCTTCTCCTTCCCACCAACTCTCCCCGCCGTAACGCGTCTAGCCCACCTCCTAATCGCCCAGCCCCTGGCCAGAGCCTGGAAAGCCAAAACATCGCTTTCTAACCGAGTGCGTCTATCCTCCTGGATGTTCCTCCAGCGCCGCTGAATAACCGTCACGGCATCCACCATTTTCTGTCTTGCCTGCGCAACGACCGCCGATTCATGTGCAATCTGCATAGCCTTTATGCGCGCGCTGGTCTGGCGGCGCAGCAAGAAGCGGCGGAATGCAGTTTGGATCATTGTTGCGGCGCGGTGGGTACGTGCGAGAGGGAGAAGACGGGAGGCGAGGAAAGAGAGGGTTAGGAGGGTGAAGTCGCGGCTAGGGATTGAGCGCGCGGTTTTGTCTTGGGATGTGAAGAGCGCGATGAAGGAAGCTGAGCAGCCAACTGCTTTGAGTTTTGCGCCTAGGCCTAATTTCCCGCCATCTGGCATGGAGCTGGTGAGGTTGGAAGGTAGATACATATCAACGATGACCTCGAGTACTTTTGGGTCTGCGAAACTCGTTGTGAGGTTCGCGACGCGGATGCCGTGGAGACGGGCGACGGAGCGAGACCAGGACAGAAGAAGGCGCTTGTGATATGCCATTCCGTCCAGCTCAGTCGTTTCTGGCTCTTCGTTATCCGAATCGAGGACTCGCCCTTCAAAGTTGTCTCTTGCTCGGTACCATTGGTTGCGGAAGCGCTCAGTCTCCTTGACTAGCTGCGGCCAGTCGACGAGGCTTCCTAGTCCGCATTTTCCGACAAGCGACCATAGCAGAGAGAGAGTCTTTTCGCGATGGCCGTCGACAATGTCTTCGGCTCGAATACCGCTGACTGCTGCGCTGGGCATTCCTGGGACGCTACTCAAGGCTGCAAGGGCAATCTGCACGTTGTACACCTTTTGTGGACGACTAATAGCTGGGTATTTGAGATGCTGGGATAGAAGCCAGGCATCCTTCTGTGACACATCACTGGTCAGCAGCTCGCCACTTGGCAGGTTGAGTGTCACAGTTTCTTCCTGCTGTCCTGGGTAAAGTAGCAGCTCGACCAGACGATTGAGCATGATGCCGTCACGAAGATCGATGGCAATGTTCTCAATCTGATACGTGTACTCCTGAAGCGGGTATTGAGCATGCTCGACCTTATAGTTGAGATGGTGGAGCGGTCGAGTAATGTCGCCATGCGAAGGGAGAAGCATCTTGGACAGCTGGTGAAGGACCTCTACAGACGTCTTGTATGGTGATGTTGTCTGGAACAAGCAGCCCGACAAGGCATTTGTGGTCTTTGCCTGGTCGAGAAGAAGGATCAACATAAGACTTCGCCGTGCGGTACGGCGCCACGACCAGCCCTGGGATCCAAAATCATCGTCACCACGTGTGAGACTAGCAATGCTACCGCCTCCAGATTTGACGCGAACCGCGTCTTCGTTCTTGATCAAGAATGCAGACAAGAAGCTCTCGATCGCCCGGCGTTCAGCGCGATATTGGCGAGATCCATCGTCCGAGCAAGTTGAACCGGTAGACAAGCGGCATGGCGTGGTGATTTGGCGGCCAACAATTGTCTCGGCTGCAGCCCGGAGTGCATTTAGATCGTACGATTTTGTCCACAGGCTGAGGAACTTCTTCCGCAGACCAACATCATCCTTCAATCTCAGTGTCTGGGCCAGAAGATCTTTGGGTATGCTCAACGCGCCACATTGTAGTGAAGCCTGCAGGCGCTTGTGCAGGGGTGGCATAGCAGGGTCGTGATAGATGGCAAGCATCTTCTTGCGCAAATCTTCCGGAGTCTGTTCAGCATTCGGGTCCTTGTTCGCCGAGTCGAATACCGAGTTTAGAAGCTGCGTAATGGCAACTTCTTGGTAGGTGAGCCAGTTGTCCTCGTACAATTCTAGCTGAACAAGATCCTCGCGTAGTACTGGATATTTTTCCTGCGGCTGTGACTGCTTGCCAACCTCGTGAAGCATGGTAATGCTGCTTGCTACACTTCCGGTCTTCTGTCGCCGTAATGCTGTGGGCGGGGACTTGTCGGTATGGAATGGCGACGAAGACAGCGGTGCGCGTTTCGCTTTAGCCAGCTTTGCTCGTTCAGTCTTGATAGTTGATCTCAAAGACGCGCTGCTGTTTGCAGTGGAAGCAGTGACATCCGCTCGCGATTTGAGTGCCTTTACTGGAACATCCTCGTGGCCTACGGTCGATCGTGGCCGCTTTTGCGTTCCTTCGGTTCGTTTCTTGGTCTGCAATATCCTCTCTGGCTCTTTGGGTGCACTGAAATGGACCTTGGGGGCTTTTGCTAGAGTCTTCTTCGCCTCTGGCTTAATGAAATTGATTTCGATGTGCGTGCCACTGCCCTTCTTCTCGTATACCGCCATGCCTGGAGGCATGTTCTCCTTACCACCGCCTGAACCTGCGATATCGCTCGAAAAAGATGTACTCTGCGTCGACCGCGATGTTGTGCTGAGAGGACCCCGTTTCGGTGGTGCGGCGAGCGACTTGCGAGGAACCTTCTTTTCCTTCTTCAAAGCTGGCAAAAGATTGTTTCCCTCTTCTTCCGATAGCGTGACAAGATCTAGTCCAAGATCCGGGGATGCTTCCCGAGCATTGCGCGGTGCATGTGTGGGCTGTCCTGGGTGGATTGTAAACAAGGACGTATCGTCGGTTGGTATATATATCGTCCTCCTGCGCGCTTCTTTCTTGGGACCCTGCTTCTTAAGCTCCTTCTTGTCCAGTACATCTTCTTGCAGCTGTACAGTGGCATTAACTTCGGTGGCATAATTTTCACTTGGCATGTGCGACACGCGTCGTCGGGCGGGCTTCTCGTGTTGTGGTTCGGGGACAGGCGCTATAGGCTTGGGCATCTTCTGTGCTGGATGGGCGAGGATCGTGCTCTTCTTTGTCCTTGTGGCTGCGGGAACAACGCTGGCGCGGCTTCTCCTTTTCACTTCGAAAGCTGCACGCTGTTGCTGTTCCTCTTCCTGTGCGACATCTTCGAAAATATCTAGCGATGGGTTGAACGCAGGCTTGGTGGTATTGCGCATGGGTCGTCGAGGCTTCACCTGGCGAGCGGTCGCCTTTAGCTCGGTCGTGTATTCGATATTTGCTGTGGTGTTGTCGTCGTCGAGATAGCTAGGCGCGTATTGACTTCCGTAGCCAGAGTAGTAGCTGTTTGTTGCCCCGTAGGGCGCCGGGCATGGCGTGCCTGCGGTGTACCCGTACATTTCGGCGGCTGATGTATGAGTGTGAATTAATTCGAACAGAAAGAGCGCCGGCGCATAGGTAGAGGGTTGTCGTTGTGCCCAAGGGAGTCGAGGGTGGATTCAAAGGTGGATGCGTTGACGCTTAGCCGGTTGTGGCGTTGTTGTGGATCCCCCATTGTCAATATCGTCGCTGGGGCAACATCAACGTTTCCAAACACCATCCCGGCTTCCCTCGGCTTGACGTCACACATCCAGCTAAATGCTGCATCGGCTCTCCATCACGATGCAATCCATAACGGCTAATCGCCACTTCTCTGCGCCTTGTACCGCCATAGACATACGTTCACTATCACCCCTTTCCATCTAGATATAACGTCATTCTCGACACCTAGGGAATCCCCCTACCAGCCCGAATTGCTTTTGCAGCCTCACTCTGGGCTCGGTCCTCTGCATATCTTTGATATATGGGCAAATAGTGCTGCTTGTCGCTCAACGTTTCCTTGACACTTTTCCTAGCCTCAACAGCAGCGAGCCACTTCCTGAACCTCTTCCACACCTCCTCATCCTCTCCGCCCTTGCCCTCGTCAGGAATACCCGAACCCCCTTTGAAGTGATCAAAGACCCATAGCCTGTTGGCCCAGGGTGCAATCACGATGTCAATGAGTCCGAATTCCTTGCCTGAGAAAAACGGTCCTTCTTTGTCCATCTCCCGTGTGAACTCCTTGACGTGATTCAAGAATTCCTTCTGTTTTTCTTCGAGCCCGTCGCCTTGATGTTGCAGGAAGCGGTGGTAGGCAGGAATGATGCGACTACCCACATAATCTATCCAGATCCTGATTCTCGCACGCTCACAGGGATCCGTAGGCATCAAGTGCGGTGTGTGCTGTGGGAACGCTTCTTCGAGAAACTCGCAAAGAACAGTACTCTCATACAGCGGCTTTCCCTGATACTGCAGCGTGGGAACAAGGCCGCGAGGATTCAGATCAAGCAAAGACTGTGGCTTGTGATATGGGTTGACTTCAATGTATTGATATTGGATGCCTTTTTCCTCAAGGGCAATCCATACACGTTGGACAAAGGGGCAAAACCAACCCGAGTAGAGCTTTAGAGGGCACTCCGCCGAGTGAGCCTGAATGAGTTTAGGACTGTGACGTGATAATGATATTCTTTGTCAACTCACCTTAACTGTTGCCGCTGCCAGGCCTGTAGCCTCTGGGTGAAGGTCCGCATCAGGGTGGTCTTTGCCCATGATTTTCAATTGTATTTGGTTATGTAGTCAGAGTAGGTTTTCTGGATTCGAAGAAAAGTGGAAATCAGGTGTTTTGTGGCCAAGCATGCAATATATAGCCCAGAGAAGCCATTTGTGCAACCTTTGACCTTACCAATACGGGATCATCGTTTTGCAAATGTGATGCTGGTCATGACGAATGCGGGGCAATGACAATGACGCTGCACGACACCCCACTTTTGGTGTCCATCACCATATTTCCAACCTCTCCACTCCTGTACAACTGGTTGTTGGAATATACATGTATAGTGTATATCAGCAAAAATGAAAATGCTCTCATGCATACGATTTTCATGTCTCTATTCGCCTCCCTAACAACTATCCACATGCCCATTGCTAGCCTCAAGATAGCTAGTCTACACCCTTTACCCCAAGAATCCCTATCTACCCTTCTACACACCTTGGCAAAGCTTGAGTCCAAACTCTAAGCACAAGTAACAAACGCACTAACAAAAGGCCCATCGCCCGTCACGCATTCGCCAACGGGCGCAAGGAACGCCGTCCCCGAACAATCGGCAGTCTGATAAATTGCCACTGTATACCATTATCAGCTTCTACATATCCAATTCTCAATTCCTCTCTTCTCTTCTTTCAATCTCTCATGACGCCCCGCATCCCCCATCTCCAACCCTTGAAAATAATGAAGAAGGGAAACTTACCACTACAACCCTCCGAAACCCTCGAAGTACTATAACTCCGAATCGGCACTCCAGTACCAAACCGGTCAAGCGGCTGACATATGTTCCCATTGCCAAAGATGGGATCCGCGTTAATCAGCGTCGAGTCTGTACATCCCGGACCCGAATACTTCAAGCCGACAGCAACGAAGGCGCCACCTTGACGAGGTGAGAGAGGAGAAGCTGTGACGGCTGCTAGGAGGGAGAGGGCGATGGTGGTAGTAGTGGTGAAGTACATCGTGGAATGGTACTTGAAAAGTGTAGGTGGTGGATTGGTATTGGGATCTAGAACTACTTATTGCTTGGTCTGCCGAGAGAGAGCAAACAGACCTTTTATACTCGAGATTTCTGTTCCATTACGCGCTCTTTGCTGACGCTTTCGTCGCAGAACCAACATTTGGCTCCTCCGCCAGTACCATCGTAACCAACAAATGACACCCCATTACCTCGTAGAGGCCAATGCTTCGTAGTTGGTGGTAAAGAGACTACATTCGTTTTCGAGAAATGCTCTGCTGACATGGATGATCCACCTGTCAGATTGGTGCGGGATTTCCATCCACGTTAGGAAGGACGGTAAGCTGATTTTTGGGGTGACTTATAAACCCCCACGCTGCTATCCAGCTTTGATCAGATGGTCACGGGCTTTGTAACGACAAAATGGACTAGATCGTTCTGTGTCAGCGGAAAGTGCTGATGCTATAGCTCACAAGCGGTTGTACAGGACTACATTGCACAAATATCCGGCGCTGTTGGTGGCTGAACTTCTCCCCCTAAAGCTTACAGAAATCTCTCTTTGAGGAAAATAATAAAAAGCAGGTTCCATTACATACATTAAACCACTTGCTTAATCCATAGCCACAGAAACAAAACATCCAACTCAGCAAGTCGACCTTGCTAATCCCTAACCAAACCACCTTAAAGTTTCACCGAAAATCTAAGTCCAACTCAGCTCATACCATCCCCCCCACACCCACTCCCATAAAAAAACTCACATAGACCTAGCCCTCTCCAGATCCCCACCCTTAATCTCCCTCAACGCCCCCGTCTTCGCAACACCCCCACCCACATTCGCCACCACAACCTCCTTCACATATCCCAGCACCCCCGTCTCCGCAAGGTAATACACGACATACTCACTCTTAACCTCAATCAGCGCCATCCTCGGATCATCGGGCCCACCATCGTGCACGCCATCGCCCAAATCGCCAAACCACGCCGCCGCGCCGCGGCTCCAGACTTCTTTGATGCGCGGATCCGAGTTCGAGCATGTGGTCGCGGTACCCGTGATGGACGCCCAGTCTTGAGACTTGGTGTCTTGGATGGTGACTTGGACTTGTTTGTTTTGGGCTAGGTCGGAGAACTTTTGAGAGTGCGTGTTGGAGAGGAAGAGGAGGTTAGGGCCGTCGCGGCGGGCGAGCGCCATGGAGCGGCCTACGGGACCTGTTACGTATAGTTGGGTTAGATGCGGGGGTTTGCTTTGCGGGATTTGGGGTGGCGTGGAGAAAGAGAGGTACGTACCGACGCCGTCGCGGAAGGTGTTTAGCATGCAAATCTTCTTTCCGTCGACGAGTTGAAAAAATTCTTTGATCTGCTGGTCTTTGGGGGTTTCTTCGTCATATTGCTTTGCGACGGATGGGTCCGTCTTGGAGTTTACTTCGCTGGCTTTGAGTTGCTCTGGCATGCTTAATGTTCGTGTAGTTGAGAAGTATCTAAATGTAGATTTGAAAGTTGCTGAACTACGGACTGCAGTTTGAATTCGTGGTAAAAATGTGTTGGTACAGCGTAAAAATAGTCGAGGGGCAGGCATGGTGGTGAGATATGCTGAGTGTAGATTATTTACATGGACGTAACGGTGATATCAGAAGGTCAAGCAATGGCGGGTATCGGGAATCGAGAGGATCGCACGCAACCCATCGAGAGATGAACGATAAGTAGCATGACGTCGATATAGAGCGCACTTAGAATGGTGGTGTCACATTTGGTGGAGTTGGGCGCCTCACACATATGAATGACGACGTCGTAAATCGCATGTCGGGATGCGGCACGCTAAGGGCGCGATCCTCCCGAAATGCATGGTGGCATTTGTCTAATGCACGCTTGCCGTAGCCACAGGATGATAGTTTGAAGACAACCCTCTCTAATCTGCAAAGTAGTCAACAATACGAATAGCTCATCACATTCATTCAAAGTTATAATCGCAGTCAAAGACGATAATATAACAAAATATGAAACCGGAACTCCATTTAGCTAATTGCTACCCAACCCGCCCATATAATCATAACAGTTTTAATACTCATACCTCAGCATGTGAGCCATAGGAAGATGCTGAAAGGGGTACTAGTATATGCAAAAGGCGCCGTTGACAATCAAAGAATCGGATGCATCGAGGGCATCTACAACTCGTCCTTGGCCTTTGCGGCCTTGTCCTTGGCCTTCTCTGCAGTGTCCTTGACAGCCTCCTTGGCATCAGCAGCAGCCTCTTTGGCGGCATCGGTAGCCTTCTCAGCAGTGTCCTTGACGGCGTCTGCAGCGTCAGCGGCAGCCTCCTTGGCGGACTCAGTAGCATCTATAGCAGAATTAGCACCCTTCTTGTTGGCGAAAACAGCCTCGTGAGCAAATTTATTAAACATACCTTCATCAGCGGCCTCGGGAACAGTGGCCTCAGCCTTGTGCGAGCCGTTCTCCTTGATGAACTTAACCAAATCCTCAACAGTGCGGGAACCAGAGTAGTCGACGGGGGAGTCCTTCTTGCCAGCGGCGAAGAGCTTGATGGTGGGGAAACCTTGGATCTCGTCGGGAACGTCGTTGGCGGTGGCGTCAACCTTGGCGATAGTTACGAGCTTGGAGAGCTCATCAGAGGCGTAGAGCTGGCCGAGCTCCTCGTACTTGGGAGCAAGAGCCTTGCAGTGACCGCACCAAGGAGCGTAGAACTCAACAAGGACATCCTTGTCGTTGTCGATGACGATGTCCTTGTAGTTGTGCGCGACAATAACCTTGACGGGGCCATCATTGGACTCGGGAATAGGCTCAGACTTGATGCTGGGCTCGATCTTGTCAGCGAGGAAGTCGTCGACGAACTTGCCAATGCTCTTCTCGGTGATCTTCTCCTCCTGGTCGAAGGGGAACTTGTCGTTCTTCTCGGTGCGCTGAATAGCAAAGGCGGGCCATGTGCCGATCTTGAGGTTGAGGTTACCAGCGTGCTGGCCGAACGCCTTGGCGTCAATGGTGGCGAAGTTGATGACGCCCTTGTGCTTGAGAGCGAGGGGCTTCAGCTCCTTGGCGAATTTCTCACGCTCCTCGGGTGTCTCGGCGAAGATGTATGCGAGGGGAAGGCCAGCGGCCATGTAGTCGGAGTAGGTCTCAGGGCCAACCTCGCCAATAAGAGGGGTAGCGGCGACCTTGGCGAATGTGCGAATAGCATCGGCCTCAAAGGCCTCGGTGAAAACGTCCTTGCCGTCGTCAAACGACTTGTACAGGACGAGACCAGGCTGCTTGACGCCCTCAGCCTTGGCGAGAGCAGCGTCGTTGGTGGCACCGAACAGGTAGTTGTCGCGGAGGCCATTGGCGACGGCAGTAAAGGTCTCGTTGGAGGCCTTGTCGTCGGCGGCGAAGTAGCCAACGAGGACAACCTTGTCGGCAGTCTTGAACTCCTCGAGGGTGTCCTTTGTGACCTCGGAGACAGCAGGGAGGGCCTGCTTGGTCATGTAGGAGATTAGGCTATCAGCCTTGCGCTGACCACCGTATGGCGACACGTTCTCGAGGCCGCGGAAGACCTTGAGAGTGGGGTATCCCTCAACACCATACTCCTGGCAGAGATCCTGCTCCTCTGTGCAGTCGACCTTGACCAGGGCAATATCCTTCTCCTTGAGAGTTGTGGCGGCCGTCTCGTACTCGGGGGCGAGCGCCTTGCAGTGACCGCACCATGGGGCGAAGACTGGGAGGCAATTGTTAGTTGCGCCATTGAGAAGCGGGGGAGCTGGGGTGGGGTGGCAATGTACTTACACTCTGCGAGGACGAGGTCGTGCTCCTCAATGAAGCCCTTGAAGTCGTCGGTCTTCAGCTGCTTGACATCGGAAGCAGCAACGACAGCCGCAAAGAAGGCGGCGCAAACAGTTGAGTACTTCATTGTGCTGTGGTGGGGTGTGACGTGACAGAACGGTGAAGTGTTAAGAGGAATTGGGGTTGAATGTCCTCTGTACAGCGAATGGAGTAGAAGTAGAAGCAGAACCGTGAGGCGTGGGCCTTTTATTTCTACTGGACGTCGTGGCGGATCATACAGTGTGAACACCTTGCCTGTTCAAAGTGGAGCACCAAATGGGCCTAGTGCGCAGTGGACCCACGTACCCTGCAGCGGCCCTGATGCGACCTTCACCAATGTAAGACCACGTGTGCCTTGCTGCCCTCGCCCGCTGCATAGCCTATCCTATCTACGTATACTACTATTCATCTTCTGACCGGGGTCCTCCCTCTATACTACCTGCTTGCCCTTCCATTCATTCCGCCCTCCCGACCCAGTTGCGGCTAGCCTATAGCGCTACCCATCTCCAATGCATATCATTAATCTCTAAAGCCGTCCTAGATTTACCAGCCTCACCTGAAGCGCGTGCCAGCCTTTCCAGAGGCCAGGTGTCCCATCAAATGATATTCTCAGGCGTTCACCTTATTTGCGGGTCGCTTAACCATTTCTAATCAACATCGGCAAATGGGGTCCATCCTTCGTACTTGTCCCCATGCTCGGCCCGCATCAACACGGCTACCATTACGAGAGCCTCGACGGCCTGATGATGTGCTCAAGAGGAGCCGATAGCTATTAAAAGCAAATTGTTTCGTAAAAAGACACGTGGAGCCTGCTCTCAGATAAGAGCAACGTATGCCATTGAGACTGGTACTTAGCGCCTTCAAAAGCCATCTTCTTGAACAAACCCAATTGCACTTCTTGAGCCAAGGCCTTGTCTAGTCGTGGCATAAGTACGCGTCTGTCAGAATCCATTGGATAAGCAGACACCGCCTTTGGTGATCTTCAATATCTCGGCCTTGTTTTCTTATTCAAACAAAGGTACATTCGGGTCCCCATGTTGACAGTGTGGTCGACGGTGTAGGTCTGCACAGTGCGAAAAAGAATTCGCGGTGACAGGCGTTGCAATACGCGACGGACTATGCTGTGGGGATTCAGCCTTCAAACAAACCGCAATACCGGTATGAGGGTGGTCACGAACCATAATGTTTTCTTACGCTACACGAGCGTCGCCTGTCAGATCTAACTCTGGCGTTACTAGAGGCATGTCACTTGTAGTACTAACTATCAGTTTCACAAGCGCATGGACTTTATTGCCCAGTTACGGTATAATGGGGCCAGCCAAAAAAAAGTTGCGTTACTTAACATTGTGGGAACACCAACCCCCAATCCCCAAAAATAGTGATTTCTTCTCCTCATCCTCTCCATTTCCCCATTTCCCCATTTCCTCATTTCCCCTTCCCCATAGCCATCCGCTTTGTCATATAAAATTATGGGAGAATATCCGCCCTGCCGTAGCGCAATACAATGACGTTCCTTACTTACCTTCATACCGACCAGATTATTAGTCGTAAGATTCGCCGCGGAGGAGCCCCGCCCGGCTTGCCCAAACCGTTCACCCCGCAATCGCACATAATACACGTAGTCCGTCTGGCCTTTTGTTCAGCGGCACGTGTGTCATGACCAATGGACGCCAAATCAAGTTTCCACCGGATAAATGGGCAGAACTGCCGTTATCGACCTCTACAACCTGCGCTCATTGGCTACGACTCACGCATAGCTCCATCTTGATGCTTTGATTTGTAAACTATAAGACGGTTGAACTTCTTCCTACTTTGGAAGTTGTTTTCCACTTCTATCTTGTAGTTGAGCTATCTCGTGTTTCACCACAAATACCAATATCAGTTATCAAAAGAGCGAGATCAAAGTGAAAAAAAATATGGCAGACGTAGAAGAGCAGTACAAGCTTTCGCAGGATCAAATTGATTTCTTTATGGAAAATGGCTGGCTCAAGTTGAGCAACTGCTTCACGCGAGAACAGGCCGATAAACTGCAAGAAACCCTTTGGACGAGGCTAGGCATGGATCCAAACGACATGTCAACATGGTGAGTTGCTATTTTGATTGGAAAACATTGCCTCATCCTGCTTCTCTCGCAGTATCTCGGCCATGATTTATACTACAAGTTTACATCTTTGCAAGATACCATCCCACCATACCCTCCCAAAGTCCCCCCCAACTAACCCCAACCCACCAGGCACACCGAACGCACAAACATGCCCTTCTTCCACGAATTCCCCGTCTCCACCTTCGCCCCGAAAGCCTGGGCCGGCATCTGCAACCTCCTCGGCGGCTCTGCGCGCGTCGACTCCAACGCCTCCACCTGGAAAGACGGCTTCATCGTCAATCTCGGCACACCTTCCGGCCACAACTCCGTCGTGCGCCCCCAAGACCTGCCGCAATGGCACGTCGACGGCGACTTCTTCGTGCACTACCTCGACAGCCCGGAACAAGCTCTCCTCGTCATCCCCTTGTGGACGGACATCGTGCCCGGTGGCGGCGGCACGTATATCTGTCCCGCCGCCATCCCGCACGTAGCGCGGCATTTGTACGAGAACCCAGAGGGCGTGAGTCCGCGCATGACGCCTCGGGAGCAGAATCCCGACTTCGTCGAGGAAAAAGGGTTGCAGTGGTTTAACAATCTCGCTGCTAGCATGCCGGATGATGCGTTTGTAGAAGCTACGGGCGTGGTCGGCGATGTGTACCTGTTGCATCCGCTTATGCTGCATGCGGCGTCCAACAACCAGCTGCGGAACGTGAGGGTTATTACCAATCCGCCGGTTAGCGTTAAAGAGCCGTTTGTGTTTGATCGCCCCGATGGAGATTATAGTGTGGTTGAGAGGAAGACGATGAAGGCGTTGGGCAAGGAGCGGCTCGAGGGGTTCAAGATTACGGGGCCGAGACAGATGGTTGTGCCGGAGAGAGTGCGGATTCAGGAGGAGATGAAGAAGAAGGAGGAGGAGAGGTTGAGGAAGTTGAAGGAGAGTGCGGGGTTGGATGGGGGGAAGGAGGAGGTGAAACAGGTTGCTACTGCGGCTTAAACAATGGAAATCGTTTTCAAGGTAGTAGATGTGATTTGAGTATTATATTTACATTATTTCTTCGTTTATAATTGTATTTGCTACAAGTAAGCTCGCGTTTCTCATCCCTGCATAGGTATATTATCATAATGTTTAGTTTCCAGTCCACCAAACATAATTATTGGTTTCCTCTGGAGTGTCATAGATGAGCTTGCTGCTCGAGTTCTCTGGCCTCTCAGGGAAGACGTTGAAGTCAATATCCCAGACCTTGAGGTCCTGGGCCTTAACGGTGGAGCCCTCCTCGGCCCAGATGCCGAATCCAGTGCTGTCAGTGCGGGCAGGGTAGATACGAGTTGTGAGCCAGAAGCGGTCGTTCACGTGGACCTCGACCAGGGAGCCATCAACAAAGATGTCCATGTGCAGAGACTCGGTGGTGCCGTTGGCAAAAGTGTACGGGTAGAAGTAGCCGAGCATGGTGTAGTTGGCAAACTCGACAATCGTAGACGAGTGCGAACGGTCGACGTTGATGGTGTAGTTCTCAGGGCTGTACCACACAACGGTCTGCTCCTCGTGGTTGGGCGACTGCGCAATAACGACACCAGCAGGGCCAGTGAAGTCTGAAAGGGTAACCTGGAGATGCATATGGCTGGTACCATTGCCGGAAACGTCTCCGCTAGCGCAACCATCCTTGCCGTTAATGACTTGAGGCTCAGAGCCATTGTGGAGAGCTTCGATAATCTCGGGCAGAGGGCGTGCACCGAGAGTGTATCCCGTAAAAGTACCGTTGCCGTGCTCGACAACACGAGTGTTGCCCTTGGTAGTCAACTGCGAGTCGTTGTTGACCAGGTGGCTGGTCTTGATGACGTACATTTCCCGAGGAATAGCCATAGCGCCTTGGTACCCTGTCTGAGTAATGGCAAAGTTGTTGTTCTCCTCGTTAGCCCAGCCCCACTGGATGCGTCGGTTGTTCTTCGAGTCCACGAAGCTGGTTACAGCGTAAAGCAGTCCGGAGTCGATCGCACCACCAGCAAGCGGAGTGAATTCAACCGAGCCATTTTCACGCTTGTTGACTTGTCCCTCATTCCAGAGACCCCATTGCGCACGAGGGTGCCAGGTAAGGTTTCCACCCTCTGTGCCCATGAGAACGTAGTAGTGAACATCGTCATCCTCGTCGTTCAGAGAGAAAAAGTTTGATCTGCCACAATCAGCTTTGAGTCCACAATATTCCCGCAGTCAATACTTACACCTCAAAGTTGAAACCATATGTTCCAGTCTCAAGCAGAGAACCAAGAGTCTCGTTTCTCTTTGGCTCCCAGAGAGCACCCAAGAAAGTCCAGTCAGTCAAGTTGTTTGCAGGGGCACTGTAGAAGGGAATGCGACCACCGCCATTCTCTCCCTTGATGCCAGAACCCATGGCCATGTACCAGTGTGGCTCCTCATGTCCAAGGAGAGCATCCATTTCTGGCCAAGGCTGGTGCAAGTCAGTAGATGTTGTATGAATAGTTCAATTGGCAAAACCATACCTCGACAAAGGGATCACGCCATCCGGTAATGTTCCAGCCCTCTGGCGGGTGGGACAAGATGGGGTTTCCAGCATACTGCTCCCAAGTCTCACCACCATCCTTGGAGATGGCAATGCTCTGTGTCTCAGTTCCGGGAATATAAGGTATAGCCCAGTTGGTAGGCAAATGCTGCACCGAAGTGTAGAAATTGATCAGCGTACCGTCCTGCTCACCCTGGAGGTTGTACGGTTGGCCGCTGCCGGAAAAGATGCCCAAACCGTAGTAGCTCGAGTTCCGGGAATCGGGGTTGGGTCCAGTGCCGAGAGACTGAGCTTGGTCATTTTCCCAGCCTCCAACATCGGTCCACGTGATCATATCCTTGGAGGTAGCATGACCCCAGGAGATATTGCCCCAGTTTACATGGTTGGGGTGCCACTGATAATGCAAATGGTACGTTTTTGTCGTAGGATCGTACAGCATACCGCATGGGTCATTTAGCCATCCAGCGGGGCCACTGAAATGGTAGGTCGGGCGCCATCTTGTGAAGAGGGTGTTGTTACCCAAACCCTGGATAATGTCTGCAGTCAGCACAGCGGGCAATTCCTGTGCACCGACGGCAGACAGGGTGCCGAGGGCAAGACTCAGAAGAGGGGAAGAGCGAAACATCGTGCTCAGAGATGGATGATGTCGACACTGTAGATAGTTAGTCGCTTCGTATATAAAAGCTCTGCCTCATAGCTTTGTTCCTGGTATCTGTTTTTCGAACAGAAGATATGCAGAGGGAGTTTGAATCGCACTTTGGAGGCAATGGGAACATACCGGGATAATGGGCTGGCCGTTCGATACCGAAACTTCACAGCAGGAATGCAGACCCTTATATACATATTTGTTCCTGGCGGACTAAGATTCCCCACTTGCCTGACCTGGTATACGATCATACTAGTGAGATCCAAGGCCATCTCGTCGTCGCTCAGACAGTCTTGGTGCGTTCACGTTTTGGGGCTACGAGTCAATAGTCTTGGTTGGGCAGATACTATGGGGACCGGGATGCAGTCGTTAGCCTGGCGAGATCCCCGCATAGTTGCCATGCTTGAGCCCCATATTTCTCCACATGTGGTAGAACGCGGCCGTATTGCCGAACTTTGTTCGGGCGACATAGTGACGGCATCATGTATTTTCCTTTCTCGCAGCGGCACAATATACCGCAACGAACCTCAAGATCTGGGTATCTTCCCGATTGTCCTTGCGATGCCTGGATTTAGTCCATAATGAAGAAAAGTTTTCTTCAAGCCACAGCGTAGCGTAGGGTTTAAATGACCGAGAACGGACCTTGGAAAGTGTGGAGTCCTTTGCGACCGAGTATCCTCCCGAGATCCAGGTTGCGAGGCGGACGCAGCCCAGATGGCGCAACGGTGCCAGTAAAAAAGCAGGGAAATGCTCGCATTTTGTGGAGATAGCTTGCGGAGGTGCAGCCGCCTCACAGGAACGATCGTGGGGAGGGACGGGTTGCTTCATTGGAATGCCCGAACCGTGTGCTATTGGTCTAGTGCAGTACCGGATGACATTCGACGGCTATGCCGAATTGGTGCGCGAGATAATGCAAGAGAACATCCATGAGAACATCAATGAGCAGCAGAAACATGGTATCATGAACAGTGCTCAGCGCCGTATTTACACATGTGACATATGTTTATACGTAGGCCCAGAGGCTGTATAGCCGAGAGAGAGAGAGATGGGCCAATGCTACGGGCTAGCGGCGGACCAACGTCATCGCCGACGCGGCCAATCACGAAAGTTCCCACTCCGACCACGTTTCCTTCACCAATGTAAGCATCGCCGCAACGCGACACCATCACCACTTCGTGTATGGGACTTCTCAACTCTCAGATGAGGGCACGCAGACTTTGCTAGTTTTTCGATCGCCTCCATACAACACGATGGGCCGACTGAAGCTCTACGTTACGGTAAAAACGCCTCCCCCTCACTAACAGTACATGCCAATGCTCACACGCCCAGGGCTCGGCCGTTATGGCCAACATCGTGCTTATGCGCGCATACTATGAGCGCCCAAACTTCTATTCGGCCGCCGTCTACATTTCTCAGAGCACCGGCTCTTTGATGTTCTTGGTCAATCTGATGCTCATTGTGGCTGCGAGCGTTGGCTATGGATTACAGCGGCTTTTCTACGGACCTCTACGGCCCATCGAGACGGAGCAGCTGTACGATAAAGCATGGTTTGCTGTCAGTGAGACACTGTTGGCTATGACAATTTTCAGAGACGATATCGGTATCTGGTTCTTCACAATGTTCCTCTGTTTGCTTGCGGGCAAGGTTTGGCAGTGGATTGGAGAGGGGCGAGTCGAGTTCCTGGAGCAACAACCGCCAGCGAACCCAAGGCTCTTCCATACTCGTTTGATGAGCTCCCTGTTGCTCTCGGTCGGTTTTGACATATTCATGATGCAATACTGCATCGACTCAATCCTCTCAGAGGCCCGACCTGGCGTCATGGTCATGTTTGGTTTCGAATACGTCCTCCTAGCTATCGCATCGATATCGACCTTGCTGCGATACTCACTCTCACTCGTCGAACTGTTCATGACACAGCGCCAGGAAAGGGCACGCGAGGAAGCCCGCAGGATCGCTAGCGAGCTAGCACGTCAACAAGCTGCAGCTGGTGGAACTGAAGCACCCGTCGAGGTGGATGATGATGACGACGAGGGTGATGTGCCCGGATGGGAAGAAAAGGGCCGCTGGGTCTTCTACCTGGATTTAGCGACAGACTTTGTGAAGTCCGTTGTATACATGGGCTTCTTCATCATTCTCATGACATTCTACGGCATTCCCATTCACATCATGAGGGACTTGTTCATGTCCCTTCGGTCTCTGATCAAGAGAATTAACGATTTCGTCCAGTACAGAAACGCAACTCGCGACATGAACACACGGTACCCCGATGCGACAGCCGAAGAACTCGAGCGAGAGAATACGTGCATTGTTTGCCGCGAAGAGATGCGACCGTGGAATCAGCCTGGTGCGCATGGTGCGCACCAGGGCCGTAGGATGGATGAGCGACAGCGCGCAAAGAAACTTCCATGCGGCCACATCTTACACTTTAGCTGTCTGCGTAGTTGGCTTGAGAGGCAGCAAGTATGTCCAACATGCCGCAGACCCGTCCTCACTTCGGCAGCCACTTCCAACACTCAACGCAACAACCAGGCCAACCAGGGGCAACCAGGCCAACAGAACCTACCAAATCGCGAGGTGTTGCAGGCAATGTTTGGGGGAAATGCGCAGCAAGGCGGCTTTGGAGGACACCAAGGTGGTGCTGGAGGGCAACAAGGCCAGGGTCAGCCAGCAGCACCCCAGAATGGTAGACCAGCAAACGGGCCTGCAGGCAACATGCGCGTGTTCAACTTGGGCCCACTCAGGATAGCCCTCGGGAATATTCGGGTGCCACCAGGGCAACATGACAATGCTGCTGTGCAAAATGCAATTCAGCAGATGCGACAGCAGGCTGCAGCAAACAACACGGCACAGAACCCAGGTCAGCAAAATGTGCCTTTGGGTCAACCGACCTTTGGGCAAGACATGAGTGCGAACTTTCCCACTGGGCCGATACCAGGAGCTGTTCCGCTGCACCCTTCGGATATTCAATCGGACATTTTACGCCTGCAACACAACATCATTGAATCGATGCGACATCTCAACGCGCAACACGAGCAACTTGAGGTTATTCACCGGCTTCTTGACGAACTGAACCGACTACAGCAAGCATCTGGGGTGACGGGGGCAACCGGTCAAGAATTGCCACCTATTGCGCCGTTGAACGGGCTCAACATGAACACGATCGTACCACAAGCCTATTTCGCTAGGGGACCGGTTTTGCGACAGGGCGATGCAGGTGTGCCAGAGGGTCTGACGTTGCCGGAAGGGTGGACGCTGAGGCCGATGGCACTAGCGCCACGGCCCGGACATGAAGGTGGCACAATAGCAGCAGCAGCAGCATCACCACATACAGAACCGTCAGGCCAAGACGGGGCTCCGGTGGCAGAGCAGATGCAGTCAGCGCCGGCAACAGCAGAGTCTGGAGCAGATGCATCCTTGGGTGGCAATGCGACGTCTCTGGGTGCAGCAGGAGCATCGGCGGTGAGGACGAGCACTTCTCAGCAAGCATCTCACTCTTCACCGAAGGCTGCGGAGCCTAGCAGTCTTGAGTCTAGCTGGAGTTTCGGCAACGTGGGGGAGAGGACGGAAGCCGAAGGGTCGAGCTCTGCGGTTGGAGCCAGCAGTTCAGAAGGGCAGGCGACGACGCGGAGAAGGGTGACTGTGGAGGATGGTGAAGACAGCGAGCAGTGAGGGGTAGAGTGCAGGCAGGTAGGTAGGGCGATCAAGGACGTGTACTGTGTATTGCATAGCGAGGCGTTTTGGGAGTGTACTGTATGCGTAGTGGGTTTGGCGAAGGGGAGAGAGTGCCTGTTGCTCAGCAGAGCACGACAGGGCCCCCCCCTGCGAATGACACTTCATCTCTCTTGGCAACGGAGGCCCACCGCATGTCTCGACTGTGTTTTCATCTATTGTTGCGAGAATGAGGCAATGGCGGGCCAGCAACGAGGACAGGACGAGGGCTGCTGCACCCCACACGCAGCCTCGAATGTTACCACGGCAGGAACCCACTCAGGGCCACGACACAGCGGCCGGGCGTTTCATGCAGGTGGTGTTGATGTTTACTTTGTTGTTCCCATGTCGACGCACGTGTAGACGAGCGGTCTCGACGTCTCGAGTCGGCTCCGAGGCCAGGGCCCACTAAAGCCCACCGATGCGGCTAGCGCGACTTGGGCGGCCAATCAGCGGCGCGCATCCATGGGGGGGCCAGCACACCCAGCACACCCAGCGGCTACCAGCAGCACTCGGCTCGAAAACGGCGGCGCTGGCGGTGCGCAGGCAGTCAATGTCGCCCAGTAACAGACGCAGGAACGCTGAAGCTGGTGCACACCCACGAGCAGCCAGGCGTCGGTGCAGCGCATGGGTCGGGCGGCCAGCGGGATAAAGCAACGAGCCCCCGTCGCTGGGCGGCCATGTTGACGGCGACTTGACTCGACTCGACAAGACTTAACACAACTTGAGGCTAACCTGGGTGATCTGGCTTGCAGACTTGCAGATGACTCTTCATTCACCCTCGCTAATGGATGCTTAGACCGCACTTTGTTTTCCTCTAGAATATTGTATACCTATCGTGCGTTTCCCTCTCTTTCTCTTCAGTTCCACTCTGCATTGCATTCGCACCTTTGCTGGTTTTGGTCGTCTGCATTCTGCCCATGGCCATCAAGTTAGACAGCGTAGGTACGCGAGCTACGCCTAGGCCCGACGAGGCCGAGGTATCAAGCTGCGTAGCCGGTATCATAGAAGCCTTCACAAATGGATTCAACATCTTCAAGCGGCTGCGCGAACGAAGAAAAAAGCGCAAGTCCTCGCGCAAGGACAGCGACACGTCCGACGCGACCAGCTCGGCTGAGCATCAGCTCTCCAAGAGCTTACGCAGAGGGCCCATTGAAGTGGCGGAGAAGTATCTTGAATGCTACCAAAGCAACATCGGCGCGCGTTTTGCAAAGGGCGATGGTGAGTACTACTGCTACTATTACTACAACACCAACCACTAAAAAATAAAATAAAACAATGGCATTGTACATTATGCTAACAGTCAGACAGCCATTGCACACGCAGCCCTTGCAGAGACATTGATCAAATTAAACACTGGCCTCGTTGCCATCATTGCATCCTTTCTCGATCATGAGCACAAAAACGGAAAGAGCCACCTAGACCTAGACTACAAGTCGCTGACCCACCTTTCCGACGCCTCCCGCCGCGAGGCTCTGCTCAGCCTAACCCAACTCTACCTGCGACTAAGCCAGGCCCACGCCCAGCTCCACAGAATTGCTGCTGCTGTCTGTCTACGCTGTGGAACTACTAAACACCATGACTGCTCCTCACGCAGCACAAGCCCCGAGAAGGAGAGGAAGAAGCGGTCAAGCTCTTCAGTTACCCGCACACGCTCTCTCGGCCCAGTAGTCACCCGCATGCCCATCAGACAAGGGCGCACCAGCCATCCTCACCTTGCTGTCGTGAGGCCAAAGGCAAGTCGTAAGGCTACTTCATCAAGCAACAGCTCTAGTGCGGTCAAGTCAACTTCCAGCTCATCCCGCACTACGTCACCCATGTCCTCTCCCCAGCCAAAGAAACTCCAAATGGCTTCGCCTGAGCTAAAGAAGGCCCAGACAGCACCCCAATTGCCTCTGTATGTGCCTGTCGATCCTCTGGAGCTTCAGACCACTGGTGTCTTCAAGGGCACGCTCGGCAGTGCTCCAACAAAGACGAGCCGTGTCAAACAACGCGTTGATTCCTTCCAAGATCCACGTGAGCCATGGCCTCAGGAACATCTCCCCCACACCATCACCAAATCCCCTTCGCCAAAGCCAGTCCCAGTATCGAAGCCTGCCGTAGCACCAAAGCCCGCTCCACCCCCAAAGCGTTCTCCAACCCCGAAACATGTTCACGAGCCTACCCCCAAACTACCAACATTCTCCTCTGCGCCCCGCCGGTCTGCCACTCCTACTCCTACTCCTACTCCCTCGGCGCCATCCAAGCCTGCTATTCCATCCAAGCCAGAGTACCTATCTCCACCACCACTACTTGACCATGCCCCCGCAACCATCCACTTCAGACGCCGCATGGAAAAGAACACACCCTCCTGCTACACCTTTGCTTCCGACAGCACAAAGATGGGAGAGATTCCCCAGCGGAAATGGTCTAGCCCCTTTGATTTTGAAAAGGCAGAACGTCTCAATGCCGAAGCTGCCCTCACCGGTTACCCCAATCCACTGCTCAGTGCTGACAAAACCGAGAAGAGGAAGAAGCGCTTCGGCTTCATGCGTCGTGGCGACGCCTAAACAAAACAACCTTTTGAGAGCTTGTTGATCGAGCCGCCTCTAATTGGTTGCTTGTATAACAACGATTCTTCTTCTTGTTACATTATTCGTTTTACATTTTTCTTTTTCTCACTTTACTTTTTCATCCATCTTCTTCATCGGCGTTTGGTTGGCTTTTGGATCTCTTCTCTCAATCTCTTTTGGCATCTTGCCTCGCATCTCTCCATTGCTGTTTTTTTTCTCTCTCCTCTCTCCACCATCTGGCCGTTGGAGGCCCGGTAATGACGCTTTTACGATTCTCACGATAACGAACTTGACGAAGGTTATGTCCTTTTCCTTGTGTTTGTTGTCGATTTTCCATATACCCATCTGTATACCCATGATCCTTTTTTGGATTTCTCTCGCGAGTTACTTACATAATAATGGCTTTTCGGTATATATCGGGTATTAGGAAACTTAATTAGAATTCTACCTTTTTGGCGATGGTCGCCTACATATAATCTACACTTTCCAAACTTTGAATATGTGATTGCTGTGGTTGGTCGTTTTGGGACTCAATTTCAGTACTGGCTTGTGAGCCATTTGTTTATCTTCTGCCCAGGCATACCATTGATTTGCCATATCACATAAGGCTAAGACTAGCATTTTATTTCCCGAGTGTGTCAGATCAGTAATCGTAGTATTCTCACCTGTGTATGCTGATGTAAACATGAGCAACCAACATGTGTGGCACATTGAGCATACCGTTTAGGGCTACTCGGTTAACGACTCCAAATATGGCTGCACCCATGATTAGATGAAAGAAGACCTAGCATTCTATTGGCAGATTCACTCGTATTCCCGGACGCCGTCGTTCACCGGACGCTCTACTGCCTGTTTCCTGGCGCTCGGCAAAGGTACGTCATGGGAACAGGTTCTAGACGCCTTGACCAAGCGCCAGCTGCTGAACCTCGCCGACACGTGGCATCGGTAGCCGAGGCTTTAGAACTAGATGTGCGCCACTGAACAAAGCAAGTTTACCAAGGTTTCGCGGTGAGCTTGAATGAGGCTGAGAGGTGTCGTGTGGGCTGCAGCACCTAGGCGGGAACAGCCGCGCTAGTGGCCCCAACTGGACTAGTTTCTTTTTCTCGATTCTCCCCTTACAACCAAACATTCTGAAGCATCGTTCATCCAATCACCTCCATCCCTTTGCTTGACCCAGAATTATCCACAATGCCTGGAGCACACAATGCTACGAGAAAACGCAAAGCTGAGTCTGGCGAGCGGCAAGCTGGAGGCAATAAACGAGCTAAGGTATGTGTCTTTTTTTTCTTTTTTCGTAAGACGGCGATATGTATGTCTGTCTTTGCAGCCTTGGCCTCACGATACCATTTTCGTTCTGCAGCTGCAGCTTGTTTCACAGAACCTACCTGACTTTAGTTGCTAGGGTAGGAAAAGTTGGGAGATGCCCAGGAGGGACATGTCAAATCGTGCCATACAAGCTGGTGATGCTGGGATATGGGCCACGTGCTCTATGAAGAAGGAAGCCAAATCCGTGGCCGATCTACGAGATCTATTCCAAGAAGTGAGCCATTGCTTAATGCATCAGCAACCGCGCATTGGAGTGTCGGAGGTGCTGACAGGCGCTGACAGTACGCTACCAAACTATATGGGACGACTGAATCTAGTGAAACAGCTGCAGACGACGATTCTGATTCGGAGGGAGGAGACATCGAGGCTCAGATCCAAAAAGAGCTTGCCGACATTCGCAGTCCAACTACAAAGCCACTGTTTACATCGGTCAAGCTTGACACTCAATGCTGTAAGACTACAGTAACATACTCTCTTACCTGTACTGACCTTACAAGTGGTATTTTTCAGGATTCGATCGCCATTGGAACCTGTGTCTTTTGTCCACAAAATCTGCCAAGATATTGCAGATGGCGCTCAGCCAAGAAATTTGAGCTACGTGAAGCGACTAACACCTATTACTGCAACCGAGAAAGCCACTCCCCAGGGTCTCGAGAGTGTTGCGAAACAAGTTTTGGCGCCTCACTTCCATGGACCGGGTCAAGTGGGTAAAAAGGTTAGCTTGGCCTATTGGCGTCGAATGATGCAGCATTTCTATACGAAGCTTCTCGCTAATGTAGGGTAATCCCAGTTCGCTATACGGCCATCAATACGCAACAACAAGGAGTTCCTGAGAGAAGATGTTATCAAAACAATTGCAGCTACAGTAGGCCCTGGCCACAAGGTCGATCTGAAGGGGTATGATTTGCTCATCATCGTGGAGATTTACCAGGTACGAGATTGCTGCGTGGGGCTAGTAAGGCTTTGACAGCTGCTTACTCGTGACAGAACGTCATTGGCATGAGCGTAGTAGGGCCCGATTTTGAGAAACTCAAGCGCTTCAATATCGAGGAGCTACGCCAGCCGATATCGTCTACTGCCCCAGAGACCACAAAGGACAGCAGCAAGACCACTGAAAGTAAAGAAGATGAGTGATCAGATAGATATCAATTGGCATGTTCTATGGGTTGTCACTCTCAGGCCAAGACGCTAGCGCATCAATGTCCACAAACAACAAATCCTCCGACTGTGGCTATTGTGGCTTGGAGGTGCAGTAGCACATGTGAAACACCGGAAGGCCTTGTAAGACTATGGGAGGAGCATAGCTGCTATGTAAGTGCTGACTCCACGCGTCAGCTCTTTGTTGCGACTCGTCTCCGACATATCGGATTCACACATCAGCTTCACGGATGAGTTTGGGACTCACCACGCCAATGACGGAAGTGTGTCCGGTAGTCAAGGATGGTTGAAGGGCTCTACCCTGATGCAAAAGCCGCCACGTCAATGTTGACTCTGTATCAATGGTTGACACCACGCTGATCGTAATACCTTCCCCTGATAACCTACAAGATACTCAAAAATCCATCGATTGAATCTCCAATTTCGTCAGCACGTACTAAGCGGCATTAATGACTTATGCGCCTCTGTCCTTTGGTACTCATGACAAATTCTGGATTCCGATAGGCGATCTACCTATCTAGAAGCTAACCGTATTTAGTCAACATTGACGAACGCTCCTTGCGCCACACCAGCATCTAAACGAACGCCTCTCGCGTCCTTGTTCATCCTGATATTCGCATATGCTAGTTTAGGCACTAGTAGAACGGTAATTGCATAACGGGTGCCGTACACGTATGAGTGGCCCATAGGGCTTTTCAGCCCAGGAGCATGTAGCTGAAAGCATGGACAACATGGCTTACACACGTGCTCAACTTTACCATGTGCTGATGTATATTTGCGAGAGCATAGGCGAATACGGCCAGTTTTAGGACTAGATTCTCCTGCAGTGAGTGGTTTTTATTACACTCGATGTTGCTCGGGTTCGTCTAGTAATGCTCTTATTTCCGATCCTTCACCGGACAGCAATCGGGCATCGATTACCATCAGTCTAAAAAAGGTAAGGCACAGATGATGCTACAGACACGAATCATTCACTTTGCTCGGGCCGGTCCATGGCATGGGGCAGCTAGAAGCGCTTGGAGCATCTGTGGTGTGAAATGGCGCTACACCTCCCGCCTGAACCTAGTACATGGGTAGTGAGCGGCTGATGATACATAATGCATCACCCCCCCGCGATATGCTGTCATTTACAGTCCCCCCAATATGAGCCGTGGCACTTATGCTGTGAAGCCTGTTCGGTCCTCTACATCTACATCTTCATCTTCGACATCGTCTTCGACTTCATCTCTATCGAGAGCGTCTATCCAGACTACCGTCACTACAGTCGACACTTCCAGCATACAAAGACTGATTCGAACAGTATATCGATCTTCGAAAATCACAGTTCAACAGGTGGAAGTTATCCAAGGCTATCTTGGGCAGATTTACGTCACTAGACTTGCAGATGGCAGCAGTCTCGTGCTCAAGTGCCCACCAGCACACAATGTTCGACTGCTCCGCCACGAGAAACACATACTGGATACCGAACGCAAGACACTCGAGATGATCCGCGAATACACCCGAATACCCGTGCCACAACTCATCACATTCGACACCCACAGCTCAACCCTCGGGCGACCCTTCCTCCTCATGAGCCACATACCGGGCCGACGACTCTCAGAACTCGCCCCATATCTGACGCCCAGCGAACGCAATGCAATCGACCACACGCTGGGCATGCACATAGGCTCGCTGACGGCACTATCAGCCCCCCAGTTTGGGCTGGCCCACCGCGTCTTCGCCAAGAAAGGCAGTACCACCTGGCGCGAAGCGTTCCTCGGACTGCTCGAGTCGATGCTGCGTGACGCAGAAGACATGCTGGTCAACCTGCATTCGGAGAGCATCCGCTACTGGATCGGCAAGCACGCGCACCATTTGGATAAAGTGACGGAGCCGCGCCTCGTCGCGCCCAATGCGTGCAATGCCGACAATGTTTTGCTTGACGAGCACACCAAGCATGTGGTTGGCCTGGTCGGCTTCTCGAATATCATTTGGGGCGATCCACTTATGAGCGGCGGTATGGCGGACGCTAGTGAGGCGTTTTTGACGGGCCTGGGTGAGTGTGCGCCGAGGACAACGACAACGACGACGATAGGGTCTTCTTCTTCTGCACAAGTCAGGATTATGATGTGAGTTTTCTTTCTCTCTCTCTCTTTCTCTCTTCTTTTTTTTTCCAATTTCTTTCCGTACAGTAAAAACCTATACGCCCCCCTGGGGTTCGGTGTTTTTTTTTATACCCCAAACTCCCATTTCCACCACTTCCAACTCCAAGTTTCCAGTTCCAAACTGACAGAGGTGGAAAATTAGATACAGGATCTACAGGGCTACGCTGCGGCTCGTGGCACACCACTATCGGCTGCATGATGGTACTGACGAGCTTGATGCACGCCGCGAGTTGAGCGCTGCGCTCAACTTGCTTGCGGCCGTTTGATATGATTGTGGGATTTACGAATCAAGACAAAAGGTCAATGCTCCTCCATGGGGCGGGTAAGACGCAAGAGACGAGAAGGGCGGCAGAAGAGAGGGACTGGGGGAGGAGTGGTGTGTGTCTGTGTGCTTTGACGTAGCGTTGCATATTCGATGTAATTTTCAATTGGCGTTTCATCAGGCGAGTCAGCCGCTGGCATGGTCATGCGTGAGTGTGTGTTTAGGGAATCGGGCGTTTTTTATTCTCTTGCTCTCTCTCTCTCTCTCTTTCTTAGACTGGTCGGAGAGGGGCTGGGTTGCTATGAACTTTCATTGCTAGGATAGATGGGTCTGGGCGTTTTTCAGGGCGTATGTATGGGGGGTTGATGAAAAGAGAGTCTTGTTTTTTAGTTTGTACGCGATATGCAGCTATTGTGTGTGTGTACCTGGCGACTGGATTAAAGAGCGAGATGGAGGGAAGGCAAGGGAAGAAAATATGCAACATGCATGTATGTGTGCATGTGCATGTGCTTGCTCTCTCTCTCCCGCAGTGCAGAGTCAACCGTTTCCGTCATGTATCCACGCGCATTACCCGCTTCTCACAGAAAGGAGCGTATGTGCTCTAACGGGTAACATGTACGGGCTACGTAGTCAAGAAGTGGGAAGGTTAAACTGAGCGATGTAACGGTACTTGACTTTAACGGGGGTTTCGTATACGTAGGATTTTCGGGAGCCCCGACCACCTGCCATTTCCACATACCCGGGATTGTTCTCTCCAAAGTCTGTCTAATTACCATCGTATGACGGCATGGCGCACACCCATCAGACCAACAATTACAACAAAAACATAAAGACTAGCACACCGTATCTCTCTCCCCCTGCTCGCCAATCCCTTATCACAATCATGGGCTGCTAAGCCGGTTCTGCGAGAACCCCCATATACCGATCAAATAGTTGAATCTCCCGCGACGAAGCTCCGTGCTAGTCCCTAGCTCCCCCTAGCCCGTTGCCATGCTCGCTTGTCGGGACGCCGGTACCGCCCAGAGGTCCAGAAGCACAAGAAACAACGAGCAGGGCTAGGCGAACGTTTAGGATTCCGGGGCGCCGATACGAGGGACGAAAAGGCAAAAAGAACAGAGCTGAGAGAAGCGAAGATTGACCATTCTTCCTCACCGTTCCTGTTTCCTATACCCATGGCCATGGTAATAACATTGGCCAAGACAGAATCCTTTGCATCCACCCAAGGAAGCAAGCGAAGAGGTGGGGGGAGGATGTTTACACCGCTATGTAGCCATACGCGTACGTACGCCCCGCATCATCATCATCATCACCACCAATCCACTCCCACAAACCATCTTCCCTACGCACTTCGCTCTCGCACTCGTACAGCTCGCTTCACTCTGTTACATGTACGAACGCGGCCATACCCACGCGCCTAGTCCCCACCCACCAATCACCCCCTACCTAACCACCCTTTCCAGCACCCATCGCAATCGCTATCCCCTCCCCAAGCAAAAAAAAACGAAGAAAAATATCGCCTACCCCTGCTTCCTTCCCCACTTCACATCCCTACCCCTCGCTCCCCCCGGTCTCCCCTTCTCCTTCTAGAAAATACATACGCATAGTAACCCGGCATTTTGGCATCAGCATCAGCATCAACATCATCATCATCACCATCGACCCTTGTTTTTGTTTTTCTGGTCTCTCCCTCCCTAACCACCACCACAGCCGCACACTTGGCACTAGCACACATACACATACACATACACATACACATACACACACACACACTCTCTCTCTTCAAACCCGACATCTCCCGCCATCAAGCCATACTTGCACATCACTCCTGTTGTTTAAATCACTGAAAAAAAAACATCCCCATCACATGTTTTAATCCCAGCCTTGGTAGAAAGAAAGAAGTCGGGAATAAGCCTCCCCCCTCCCCCCAGACCCACACCTACACACACCCGTACACACACACCCATGAAATCAATCAAATCAAACAAGGGGGAATAAAGTAAGTGAGTAGTTAGTTAGTTAGTGCAGCCAGTTAGGAGGTTTTAGAACAGAAAGCGAGCGAGCGAGCGAGCGGTGGGGAAACGAAGAAGGTCGCCCGTCCAGCTAGGCGAAGGGGGGGGGAGGTGGGGAGTAAGAGTAGTAGCCGGGTGGGTGGGTTTGCTTTTTCGCTAGATTATGCCAGATTGGGATTAGTGCGGGTTAGGGGTTAGCGAGGCGATTGGGGGGTGGGTGGGATGGAGGTGCGGGTGAGTGGGTGGTTAGGGAAAGTGTGGAAGGGTTTGATGGAGGGTTTGGGCTGAGGTTGGTTGGAAAGGGCAAGGGTAAGGGTGGGTTAAGGGCGGTGATGATGGTGGTGGTGGTTGTGGTTGTGGTTGGAAGGGGCTGGTTGTGTGTGTGTGTGTGTGTGTGTGTGTGTGTGTGTGTGTGTGTGTGTGGTTGCGATGTCGATGCAAAGTATGTAAGGATTATACTTATGTGGCGTTTTTCGGATAATTTGTTCGCGGGGGGGGGGGGGGTGCGTTTATTTGATCCTTTTTCGATTGGGCCTGGGTTGGGTATATCGCGAGTTTAATATTTTTTGGGCCCTTTTTTTTTCTTGCATTGCCGCTAGTTCCGCATGCTTTGGTGATGAAAACGTGCATGTGAATGAACATGTGCGTGTGCAAGTGCTTTGTTTCGCTTTGCCCGTTTGGGGAATTGCACATGTGTGTGTGTGTGTGTGTGTATTTCATAACTGCGGACTCGCTTTTAGTTACGAGAAATGGGATGGATGAGGAAGGTGATGTGATATAGTTGCGGATATACGTGTCAAGGGGGGTTGGTTCTCAACAAGAGATAACAGGAACCCTTCTGTTCTGCCGTAGAAGGTATATTCAACAGTGTTATCATCTCAAAGATGGCCGTGTCATGGGAAGACACTTCATATCCATCTCCTCAGGCCGTAGGTTTAAAGACACTATAGCCAAGCTTTGCTGCCCGTACGAGGTCAGTTTTGCCCATTGCATAGACTCACTCTACTCTGCTTGTTGCCAATCTGGCGCCTGAGCCACGAGTATTTTAATGAATATTGTGACCATTGCGGAAGCAGGTGAAACATCTAGTGCACTGAGCATGCCTAGGACTGAAGAAAGTGTGTCAACATCACACCACTGATGCACACGAAAAAAAAACCTCTAACTCCTCCACATGCCAACACAAGGCACAGAGCAAAGCCGAGGCACATGATTATCCAGAAAAGACAATTTTCTCTGCCGATGACGAAAAACGCTGAGGACAGTGTAACATAGGGATTCATTCTATAAATGTGACGTATCGCAAGCACACCTACATTTGACTGCCAATGCATGCCAACTCATCCAAGTCCATACCCCTCAACCCGCAACCCGCAAGACCGTGTCACTCGCTCAAGCCAAAGTAGTCTGTTTGTTCGTAAAGTGATGTGCCGAACTCCTGTGCCGAAAGTACTTGTTGTGATCGCTTCCCGGCGCCTTGAATGGCCAATTCAAATACGCATCCAACATTTCTGTAATCATCTCCGGTGTGAGCAACCTGACCCTAAAGTGATCCATCTGCAGCCTCCCGCCCTTGTCTGGGTCCCTTAAGCTCGGACACTCTTCCATGATATCGCGAAGTCCGTGCTGCATCTTGTCGAGGGCTTCGGGAATGGTGTCCGAGGGATTGGCATAGAGCCCGTGTATGAAGTCATGCAACCAATCATAGTAATCGTGATACTCTGCAGTGGGCTGTGGGATGGGCTCGGTGGAGATGAGCGAGAGACGATTTGTGGGCCAAGCTTCGTTGTTGTACATGGTGAGTGGTTCAAAGGGACGAGAATCCCACTGAACACGAGGGGCAGGGGGTGCCCGTAGAGCGAGGCGGTCGTCGAGTTCGGTAGCTGGAGCGCGAGCATAGTTGAGCGGCATTTTTCGGTTCCCCTCCTCCCAGCTGGCGTTTAGCTCTTCCAACTTTGCCATTGCCGCGTCTTTTTCGGGTCCATCCTGCATGCGGAGAATCTTGCCTTCGAGCTCATACATGGCCTCACCAACGTCAGCTATCGCCTCAATTTGTGACTTAAGCCTTTGGGTGAAGTTGATTTGTGCACAATCTGAAAGGTATTTCCGAATTTGATCCTTAGCAGGATGATCTTCGGGAACTATTTTCTTGCGTGTCTTGGGACTTTGGAGAGCTGTTCCATTGGGAATTTCGATATCAGGATATTTCTGTCGTATGGTCTTTTCAATTTCGTAGTGTTCAATAAGTCCTTCACTCAGTAGACCAGTGGTTGACTTTCCCGCTAGTTGTTGCTCATGAAGGTACTCTTGTATCTCAGCACTTTTGATCCTGCCTGTGCCATTGGAAATGCGCTCAATATCGGCAGCAAACTCATGGATACGATCGCGCCGATGCGGTGGAAGCTCCATGCCCAGTTTTTTACCTCTTCTCAGAGCATGGACAGTGCTCTCAATGGAATAATGAGGTTCACGTCCTGAAGATCCTTTGCCCACTTTGCGCGGAGTTTGGGTCCCGTTCACAAGTACGTTGATGCTCTGAGACATCTCCATGAATCGATTGGTCTTGTACATCGTGCTAATAGAATCAGCCATTGAAGTACCAAAATCCTCTTGCTGCATCCAGAAAAGCGTGCGAATAAGACCGTAAGCATGGAACAGTTCGTTGCTCCGAGCAGCGGCACTGAGGTGGTAATGAATTTGCTTGGCCATCGAGTCAAACCCAAGGCCGGACAAGGGAGGGTCCCAAATCAGAGACCCTGTCACCAGTAGTGTGTTGTTCGGTTCCTGAGCCTTCGGATCGCGTGGGTCTCGTATTGTCTGCTGAGGAAAGACACCCTCGGTGACCATGTTGCTGTATGTGTCGAGATCAGTTGGATCTTTCTCTATGAGCGAGTACTTGGAGCCGGGAGCGTTAAGCAGAGGTTCGAGGAGATCTTCGAACCTATCGAAGCGGGGTTCGAGCAGCACATGGCTTCGTGGCTGAAGGTAGTCGTGAAGCTTCTGTGACCAGAGCCCAGCGCCGGGATTAATGTCGAGGATGTCACAGCCCTTGTGCTTTTCCAAGGTGGGGCCAGCGTACTTAATCACATCATCTGTACAGACTTTGTATCAATATCACTCTAGCTAGTTGTGTGCTCTAGAGAGGGCGCGACGTACCACACAGATCGGGACTTACAATTTGTGCTCTGACGTGAATGCCGCCAGACAGGGCCGAAGGACCTGTATTTGCGCCTCTCCTCTTCTTGACCCTGGGTTCGAGGGATGGGTGTATCAACTCATTCATGGCGAAGCTCAAGGGATACTTCTCATCTGTCTCCAGCTTCTCTTCGGACCAGTAACTATTCGTACCCTTTGGGCGCCCGCGCTTGCCACCATGTTTGACGGTAGCAAAGCGCGTCTGGCCCTGTGAAAAAAGAGATATGTGTGATCGCCATATATTGCGCGATATTGTCGGGCGTATGCGAATCATCAAGGCGTGCGGTGGGTTCAATCGATCCGCTCTGCCATAAAGTTATATGCCGCGGGGATTTGCAGCATTTTGAGATAACGCGCTTATCTACACGTGATCACGTGTGCTAGAACAGGCCTGTCACGTGCTCATCTGTCCCATTTGAGTAGTTTGCGAAACAACAGTCATGGTTACGTCAGACAATAGAATGACAAAAAAAGGTCACCTCCTTTATTAGATAACATAGCTCGCTTAATGGTAAGTATGCTATGCAGTTGTCTCAGAACAGAAGGTGGCTCCACCCAGGACAGCGCACAATGAGGCCTCCAACGCGGCTACAATATGTAATGTATATTACCCCTCAGTTTCACCATGGCACAGAAATCCCAAAGCAATATTCTCATAATAGGTGCCGGATCATGGGGGTGTTCAATCGCTCTCGAGCTCGCCCGGCGCGGCTACACTTCCATCACTGTACTGGATGGCAGCCCATTCCCTTCGGCCATCTCGGCTGGCAACGACCTGAACAAGATTGCTGAGGAAGCAAACGAACCATCTGATTCTGACAGCGATGAGGACTACTTCTGGAACCGCATAACTCAACTTGCAATGCACGCTTGGAAACACGACCCCGTTTTCTCATCCTTCTACCATGATACTGGCTTCATCATGGCAGCTGTAGGCGACAAAGCATACAAAGGTTGCGTGGAATACGCAAAAGGAGAAAAGATCGCACCAGTGGCACTCAATAGCAAAGAGGACTTCTGACTTACGATGCCGAAGCACGTGCTACAAGGCGAGCTTGCAGGATGGAAGGGATTTTGGAAGAAGAAGGGCGCAGGCTGGGTGTTTGCGAGTGGCGCTCTAAAGGCCATGTACAACGAGGCACTAAGACTTGGTGTGAGCTTCATAACAGGAACCACAGGAAAAGTCCAGGAATTGCTCTACAACCCAAACAAGAGTCATGTCACAGGAGTGAGGATCGTAGATGGTACCGAGCATGTAGCAAAGCAGACCATACTGGCAGCCGGCGCGAACAGCGACCTGCTTGTAGACTTTGAGCAGCAGCTCCGACCTACAGCCTGGACACTGGCACACATACCTCTCTCCGGCGAGGAGGCAGAGCATTACCGCAACCTACCCGTACTGTATGGCGTAGATCGAGGCTTCTTCATCGAGCCAGATGCCGAAAACCACGAGATGAAGCTCTGCGACGAACACCCGGGCTATATAAACCCAATTTATGACAACGGAAAGATGCGGTCCGTTCCGTTTGCCCGTCATCAAATTCCCAAGGACGCCGAATCACGTATGCGTCTTCTTCTTTCAGAGACGATGCCACAATTCTCCGAACGCGACTTCAGCTTCACACGTATATGTTGGGACGCAGACACAGTTGATCGTATGTTTCTCATTGACAGGCATCCCGTGATATCAAACTTGATTGTTGCCGTCGGAGGCTCTGGAAACGGATTCATGGCGTCTCCTGCCATCGGATCACTGGTTGCCGATGTGACTGAAAATAAGGGAGAAGAGAGGCTGAGGAAGGCAATGAGATGGCGGCCAGACATAAGCGTAGAAAGAGATTGGTGGGATACGCAGGGCAGGTACGGTGGTCGTGGCAGAGTGATGGATTTTCGAGATGTGGAGGAGTGGACTCCAACAACGGCGTAAAATGTCTAGGTAAGGTCAGCGTAACAGAAAGTGCGTCATCTCAAATTAAAGGTCCACACGGCTTGTGTTACAACCGCCTCTTGGGTCTGGAATACATCCATTAGGATTTGCACAAATGCAGAGGATGATGTGGAGACAAGTACAGGGAAATCAACCAGCAGATCAAAGCAAGCAATGACAAAAGGCCAGGTTACTCTATTTCTTGTTCTTTTTGTTTAGTAGTTCTACTCATTGTGCACTACAGGCAGGGTCAAAGCCTCAGAGTACGGCTTGTGCCAATTGTGTGCTTGATGGTGAACTCCATCATTGCACAATCAACTGCCGAGCCCAAAGACCTTGCAGTACAGCACTGTGACATCTTCCGAAGGGTACGTATCCGATGGAGCCGAAGCTCAGAGCCTGGGCTGAGCACCTCTAGGCCCACTGCGGCCCGAACTCTACACTTTGTTAGTGTAGGGACCCCGGTACGATCTGGAGCTGTTTCTTACACGCTCACCGACGCAGCGCCGCTGCTACACAGGGTATAGAATTTCGGCGGCCCCGCAGTAAGGAAGATGTTGGTGCCTGATTTCCGAGTACGTAATACCAAAGATGGAGTTGTGTTTCGGCGCTCTGAGAAATGAGATTGAGGCTGTGCTGGAAAGATGAACACCGCCACGTTTCACCGCTACCATGACGTTTCCATCTTGATCTTCCTATGTTAATATGGGGCGTAAAAGGTGGTGATGTCTAATAATAAGATGTAGTAGGTGTGGAGCCGATTCTGCGTTGAGAGAGTGAAAGAGGTTGGGAACGACGAGATCGAGATAGTCAATCTGATAAATTTAGAGCTTGATTGGCTACTTGGAAAAGTCACTATTCGATAAGTCGGCAAGGTATTCGAGTATAGACTTCAGGTGCATCGTCTTTGACAGCAGTTTTACTTTGTGTTTCCCTGTGATTGAACCGTTGACGAAACGTTTGCAGACATGCGGCGTCTGTACAGCAAGAATCCAAGATTGTGATGAGTGATGTCGTCAGGATCATCGGCACTATGAGGGGGGCTTTAGCATATAGTCTTGGCATCAAGTAATCATTTTTTGTCTGGGCGGTACGCATCCACTGATATGATATGGAGATGGTAGTTCCATACTGGTCATTTCGCCACGTCTGAAGACGGAAAAAGAAATCTGGACAAGAGTTTCGGAGTCGTCAAAGTGGCCTGACTACAACCAAAGAACTACTATAAGAAGCCTGAAGACGGACCGCGTTCTTCCTGTTGGTTGCTTGAGATGATCACTTGTGGACAGTCTATCATAGCCACTCGATGCCGGCAAGGCTCAGGGCACATGCTAGCGGGTGTTGTGTTGGTTGGGGAACTGGTTATATTGCAGTGACTATTTATACGGTGGCCAGGGCCAGACATATGTCTCTTGGGCCTAGGCATCACCTCGGGAGCACTGTGGTGCTGAACTGTCAAGTCAGCCTTACTCTAGTCTGAGATGTCAGTACCCTAGAGACAAGAGACAGTGCCCTGGTTGTGGAGAGTCCCAAGATTAGTAACTCTCGAAGCACTGGCCTGCAAGGAGCGATGAGATCAGTGACGGGTATGTTGGTATGTGCACGTTGTTGCGGGCTGTGTGGTGGACCGAGTGGTGGATAAGTGGAGGATAAGTGGAGGGCGAAGACTTGTATGGGTAATGGGATGGAGTAGAATAGAGTAGGTGTAGTGAGCTAGTGTTGGGGTTGTTGCTGGGCTGGCAGGAGCGAGGGGGAATAGTAAGGAAGGGGCGAGTATAGCATTTGCCCTTGGCCTCGCCCTCGCCCTCGCCCTCGCCCTAGCCCTCCTTGCCCTTACCCTGCTGTCAAGTCAAGTCAAGTCATTTTGGTCCTATAGTAGGTTTCGACGGGCGTATCTTGTCCCCGCGCCGTCCTGCGCCCAACAACACAATGTCGCTTCTCACCACACATGAGTGGCTGGCGGAATATTACACCGAACCCTGCTGCATCGACGGAGACGGTAACAACACTGGAAGGTGACTAATCTTTGCCTCAGCGTCGGGGTCCATCTTTGCCTGTCTTGGAAAGCAGCGAGACAGCAAGTGCAAATTTGCAGCTTGTGCCGCATATGCTAACTGACTCCCAGACTATTTAGGGATGATGAGATGAGTGTAGGCTTCGGCTAGTCGACTGCAGAAGAGAAGGACCAAGCTTGCCCCTGCTTCGACATACATACGATACATACATACAATACCTAGACACTAATACTCGACTTGGTGTTGGAGCGAGATGGTGTGCGGGCCATCGTGGTCTGACTCCTCCACACAGACTGTCCGCCCCCGCGTCACTGTCACGGCAAGGAGGGCTTGGGCAGAGGGCCCATCAGCAGCTATGCCTCCCAAGTCAGCATACATGTGTGTGTAGGTCCAATACGAGGGCGTATGGCGAGCATCAGCACGGCCGTTTAGCCGCATGGCTGTTGTAGGCGTCTGCCACAGCCAGCGAGTGGATCCACAGCGCCGGCCCAGTGTGCTCGCCTGTTGGACATGTTTCTTGCGTGCCTGTCCAACCACGTCGGAAGCAAGAGGCCGGCTTGATTGACAAGCACGAGTCGTGATTTCAAATGCAATCAAACTGTCGTTGCAGGGCGCTGTCTAGGGCCGTCGCGAGTGATGAGCAGGAATGACCGACGGTGGTCCGACGTCGAGGACCAGAGGGAGGGCGTGAAACTTCGGCTGCCCAGGGCCTGGCCGTTCGTCAGTGGTGACGGGGACGGGCGTGGTGTGCTGCCTGATGGGTGGTGGGAGCTGGTTGCTGGGAGCCGGGAGCTGGCTGCAGGGTTTAAAAATACACACACGGCTGCCGGCCCATGCACAGTCACAGCACCCAGCACCCAGCAAGAACAAGAACATGGCCGCCAGAGAACAGACGACGACGACAGACAGACACCGACAGCGACAGGCATGCGCAAGAGTAGGTAGCGCGGGGCGTGTCCCGTGCACGACGCCCAATTTTTGCCGGCGTAAGCGACTGAACTCAGGCCGCTTTTCGTCACGTCTGCTCCCTTGCCTGCGATCGGCAGGCCATCTTCTCCAAAGCCATGGAAAGTGTATCTCGCTGCCCCTCCTCGCGGCCTACACACCCACGCTACTGCTACCGCCCTTCCTTCGAATGTCGCTCCACAGCCCGCCGCACTAGTCGGGCCCATGTGTGGCTTTGGATGCCGTCGCAGCCTGCCTGGCCCCCCCGCCGGGCCCCGTTGCGATGCCGTGTCTGTGTGTGCTGGTGTGGCCGGCTCTGCTTGCACCATTCGCACCAAGGGCCATGCACGGAGGATTCGTTGCTGCAGGCCTGCTTGCACTTGCCAGACGCCCTGCCAGCCGTTGGCCGCCAGAGTCGCATGAACCTCCTCGACCGGTCGTTCCCAAGCGAAATGGTGGATGCTCTTCACCCTGCACGTAGGCTACTTGGACCCTAGTCGGCCGCTTGCCAGACCAGCGCTAGGGCGGCGCGCTCGCCATCAGGGCGGTACCTTCATTCACAGGGATCAGCTCGCCGGCCCACGAGGCTCACTCGCTCTCCACTGCAATTGTGAAAGGGTTATGCACCTGCGCTGCAATGGGCCCAGTGGTATCAGATTGGGAGGCCAGCGCAGCGAGCGTTACTAGCCAAGTCACCCACGCTCGACAATCACCGCCGGCACTGCTCCCGTCGTCGGATATGTGACCCGACTGAGAGGTCTCCTCCGGTCCAACACTGGCTGCCTCTAGACTGCCCTCTCTGCATCGAATCGTACACTTGTACTTACATATGTACCTGTCCCATATATGGCCTCAACTGACACTGCCTGACTGGACTGACTTGCCACTCCCTGCCACTCCCTGCTCAGCCCTAACCACCTTCTTCTTCTTTCTTCGTCCTCGCCCCCCATCTCTACTATTCCTAGCTCAAAGCACCCAAGTGGAGATCCAGGGCACTGCAAGACATTACAACACCGCCACTACCCGCCACTCCTTCTCGTCAAGTCTCACATGCCCCCCAGCCTTACCGTTGTGGAGAGCACCCCCTAGTGCAGTGCCGGGCTAATCCTGTACACCCCGGACTAGCAGCCTTACCCTACCCTAAACCCTAGAGTCTGGGTCTGTGCCTTAAGACTGGATCATTCTCACCCATCTGTTGGATTTCCCGCTTAGACGCACTGGCCTACTCCTCTCGCATGATATACAACGCACGCTTGCGTCGATTGAGGACCATTTGAAGACAACCACACCTCCCTTCTCGCAATTCCTCTTGGACTTCCACATACCTACACACAGCCACGTTGACCCCAAGGATGACATTCTTCTCTACTGAGGCAGAGCTAGCGCTCATGGCGCCTGATGACGGCATCGGTCACCTGTACCCCTCCAGCACTTGCCAATCACCTCCGAGCATCATGTACTCACCACCACTCCACCATATGTCACACCGTCCCTCGACAACAATGGCCGGCCACGGTGGAATGTATACCCCTCCGCAAGACTACAGACCCATCATGGAATCGCCATACCCTCCTCACCCCTTCTGGACCTCGCAGGCCCAGTCTGTCCCGATGCCTCAAGTATCGTCGTACGCTTACCCTCCATACACTGACATGGGATCTCCTCCCATCCTCTCCCACGACTCGACCCTTCTCTCACAGTATCCCGGCGTCACTCGACCCTCAAGATCACACTCGACATCGTCATCAGTGGGCCATGGTATTGCGTCCAGCATCCCCTCAGAGACTTCGCCCCCCGCACTATCGCGGTCGCTTTCCCCTTCATCGCCAGACCTTCGAGCGTACGGCATCCCAAACAAGAACGGCACCTGGAGTTGTGCGTACCCAGGATGCACATCAAGAGCAGTCTTCACCAGGGGATGTGATCTTCGCAAGCACCACAAGCGACACACCAAGTCGTTCTTTTGCCGACACGGCGACTGCCCGCAATCTCAAGGAGGAGGATTCTCAAGCAAGAAGGATCTAGCGAGACACGAGGCAAAACACAACCCGGGCGTTTTGTGTGACTGGGATGGGTGTGACAGAGTTTTCAGCCGCGTGGACAATATGGTAAGTTTGGGCAAAACCCAGTAGTGGCAGGAGATCAAATGCTGATTATTTCTACAGAGAGACCACGTCAAGAGAATACACCTCAAGTCGTCACGGAAATCGTCGACAACATCAGCATGAAGATGGCGGTTTGGTTAACCGTCTCACATTTACTTTCGTTCAAGATACCCTGATTGCCATATCGGTCGCTATTGTTTTTGTTTTTACTTTTTTCTTCACTTCTCTCTTCGTCTACGATGGTAGCGCTTTTTCACAAATGCATCACTACGGCGTTTTCCGCAGACTAGAGCACGATCCCTGGAGTCATATGGACTATTCCAGGATGTATGCATCACGGACAGGACGCTTGCTAGGAATAGGGTGTATATACAGATACAGGTGCA